AGTATGGTCAGCAACTTTGGTGACTTTGTAGAGGTTGGGCAGTATAATAATCTGCAAACGTCTTTCATTGCCATACCGCAACGTATCGATGGGTCAGCATTTATAAGAAAGCTCGCATTTTGACCACGAAACAACGCAGGCTGGGAGGGCGATGAGAAGTCATTTCTACCGATGGCTTTGCCAGTCGCTTTGGCACACGAGGCAATGGCGGAGGCCAACACCACGCACTGTGCAAAGAGTGCAGCGTAAAATGTATCTCTTGAAACGAAATTGTAGACCGCAAGGAGGGTAGGGGCGGGAAACATTGGAGAGTCAAGTGGCGTGTTCGTTAGCAGTTAGAGCAGTCCACCTTACAGACCACTTTGAACCAAGGGCTACCGTGCAGCGATGTTTTCGTATTGTAAACGCATTATCTGAAGTCCTTGAACAGCATCCCTACGCCTGCACACGTTATGCCCACCTCTGGTAACGAAGTTTCTGACAACGAAGTGATATCTGGGAACGTTAACCGAGGTATTAACTGTAGTACATGCATACCAAGACAGGTGGGGACTGGTTAACACACCGCACTGCGAACCTGATTACGAGTTTCATTCCCCACTAAGTCTAACGTGCGTGCACAAAGGTTTAAAAGTAAAAATAACGTATTCTGGGCCTCGTGTGAGTAGACGCAGCCTCAACACGAGTGTCTGGTACAGAGTTTAATGCATCAGCACTGGGGAGAAAAAGGCAGCCGAGTGTGGTGGTGTTGACCACACCACGTGTGTACGTTGAACGTCTTTCGCACCATATGTAGCCCACCGTGCTAATCGGAGGTGCGGGGTGAAAGAACAACTAACTGGTGGTCTCTGTGCGAGTTTCTCTGTACGTACGTTGAACTTATTTCGCACCGTGCGTTGCCAATCGTGTCAATGAGAGGTGCGGGCGATGGAGGGGGGGACAAGCTCAACACAACAATCAGTTCTAAAGAAATTAGTTTTCAATCTCGATGGTGTAAAAATAGAAAAAGCACTTTTTTTTTAAACACGCTTTAATCCAGCGGTCGGGGACCTTTTTGACTGGGAGAGCCATAAACGCCAAATATTTCTAAATATATTTCATTGAGAGCCATATAGTATTTTTAACGTATAATAAATTAAATGTCTTACTTTTAATGCGACTTCTGGTCCACGGGACCCGTGACCCGAGAAATTTTATCTTCAAAACAAATTTCTGTTTACTTTAAAATGACACAGTATTATTAAGCGATATCACAAGTATTTTAAAATCGGTTCCAAACTGATTTTATTTATATTTTTTTATTATTATTTTTTCAACTCAAAATTGTCTGGGAGCCATATGCCGTCACCGGAAGAGCCATATATGGTTCGCGAGCCATAGGTTCCCGACCGCTGCTTTAATCGAATGTACTGTCCGAGCTGCCCCTCCCCCTGCCCCCTTCCCCCATCGCCCCTCCCCTCCTTCCACATCCTCCGCCCCTCGGCGTGGCTCCCCGAGGCTTGCCGTGACGTAAGGGACCACGTGGTGATTTACAGTCAACGTGAGTTGAGCGTGGACAATTAGACCCGTAAAAAAAGATTGTTTAAAAAAAATATATTTTTTCAATGAAAGAATATAGTCTTGTCATCAGTATGACATAAGTATACCAAGTTTGCAGTTGATAGCACATTGGGAAGTGGGTAAAAATTGAGTTAGAAGATTTTTTGAGGATACGACAACAGACGGATTGATAATCAACGTTTTTGGGTTTAGATCGCGTTATTTATAAATGTGTCGTAACCCTCCACCACCCGACACGGCCAATCAGTAAAAAAGTGTCACGTTGACAAAGGACAATTAGTTCACTGATTTAGCCCACCGGTGTGTTGAAGCGTGAAACCACAACATTTACAATTTGAGTACGACGTTTCGCTGGATTGAGTTAAATAAAAGCGTGTAATAATAAAAAATGCATAGCTCCAGTGGCTTCCTCCATAAGCTCCACCACCTCCTGGCGCAGCATTCCCGGATGCAATAGGCTCTTAACCCAACTAGCTGCGTAATCAGCTGCGTGGGCAAAATTTTGTTTTTTCCATGTACGTGTTTGAGTGGTACACGTGGTGGTCAGTGTGGTCTCCTGCCAACGCTGAACAAGCACGTCAAGCAGTTTAAGATCGTTACACGGGATGGGTGTAGCGAGACCAGGGTCATGCAAGGTGCTGCGGTGGCTAGGAGATGTTAACTACCTCGCCTGGTATGCAGGAGGTCGCGGTGGGTTCGATCCGTACCATGTGACTCCTGCTGTATAGTTGTAGTTTGGGTGTCTCTTTCTCTCTCCCCGTGGTCGCGTAGATTTTTTTCTCCAGGTAACTCTGGTTTTCCCCCTCCGCATTTAGAGTGGACGTCACGCGTTTGAGAGTATTCGGCTGCTGCTATTAATTTCCACACGATAGGCCACTTCGTTGGGCTATCATTTGTGATAGCGAGGCTGCTCCTGAATAAGTAATATTTTAAAAACTTTTTTTTAAAACACGCTTTAATGACATGTACTAGTGATGGCAGAACTCCACGACTCCAGAAAGTGGCCCCGAAGCTTGCCATAACGTAAGGGACCGTGGGCAATTACAGCCGACTTTAGTTGGCCGTGGACAATTAGACCCAAGCCGAAACATAACATATAAAAAATAATGTTTAAAAATATATATATTATGATAGAATATAGTATTGTCATCAGTATGACATACGTATACGAAGTTTGCAGTCGATACCACATTGGGAGGTGGGTTAAAATTGAGTTACAAGATTTGAGGATACAACAACGACGACAACAACAACAGAGTGAGTTAAAAGAAAGCGTGTAATAAAAAGAGCTGCACAGCCCAGTGGGGCCTTACCTGGTAAAATTTAAAGTTTTAGTTTTAGCTTTCGCGACCAATATTATCCACGAGTTTTCTTTGGAGTTCGATCGCTTAAATATAAATGTGTCGCTAAACCCGCCACCACCTACACAGCCAATTCGTCAGGGTTGTCACGTCAACAAAACGTGCCCAATTCATTACTTGTTCAGCACGAACCCGCAAACAGTTTGAGTTTAGTTATACAGCCCGACTGCCGCACACTTGTGCAGCGAGACTGGGACCGTCACGCACGGAAGGGGGCATTCTCGTGCCCGCAGCGTAACTTGGGCAGATGAGCAGGCCCACTTTCAAAAGAAACCAAAGCATCCCCAACTCGGTCGACCAGCACGCAGCAGCAGACGCAACCGGGATCGGCTCAAATACAGGCGGGCCTTGCTTGGCGCTGCTTCTGGAGTAAGCGAGAGCAACGCTAAATAAATTTGTAGCTCTAAAGGGGATTATTATACCCCTCATCTATATATATAAAAGGGAAATTTGTGAATGTGTCTGTTCGAAATGTTTAGCATACTTCCCGACATGCAACAAACTTTAAATTTGGCATGTGGGTAGCTTCCAGACTGTACACAATGCAAAAAGTATAAAAATGTACTTTTGTATTTTGGGGGGCGGGGGGGGACACAATAATGGATATATTTTTCACGCAAGTGAGCGGTGACATCACATCTGTGACGTCACCCGCATGCGGCAGCGTCACGCAGTGTGCCTGCTGACGTCACGCATCCCCCCACCCCCACCCACCCTCCGCGTAGGCCGTCTATTAATCCAAGACAAGAATCCAAGTCTCGGGCGAAGCCAAGTAGTAAACCTAGCTGTATATATGGGGAAGAGCTGATAATGCAGGCAGTGATGACAAGAAAACTGCCACTATTTGGACACACATATGTAGTCGGATGGACAACAGGGACATTTAAAGTGTGTCGTTGTCGTTCGGAAAAATGGAAGGAACTCGAAAGAGAGGAAGACTCACAAGAGAATGGCTTGACGGACACCTCCGATTGGCTACGTACGGTGTGAACGAAGTTCTACATTCATACAGATTGGTTTCAGAAAGATGTGCACTACTTCAGCATATTGGCACTACAGGACAGGAGAAAAATGGAAACAAATAACAAAATGTGCAGGGGCTATCTGACCATGGCTCGTGATGGTGCACTTTGGGGCCGTCCATAAATGACGTCACGCGATTTTGGACGATTTTTGACCCCCCCCCCTCCTTCGTCACACGGCGTCACAAAAAGTCAGACCCCCCCCCTCAAATATGACGTCACAAAGCTCTGCCCCCCCCCCCCTCCCCGAAAAATATAAAACATGCTTCAAATCACTTTAAACTATTGTCATAGTGCGTATATACGTGGCGCTGCAATCTGATGTTGTAGGATAAAACATTTATTAAAAAGTCTATTCAATTAAGTAGAACGTGTTGTCTATATTTATTTAAAGTTGCGCATTTTTACGTGACGCCACATTTCTCAAACCCCCTCCCCCTCGTCACACATCGTCACAGATGTCTGACCCCCCCCCCCTCCCAGGTGCATGACGTCATTTATGGACGGCCCCTTACACTACACTGCTATACAATACACTAATATGCGCACTACTTGAGCCTATCGGCACAAAACAGAGAGAGTAAAGTGGAAACAGCAATTGACGAAATGTGCAGTGGACACCTACTACGGGGCTATGTGCCCATGGATCGTGGTGACGATGATGATATTGGGGATGCATTCCCGAAAGCGTTATTTCTTTTGTACGAGAAATATATGCACACACGAGGGCCTCACTGGGGTTTTGAGGCTTCCAGGGAGTGGGAGGAACACGTGTGCTGGGGTAGGAGGAGGGAGCTGTACTGAATTAAAGATGAACGCGACGCGAAGGGTTCATATCCAAGTTCCTCGTCGTGAAATTGCTATTATTCAGAATGAGAATGTTTATTTATCCTGCATAAATCCGATGAGCTATGACGATCATTTTTTTAAGATGTCCCAGTAGTTGCACGGGGTAAAAAAAAGGAAAAAAAAAAACAATACAAAAACTCCTTTAAAAAAGTTTTTTAAACGGTTTTATTAACAATTTCGTTTCACTCACGGTCGAGAAGTGCGTCAATGGCGCCTGAGACACGCGGCGCTGCTTTTTGCGCATGCCGCTTCCACAGTTTAGGTACCACGGCGTTTTTGACCTACACAAATATATATGTAAATAATAAGGCGTCCATACAAAATGTGAATTGCTTTAAAGTAGCGAATTAATTGATTAATTGATGCCGATTTTGATACAGGCATGCATTGTCACCGGATCTGAGTATGTGTGCAAAATGTGGAATTTATATGGACAACGGGAAGTGGACGAAATTTTGATGACAAGATTTGACCACGACAAAGAGGAATCAAGTTAAGTAAAACCGTTGAAAAAGAAACACGATAGGAGTGCAAAGTATACGAAAGGTAAGCAAAAATCACTACAAATAAATACGTAAAAGATAAATATATCTATTAAAATGGGGAAGATGGCAACATTCGCGTGGTCTTCCCTGATACATTAGCACAGTTCGCGATGTAAGGTGCGAAAGACGTCCAACGTACACACCTACATGTGATAAAACACAAAAAATGCCATCGTTCCAGCGATCGAACATCTTTAAACAAACAACCTTTCAGTCAGAAAGAGTCCACGTACATGGTAGGACAAGAGCATTGCATAAGCAATATTATTCACCTTTTCTCTCGAGACGAAACTCCTTTTAGAATGTTCACAGCCACATCGTGTGTTCTAGTGTGTATCTCTAAATTGTAGCGATAGGAAAACCCCTTCCCGCACTCCTTGCACACATGGGGCTTCTCACCCGTGTGCGTTCTCGCGTGTGCCTCCAAATTGTAACGCTGCGCAAAGCTCTTCCCGCATTGCTGGCACGAGTGCGGTTTCTCGCCGGTGTGCGTTCTTGTGTGTTTCTCTAAACTGGAACGATGTGTGAATCCCTTTCCACACTCCGAGCACTTGTGCGGCCACTCGCCAGTGTGTGATATGGAGTGTGCGGCCAAGTTACAGCGCTTCGAAAACCCCTTCCCACACTCCTTGCACACATGCGGCTTCTCGCCGCACGTGTGCGCTCTTACGTGGTTCTCCAAATCGAAAAGTTGCGCGAAGCCCTTTCCGCACTCCTTGCACAGGTGCGGCCACTCGCCCTTGTGTGATACTGAGTGCTTGGTTAAGGCGGAACGCTTTGTAAACCCCTTTCCACTTTTCGTGCACACGTGGTGCTTCTCAGAGGCGTGTGTTCTAACGTGTGCCTCCAAATTGTAACGCTGTGCAAAGCCCTTCCCACACTGCTGGCACGCGTGCGGCTTCTCTCCAGTGTGCGTCCGCGCGTGTTTCTCCAAATTGGAACGCTGTGAAAAGCCTTTCCCACACTCCTTGCACATGTACGGCTTCTCGCCCGTGTGTATCCTCGTGTGTTTCTGAAAATCGGAACGGTGCGTAAATCCTTTTCCACACTCCATGCACACGTATGTCCACTCGCCAGTGTGTGAAATGGAGTGTGCAGCCAAGTTAGAGCGGTTCGTAAACCCCTTCCCGCACTCGTTGCACACGTGCGGTTTCTCGCCGCTGTGTATTCGCGAGTGTTTCTCTAAATCGGAAAGTTGTGCAAAGCCCTTTCCACACTCCATGCACATGTGCGGCCACTCACCCGTGTGTGATGGAGTGTGTGCGGCTAATTTAGAGCGCTTCGAAAAACCCTTCCCACACTCCTTGCACCGGTGCAGCTTCTCGCCCGTGTGTGTTCTAACGTGCTCCTTTAACGTGGAACTTCGTGCAAACCCCTTCCCACACTCGTTACACACATGCGGCTTCTCGCCCGTGTGTGTTCTTGAGTGCTTCTCTAAATCGGAACACTGTACGAATCCCTTTCCACACTCTGTGCACACGTGCGGCCACTCGCCCGTGTGTGAGATAGCGTGCGTGGTTAAGGTATAGCACGTAGCAAACCCCTTCCCACACTCGTGGCACACGTGCGGCTTCTCACCGGTGTGTGTTCTCATGTGCGTCTCTAAACTAAAACGTGATGTAAACCCCTTCTCACATTCCTTGCACACGTGCTTCCACCCTTCGATAGCCACTGCCGTGCACAACGCGATGCCTTCAAGTGTCTTGCCGCACTGCTTGCAGGCTTGCGGGGTCTTGTTGCTGGTACATTCTGATTTGTCTGTCTTTATTTCCAAGCCACTGCCCTTCCCACAGTCCTCGCACAGAAGTTCTGTTTCCTTTGCTTCATCCGCTGCACGTTTAGAAAATTGCAAAAGCACATTTCAATCAACCGATGCAAGAACGATAAAAGATAATTGCCAGAAACAGCACCAGTAACATTTTAGGTGATCCGAGTGCAGTAGCCTCGTTTATAACTACCTTTGCATTCGCCAAATAAATAAATAAAAACTGCAAATGTTCACAATCATTCTCTATCGCTCTTGTTTTAGGATGACTAATCATACTAAATGCACTTGATTGAAACTTAATTTGGATTTAAATCGAGGATGGCGCTGCCTTGATCAAATCTTCAAGATTAAGCAATCATATTATCAAGATGAAGATTTGATCATCTTAAGCCAAACTAATGTTCAATTAAGTCCATTTCTATTCAATCATTCGTTCTGAAACAAGACGACGCTGCATTGTCTTTGTTAACTTGACCAAAGGAAACTCACCTTCACCAACGTCCTCCTCCGATAACTGAACTTCGATGAAGTTCTGGTCTGAAGTGACCAGACATCTGTGGGAATCCCCCATCTCCTCTGGCCTCTCAGCAGCTCCTTCAACCTTAACAATCTTCACATCTGGAGCTGTGATATGACAAATGCACGATGGTTCTTTGAAGGATGGGAGATAAAATGCACGTAATAATGCAGTCAAGCTGGTCACCTGAATGTGTGTTGTACTTGCTGTCACACCGTACGTAGCCAACCATGCTAATAGGAGGTGCTAGAGTAATTTATCCGTGCACTCTTAGAATTATTGATATCTTATCTTATCTTGCCTTCGTTTGGCACTTAATTCTTGGTTTTGCTCTATGGAGCTGTATGCAGGCATCTTACCATCTTCGTCCACTTCCATTTTCACCACAAACTTCATTTTCTCAGTGCCCAGACTCCCATCATATTCTTCCTTGATGCCTGGTCCTGCGTATGCACACGCGTTCACAATTCACTGTCACAGACGACAACTTCCAGAAGGTGGCAGAGTCACCTATATATCCTGCTGGATCAGGGTTCTATTGCTACAATGCCTCGCGTCACTTACACCGCTATTCCAGTAGCACATTCGAGCAGCGCTCCGCAGGCCGTGCCTCCGATAGCACAGTTGGCTACGTACGGTGTGAAAGAAGTTCACACATATTCTTGGTTCTTTAGATAAAGTCATGTAGAAAGGAAATAATAAAATAATACAAATATTAAACAATAAAAATTCTCACGATTGCTTGTGTTGCAGTCGAAACGTCATGAGAATTTTTATTGTTTAATATTTGTATTTTTTTTATTATTTCCCTTCTACGTGACTTTACCGAAAGAACCAAGAATATGAATCCCTGCAATCACGAAAGCTTTAAATCAGAGTTCACACATATTGTGACAAAGGTTCTGCGCGGGCTGTTTCCCATAGCTAAATGGATCTAGAGGGTGAACAACTGGCTAAGGGAGATAGGCAGTATGACCAGTTTTTGGGACCAGTCTAGATGGGGTTGACAGGGGTTGGGTCCCCCTGGAGTCGTATAAAAGGCAATGATCAAAACGAAGCACGGAGGAGCCATAACTCTTAGCACTTCAGCAACCCATACAGCAGTGGAGGAAGTAGGGCTTCAAGCCAGAAGCAGGGGACTGGACTCTAGGAAAGGGAGACTTCCTGAGACATAAGTAGAATTTAGACATCGTCACGAGGGTGGATTGTGGGTTGTTGGGAAAAGTATTGAAGGTTTGACGGGCTTTATTTGTGTTTCAGCACCCAGGGGGGGTGTGGGCAGGAGTGAGGCTGTAATGTGGAAAGCTGGAAGAGCAAGAAGGGAGAAGCACGACCGATAGCGGGACCGGTGCACCGTGCCACTGCTGGCTGTACCCCCCGTGACTCTTGGGGAGGGGGGGAAGTTGGCTTCTGTTGGTGCTGCCAGGGTGCCCTCACGTGGAGAATGCGTCAGGCTTGGAATATACCGTTGTATGCACAGTGGTGGCTAATGTAAGACTCGCATTGAGGGCTGCATGGTGATAAATGGTGTGGCCTAGGAGAGTCGCACAATTACAGAAAAGTGTGTGTGTACAACGGGTTCATGCGAGTCTTAAGGTGTTTATGGTTTTGCGGCGCGGGAATATGTCCTTGAACTCGTAAGGAGAAATTGTATAGATAAAATCATGTTAATTTCAAAGCTTCCATGTGTATCTGGCTGATTATTAATAGACATCTCTCTTCAGGACGTATATCTGAGACCTCCGTTAATCATGTGGCAATACACACCCACACTACAAAATCACCCCGTTTAAAGGGGAAGAATGCTCTGGCACGTAATTTACTACTATAATGAGCCAAAAATATCTGTGTGTCCCGCGCGTGACGTCACTCCACGTCGACCAGCCCCCCTAATTTATAATCATGAACAGGTGGCGTCCTCCAAATGGACACCCCCCTCCATTAATAATAATTAGCGGGTGACATCACTCCACATGGGGGGGCGAGGTGCCACCTCCCTTCTTCTCAACGTCAACTTATAACCCTCACTAAAAAGGCAGAATCCTCACGTCACGCAATCTCCGTAACGCTATTGAGACATAGAAGTAAAAAGGACGTCATGATGAACAAGGGATTATAACCTTTAAATGAAATAAGTCTGTGTCACCGCGGCCTTACAAATTGCACATGAATGGATGCAATGAATATCACGTCACAATCTGCTTTTCGCTTGCAAGTTTCAAATTTACTGCAATACACCCGTCCTTGGATGGGCAAAAGGCTAGTAAAGAATAATTACTAAATGTAGCGGGGAGTGAAGTTTGGGGGAGAGAGCAGAATTCCCCTCCAATTCTCCCAGTCGCCCGGCGATACATACTGAATATACATACATGCCAAGCAAACCCAGGGTCTCTCAGGAGGCCGAGTTATGCCAAGTTGCCTGTAGATCAGAATCAGAACATGTATTTATACCGGTGGAGTCCCATGAACTATAAATAACATTTGGCCATTAGGGGCGATTCAGAATGTTACATGCGTCATGCATCGGGGGTCTCGTATCCAAGCACTGTCCAGATCGAAAGCCTGCTCAGCTTTCCACAGTGGCGAGATTGGGGCGCATGCCGTGCCGTGAATCTTTTTATGATTTGGTCAGAGGCAGTGCGATCTTACCAGAGTCATGATTCACCGTCACGTCAGGATGCATCCTGGGGCTTGGAGTTTCATCGTTTTCTTGTTTGATGAATGCCAACTCAACGTGTGAAGTCATCTGAGAGGAGACCGACACACAGACACCCAGACACACCACGTCAGATGTGCATTTGAACATATTGGGCCATACTCCAGTGCGTGCACACGACTATTTATTTCCCCGCGATTCGCACCCCCCCTCCCCCCGGTTAGAAAACTTGCGGCAGGGGTGGTGGTGGCGATGGTGCATCAGAATCAATTCTCGTCATGTCAAAGCGGTCGGAAATACGGTTACATGAGCGGGCTGAACACGAAGCTTCACACGGTCCATATAATAAGAGTTTTGTGGGTTAGATTGCATAACCTCTTATGGATATTGGTCACGAAAGTCTACGTGTTAAACCTTCACACGGTGTGCCGCCGTATAGCAGCAACCCAGCCCTGATGCGGATCGGCTGGCTCCGTGTTCCGAAGGCGACAAAATTTGTACTCGTACCCAGAGAGACTTGGGTCAGGACGGATGTTCCTCCTCGATTCATTTCTTGGCGGACGGTGGCATCGCAAAGATGACGACTCGATGTGTGGTGTTGTCACCACCACACGTTCGGTTCGTTAAAGCAGCTGCTGAATTTAAGTGTGCTACTTCTGATGGAGAGTCTTGCAGCTACACTTAAGGGGGGGGGGGGGGGGTCGTCAAACATTGACATCATAAATTTCGGTGCCTCATCTTTACCCTTGGGGTGGATCAACTACACCACCCCAACCAAGTCAGACCGAGGTCAGCTCTAGTCGTCCCACAAAAGCACCGTTTATTAAATAACAGGGTGCTTCAAAACACTTTTTTTTAAACACTTACATGGGACTATCGTTTTTAATGGGAGGGAGGGGGGGAAGAAAACGGATAATAATACCGCAACGTAAAAATAGCTTCAAAAAAATTGCTTAAAAAAGTCTAAAGAGTCTCTCTGCCACTTGTACGCCATCATTGTCAACGCACAGCCTGGAAACGTCTCCAGGTGGTCTCCAGCAGATCCCAGAGGCGGCATATTTTTTTTTTGTGGTATTGTTACAAATTCTCACAAGTGTTAACATTTTTGATTGTGGTATTGTTGCAAATTCTCACAAGTGTTTAACCATTTTTCTCGTGGCATTGTTACAAATTCTCAGATATGTTAACATTTTTTTTCATTGTGGCATTGTTACTTATTCTCACAAGTGTTAACATTTATAATTGTGAAATTGCTACAAATTCTCACAAGGGTTAACATTTTGTTTAAGCACCCTGTACAAACACCCCCTCCCCCCCCCACGTTGTCGCCTGTAACAGACTGTAGAGCAAGGCCGTAATTATAATAAATATTGGGGGTGGATACATCCCCCCCCCCCCAATATTCAAATATTCTCAAAATGTCCCCTCCAATATATTGCTATAAAATAGATTTATGTTTATATGATTGTGGTTATGGTTGTACTTTATTAATCCCTAATCTCTGCCATTACATACAATGAAACAAGAAAAGATAAAAAAGAAAAAACAGAGCAATGTAATACAATACACTCTTAGACATTATTGTTAAAAATAAATAAAAAGTCCATCCCGTGTGTTAGTGATTTTTTAAATATTTTAGGCAGGAAATTAGTTTTAAAATTTAGATATTTTCTGGGGGGGGGGGACCCCACCCCCCATATATGGCTCGCGAGCCATATATGGCTCTTTCAGTGACGGCATATGGGCTCCCAGACAATTTTTAGTTGAAAAAAATAATAATAATGAAAAAACAAAAAATCAGTTTGGAACTGATTTTAAAATACTTGTGCTATTGTTTAATACTATTGCGTCATTTTAAAGTAAACAGAAATTAGTTTTGAAGATAAATTTCACGGGTCACGCCTGCATGAAGCTCAACCTCACCAAGTCGTATGAACCAGACTACAAGGCCATCAGCAAAACCACGCAGCACCAGAAGTCGCATTAAAAGTAAGACGTATTTAATTTATTATACGTTAAAAATACTATATGGCTCTAAATGAAATATATGCCAGCACTGTGGCACACAAGTCCGTGGGGTGGCCACCACCACCACGCCCGGCCGCCTTTGTCTCTCTTCCCCAGCGACGATGTTTTACTGCAGCGACTACACCACGTACTCATTTGAGGCCGAGTCGACCTAGGGGAGGCCCAGGACCGGTTCAGATAATCGTCGCCACTGAGTGGTGTTGGTGGTGGCCGTGAGCCTGGTTCGGAGCGCAGCGTAGCGCTAACCGCTGCACCACCGCTCCTCGCAGTCACTCGCTCGCTTCACCCCCGGCCTCCGTTGAAGGACTCACTGTGTGTTTGTCTCTCTCCACGTGTCTCTCTCTCCCTGTGTTTGTCTCTCTTCACGTGTCTCTCTCCCTGTGTTTGTCCGTCTTCTTGAGTTTCCGTCTGGCGCTCCCCCTGAGCGTTAGCAAGCGACAAGATGCTGCGACAAGACGCATCTCCACCCATTCACCGCCCAGCAAGCGGCAAGATGCGACAAGACGCCTCTCCATCAACCCATTCACCGCCCAGCAAGCGGCAAGATGCTACAAGACGCCTCTCCATCAACCCATTCACCGCCCAGCAAGCGGCAAGATGCTGCGACAAGACGCATCTCCCTCCACCCATTCACCACCCAGCAAACGACAAGATGCGGCGACAAGACGCATCTCCCTCCACCCGTTCACCACCCAGCAAGCGGCAAGATGCTGCGACAAGACGCATCTCCCTCCACCCATTCACCACCCAGCAAACGACAATATGCGGTGACAAGACGCCTCTCCATCAACCCATTCACCACCCAGCAAGCGGCAAGATGCTACGACAAGACGCATCTCCCTCCACCCATTCACCACCCAGCAAACGACAAGATGCGGCGACAAGACGCATCTCCCTCCACCACCCAGCAAACGACAAGATGCATCTCCCTCCACCCATTCACCACCCAGCAAACGACAAGATGCGGCGACAAGACGCATCTCCCTCCATCCATTCACCACCCAGCAAATGACAAGACGCCTCTCCGTCTACCCATTCACCCAGCAAGCGGCAAGATGCTGCGACAAGACGCATCTCCCTCCACCCATTCACCGCCAAGCAAGCGGCAAGATGCTGCGACAAGACGCATCTCCCTCCACCCATTCACCGCCCAGCAAGCGGCAAGATGCTGCGACAAGACGCCTCTCCCTACACCCATTCACCACCCAACAAGCGACAAGACGCAACAAAACGCACTCACTATTCGCCACCCTGCAAGGGAACGAGATGCAGCAAGAAAACGTAAGACAACTAATACACTTCAAGCCATCGTCTCAACTCCAGCCCCTGTGACTCCCCCATCTGCCTCCCTCTCTCCCCCCACAGTTCAGCTGTCCTGGATTACCAACTATCGGGTGTGTGTGGTGTGTGCAGTGGCTACGTCTCTCTATCTATCTCCAGCTGGGGTCTGGGGGTGAATGGGCAACACGCAGTCACGGTAACCTTAGCATCGGACTTGTTACTCTTTGTCAACAAAAGCAAAATGTCGTAATCGAAATGACTTAATTATTGGTCCTCTGTTCTCCGGAGCAACAACGCTGCATTGTTCACAAACACCAATGAATAACCTTACCACTTACGAACAACAACTACTGATCAACAACAGAACTGGGGTTATCCAGAGTTAAAACCCCAGAAAACTGGATGTGCTTGCCAATTAACTCCAGTTATCTGGGTTTCGATCGACTAATGACATTTTAAATGTGTGTCTACGTGATAAAGCATTGATTGTTCTGCCCCACGGCAGATATGGGAGTGTGTTTACACAGGAACTTCCTGATATGATGGTGTTGAGTTTGGTCATGTGACCAGGAAGTTACGATCTTGATTTGAAGCTTTCGTGACTGCAGGAATCCATACTCTTTGGTTATTTCGGTAAAGTCATGTAGATAGAAATAAAGTAAAATAAAACAAATCACAACGTTTCGATCGCAACACAAGCGGCCTTCATCAGGTGGAACAACCACAGCAAGACTTCAGCATTTTCTTACTGTGGTTGTTCCACCTGATGATGATTGCTTGTGTTGCGATTGAAACGTCGAGATTTATTTTATTTCTGACTACGTGACTTTACCGAAAGAACCAAAGAGTAAGGAAGTTACGCGTTAAGGGTCTCTAAGCCACGAGGCCAGGCAGGGGTGTCAGCCATTACATAGAGTCAGTGACGGCTCCTGCAAAATCTCTCAGGGGGGGGCAAATGTCTGGATGATTGATAAGGATAAGGTCCACCCATGCAATGGATACATTAACAGCTTAAGCATGTAAAGGCAACTTCACTTTTATAATATTAATGAAAAATAAAGTGACTCTTACAATACATCTCCTTGTTTGTTTCTATACTCACTATTAATAGAATCCACTCAAGTTTCATCTTCTTGGTTCTTTCGGTAAAGTCACGTAGAAGGGAAGTAATAAAATAATAAAAATAAAACATAATAAAACAATTCTCACGACGTTTCGGCCACAACGCAAGCAGCCGTCCTCAGGTGAAAACCAGGTCCGTCGAGGCGACAGAGTCTGAATGACTCTGTCGGACCTGGTTTTCACCTGAGGACGGCTGCTTGCGTTGTGGCCGAAACGTCGTGAGAATTGTTTTATTATGTTTTATTTTTATTATTTTATTACTTCCCTTCTACGTGACTTTACCGAAAGAACCAAGAAGATGAATCCCTGCAGTCACGAAAGCTTTAAATCGAAATTCCACTCAAGTTTCTTTTATTAAAGATTCCACTAGGTGGCAACAAATTATATTGTTGGATGAAACGTGCTTACGTATGATGACGTAAGCACGTTAGGGCGAGCCCTCCCGGAAGCCATAGAGAATGCATTGCAGCGCCCGCCGTTCGAAAAAAAACATCTTTGAATGTAAGTCTATGGGAACACTCTGGGCGATTCTCAGCCAGAGTGAAATCGCCCAAAAAGAGGCGGTACTCCACAGAACGTGACATGACGCTGATTGGACTATATCCAGAGGCACAGTGACGGCTAGCGTGACTCTGTGGTTCAATGACATTGGTGGTGCGTCGCCCAATCGCCCTAATGAAGAAACCGCCCCTGCATAGAGTACAAAATGGAGGCACAATTGGCGTCTTGATGAAGACGGGTGCATTGTGCATTGCGGGACTTTGAGAAGCATCGTCTAAGTTCAGACCTAACGATTCGAAAGAGTCGGTGGTTTTATGGGGAGTGCGATTCCTCGGAGAGAAGGTGGCAACACCAGGCGGATTGGTCGTTTCGCCACACTATTATTAAATGGATACTTTTATGCACGCTTGTCGGCAGAACCCCACAAGTTTTGTCTCACGTGTGTGCTCTGTATTGTTACTTAATATAGAAAAAGAAACCCGATAATTGTTTTTTTACCCTTCTATCTGGCAACAAAACTGACACCTTTTTTTACAAGGAGTCATGTTTGCATAGACCACAATACCTGCAGTCATAATGCAAACAAAAAACATAACTCTGATAATGTGCACTGTCCTTGAAGTTGATTGGTCCACACCCGAGGCAGCTTTCCTTAGAGCCTAGTCTCACATGGGTTGGACCAGATGACGCCAAAAGGCGCACCAAAAGGAACCCGTTCGTACGAGCAATGCAACCGAACGACTCCATCGCCATTATGCATCCGCCGGCACGCCCATTTACAGGGACTCGCGGTCCTGCGTGTCCCAGTTCTCAATAATCGGCTTGCAGCAGTAGAGCTCTAGTGACTTCTTTGGTGTAGTACCTCCACAGTCCAGCAGTAGATAGAGCAATGGTGGCTCACGTAGGTAGAAAAATAAAATAAAAATAATATATCACGACGTTTCGATCGCAACACAAGCGGTCGTCCTCAGGCGGAAAAAAATAATCCAGCAGTGGAACTGCTGAACCAGTGAGAGAGTTGATAATTGGTTCTTTACCCTTCTATCTGGCAACAAAACTGACACCTTTTTGCAAGGAGTCATGTTTGCATAGACCGCAATACCTGGTCCAACCCATATGAGACTAGGCTCGAAGGAAAGCTGTCTCGGGTGTGGACCAATCAACTTCAGGGACAGTGCACATTATCAGTTATGTTCTTTTGTTTGTATTATGACTGCAGGTATTGCGGTCTATGCAAACATGACTCCTTGCAAAAAGGTGTCAGTTTTGTTGCCAGATAGAAGGGTAAAGAACCAATTATCATATTTTTACTGGCAAATGAGGTCCCCACAGTGAGAGAGTTGTTACAACAAGGTTATATATGTGGCGATGGGCAAGCAAGCGGGGTCTGAGCTGGAAAGGAATTCAAAACGTTGAGGTTTATAAGGGCACGGGATGACCAGTAAGGTCTGATTTAAGTCTGTAATAAGGTAGGGCACTGATAAGGGGTTGACAGGTATGTAGTGGTGAGTGTACTCGTGGTGAATGTACTCGTGGTGAGTGTAGTGGTGATTGTCTATTTGTGGTTCTCCCTTGTGATGGGACTTTGTAGGATGAACGTTGAGATTTATAAGTGCACGGGGTGACCAATAAGCTCTGAATTGGATCTGTAATATGGTACGGACATCGATATAGATAATAATGAAACGCTAAGAGACTTTCTGTTCCCCTGCAACGCTTTGCCCTCTGGTTGGCACCATCGCACAGGCCGACTGTCTTCTTGCTGAGTATTACGCCACGTGACCCTAATGGGGGTGCACCCATGGTACCAAATCATACAAACTGGCCGAGGCAATTAAATGTTTTATTTCTGTAACACTTTTTTTTCCAGGGGTTGTATTTCACTCCGCGACTGGGGTACCAATTAATCCGAAATCGGTGCCATTCCGCGATGTCGAAATGCCAAACATCAGCATAAAAATCCGTTATCGAAAAATTATTTGAATAGTGCATCGTGCACAGTTCGTCGAGATGAGTCCGCATCGCCGACCATCAACAGACTCAAAATGACTGCATCAGGGACATGATGCGCCATACGTTTTAAGTATACATGACCTGTATCAAGTATACATGACCTGTATACTTGATGCAAACTTCCGATAATAACATAAATGTGAGGCACCCTGCCCATGCAATAATTGATCAACTTGCGCTCAAAGTGCAACGTTTTTTACAACTCACCGTCATAACACTTTGTGGCCAGTTCTCCGCCTGACGAACGGGTTCTGTTCTTGAGGGCCCGTTCATGAAGTCCAACTTGATCGTAAGTAAACACAGTATGAACAAAAGTAAGAACAGGTGTTTACCCTATTCTGGCCGTAATAAAACAAGAGTTGTTGTGTTAATATGTTCAAACGCCAACATATAAACCTTTTGCAGGGAATCAAGATACTGCATTAACCATACACGGTACTGATAATAACATTATCTGGGCATTGTCTTTGAAACTGATTGGCCTACACGAGAGGCCTTCTTTTGGGCCAAGTCTCACCACCAGTGTCAGGCCGGAGAACGACGCCAAAAGGCGAATAGTACACAAGACTTGACTTAAAGCTTCCGTGACTGCCCACCACTTGCATTGGCTGCTGACATTTGGGCGACGCCCATTTCAAAACTTTTATAAAGTTTGCCTTTAGAAGCTGAACCCCCCTTTTCCTGATGACGACCGCTTGTGTTGCGATGGAAACGTCGTAGTTTTTGTTATTTTCTCTGAACCTATCTACGTGACTTTACCGAAAGACCCAAAGAACAGTACAAAGGCAATGCCACCATCAGAGCATTTGTAGCTCGGGGTGAAGCACTCGGCCTAAAATGAGCACCTGGTGCAGTGTGTAAACATCGCCACTAGGGAGACAAAGGCGGTCGGGCGTGGTGCTGGCTACCCACCCCCTCGTGTGTGCCGTGGCGGTCTTCATAGGTGCTCGCTAACTGCACTTGCCCCAACAGTCTAAGGCTACACCGGGTGATGGGGGATCTTTGTCTTGGTGTGCGCGTGTGACATTGTAACGAGTTTACTCGAAGAGCAGCGCTCTTGCTTCTCGTCAAATCCTCTTGGAAGTTTCTCGGGGGATCTCCTCCTCCTGCCTTGGTCTCGTCACAGTTCCTATGATTACTGTTGTTACGTTGTTTTTATAGCTTTATTTTGGCGATTCGAAAACATATGGTTAATCTAAATTGTCTTATGGTTGTTATCGTTGACTTGCACCACATTGTGATTTTTGCACACAGCGTTTTAATACGTTTTTTTATATTTGCTGGTTTATTCCATGATGTTTCTGTTACGCGTCGTCGCTTTAAGATGTTCTGTGTTCATATTTTGTTTGTTGCGGTTGCACCCGACTTAAGAGCCGCATGGCTCACGGGGCTATGCCTAATAATTGAAACTTGAAACAGTTACGGATGCACGAATGCTCCTCAGAAGGGCACTCCGAAAATTCGGAGTGGGCCTTCCACAGCGCCGCCGGTGTCCCTCGAAATGGAAGTCACTCGATCCTCGAGAAGGGAGGGCAGAAGACGCAACGCGGAGTGTTCGCTCATCGCCTCCTCCGAACTCCTCCATTCTTGCCGTCGTTACGATCACGGGAGGAGAGGGATGAGGGCCAGCCAGTTGCACAAGCGACAGGACGTAAGACAACTACACTTTAAGCCAGCGTCTCGATTCGTCCCTGTGACTCCCCATCTGTACCCCCCCCTGGTTCAGCAGTCTTGCATTACCAGCTTTCGGGTTAGGGGCCATCCATAAATGACGTCACGCGATTTTGGACGATTTTTAACCCCCCTCTCATCATACGGCGTCACTAAAAGTCAGACCCCCCCCCCCTAGAATATGACGTCACAAAGCTCTGCCCCCCCCCCCAAAACCATAAACGTGCTTCAAATGGATTTAAAGCTTTCGTGACTGCAGGGATTCATTTTCTTGGTTCTTTCGGTAAAGTCAAGAATATGCTTCAAATCGGTTTAAACTGTTGTCATTGTAGTGCGTGTTTAATGTGGCGCTGCACTCTGATGTTGTAGGAGAAAACATTTGTAAAAACAAGTCTATTTAATTAAGTAGAACGGGTTGTCTATATTTATTTATAAGTTGCACATTTTGATGTGACGTCATTTCTCAACCCCCCCCCCCCCCCCGTTACACATCGTCACAAATGTCTGACCCCCCCCGCCCCCCATGTGCGTGACGTCATTTATGGACGGCCCCTTAGATAACTAAGTGTCGTGAAACCCGAAACCACCGACAGCCAATTAATAAAGGTTTGTCACGTTAACAGAACGTGGCCAATTCGATAACTGGTACAGCACTAACCGGTTGTGTGGAGAGCAAAGCCACACCATTTACAATCTGAGTACGACATTTCACCAGTAATTCCAAGCAGCTTCATCAGGCAGCAGCCAGATTTGTGGAGATGTAATGAAGTGGGGGAGGGATTCATGCATATAGATGACTGGGTATCCATTACCGCTTGCGTTATTTATATGGTAATCAACGTACATTATTCATAATACTACGTGTTAAACGTACATTATGCATGCCCATGTTTGCACCCAATTAATGGCTATCCAGGGTATAAAATAACAGACTGTAGGGGCAAGTGTTGTTGGCGAGTAGCACCTATGCAAACCGGTACGGCACACGAGGGGGTGAGTGGCCAGCACCAGGCCCGACCGCCTTTGTCTCCCCCAGTGGCGATGTTTACTACACACCGCCACCAGGTACTCATTTGAGGTTGAGTCAATCTCGGGGATACCCATGGGAATGGAGTTTCACGACATTTGTGCGATCCACTAACCCTCCCCTCCACAGAATCAGAATCTTTAGACTGGAGGTAGTTGATGAGCGATAAAGCATTTTTTACACAAATGTCCAGATGCTGGATTACAAGCATGCACTGTATTAGGACGACATGAATCATGCAACAGAATGATATGTAATTTTTCAGGCTGATATATATAGGGACTGAGCTTGGCTTTGCCCAATTACGTTATTTTTCAGTGTGTATTCTGGATTACAGAAACGGGAATCGACAGAAACGATATATTTTTTTCAGCAGCAACACGATCTGAAGCTCGATCAACGCTTGATCACTGCACGATCACATAGACACATTCAAATTGGCATTGATAGATCACTGCTCTATCACAGACACATTCAAAATATCATAGCTGGTCGATCACATAGATACGCATATTCAAAATGTCACTGCTTGACCGATGCTCGATCACATCGAGACACATACTGAAACGTTATAGTATTATGTAATGGTGTGTTGATGTTGTTCATTGCTGGTCAGTGTGTAGTTACTAGCCATCCTATTACAAGATAAACCAACAATGTCATTCATGAGGCGACCGTACATCTGATGGTGACCTCCAAATTGGAGCAGCAAGAAAACGCAACTCAACAATTAAACTAATCGATAACCACACCACTTATTAACAAACCATGCCCTTCACTAACCAATCAATTCAACACTTACCAATCACAACCATCAGTGTGCACTATTTTTAAGAAATAAAATACAAGCGACCAACATTAATGAAAAGCACAAAACGTAATTACATTTTATTATCAGTAATATAAACACGAGAAAGAGTATATCTGTAGCAGTGCAACTAAACCAAGATTAATGCGCCTTTCTCCTGTAATCAACCTTTCAGTGTACACTTGCTCGTAAAAAAAATCATTCATACTCTTAGTTCTTTCGGTAAAGTCACGTAGGTAAAAAATGAAATGAAAATTAATAAAAAAATAAAAACAATAAAAATAATTCATTTCGGAAGCTTACTACTTAAATATTTGAAAGTTTTGAAAAAGCCGGTTTCAGTGCAGAAACTGATTTTACTGCAATTGTGCAGAAGTTTTGGTCTGTGCCCCTGTTTTACCCCTTGTATTATTGCTCGTTAGGTTAGCGACGCACGTGTCAACAGTTTTTGTTTGCTCCAGTGGTTGCTCAAACTCATGTAATTTCCTCTTTTTAGATATCTGTTCAGTGGCCGCCTGTTTCTTTGCTTGCTTTTTGGGGTGGATGCGAGCGACACATTTCTTGTGAGCACCTCCTTTGCGCTTGTCCGCTGGCTGCCTTGTAATTCGTTTTGCCAAATCAATCTCTGGCATAGACATCGCGGCACTGGAAATTATTCCCCTTCCCAGGTCTCGCTGATTGTCCACACGTTCAACATCCCCTACTGGTAGATTGGCCAGGGAAAACTCAATTTTCTCCAGGCGACTATTCATAGAATTTTGTCTTTCCACAATAAATTTCAAACAAGAGTTCACATGTTTAAAGGTTTCCGCAAATTTATCTTCTATTTTCTTATTCATTTCACCTGCAAAATATCACATACGTTTACAGATTTAGAAGAAAATACCAAAATTGGATCAGCTGTGGTTGTTAACATTTCAATAATACTTACTTTTAATCCTTTCCTCCATTTCCGCCAGATTGAAATTATCTTGCACAACAGTTTTGCTCTTTTGTTCAACCTCAGGTGGTTCACCTACACTCATCTCCAGTGCGTTCTTGGTTGTGCTTTCAAGACTGTACACGTCTTATCAAGAAACAATGGGTTGCATCATTACAATCAATCTCTAGAATAATTAGTAAATATTTGTATATGTAAAGACCTATAAGATCAAAACAAAAACATTACTCACCATTCTCATCCAAATCCGGCAAACCCCTAAGTTTGACAAAAACTTTCATGTAGGAGCGTAATTTACGCCCTTTGCCCTTGTTTTCCTCTTTATTCCAGAATGCGTAATCAATCATCATGCGTCGCCATCGAAGCTGAATTTGCCTAGGGTACCTGCGGATTCCTTTCTTCAACAATTCTTTTTGAATTTTAACGAACAACCCGCCTTTATGTAAACCGGGCGGGCTGTTTATTTTACTTGAAATGTCAGGATTGTCTTCAATAATCTTTAACATCGCAAATGTTTCCAAGTCCGTCCACGGGGAACCGTGTGCAGCTGAAGATGCCTGGGTCAACCACAAAAATAATAAACGTAATGGATTTAATGCCACGACAAGCAGAATGTTTCATCAGAAAAAGCATCGTTAAATATATTGCTATAAATATGATGGACTTGTACAAAAATATAAAAGCCCAATTCGCTTTTCTCTCTCGACGATATACAGCATATAACGCACATTTTTCAAAATGCTGCTGGATGTGTGACGTATGTATAGAAGTGAACGTTATTTTTGATGACGATATTTTAGCTACCGCACCAGAGTAACTTTATCATGAAACATTAAACGGCAGAACACTGTGTAATGTTTACTCTTTTGTTACAAATATCCTTTTGGTTTCACAACTATAAAAATATTCAAGGGTGTAAACCTTAGCTCCTTTTCAATCGACGTAATTATATTGTAAACTAAACTCCTGGAGCGCCACACGACAGGGCGAGGGTTGTGCCAAAAGAAAAAAATAGCTGGGGCCAAGGGGTGAACGCGGCAACGCACCGTTACAGCAAGCTCGGCACCGGACTTGTTGATCTTTGTCAACTATAAGAAAAAACTGCATAATCGAGGTGACTCGACATCAGTTATTGGTCCCCTGTTCTCCGGAGCAACAACACTGCATTGGTCACAAACACCAATGCATAACCATACCACTTACTGACAACACTACTGACCAACAACAGAATTCAGGTTTTTACCGGTAAAAACCCCAGCAAACTGGATGTGCTTGTCAAATAACTCCAGTTATCTGGGGTTCCAGTCGACTAATTACATTTTGAATGTGACTATGTGACCAAGCATTGATCAGGCATCGATCAAGCTTTGATCGGGCACTGATCGAGCTACGATCCAGCATCGACTGAGTACTAGTCAAGCTATGACATTTCAATGTTTCTGTGATCAAGCATCAATCATCGATCGAGCTTTGAACACCGATCGAGTTTTGATTGAGAATTGATCAAGCAGTGATTGAGCACCGATCGAGCACCAATTGAGCATAATTCGAGCAGTGATTGAGGACCGATTGAGCTATAACATTTTGAGTGTGTGATCGAGCAGTGATCGAGTTAAGACATTTTCAATGTGTGTCTATATGATCGAGCAGTGATTGGGGTTTGCTCAAGCTTTAATCGAGCAGTACGGCGATTACTGTCACACAACCATTGGCTGCCCGTTACATTAACATAATGTATCATTCTGTTGCCGATTCAATTGGTCCTGTTATAGCGCCACAACAGCCCAGTGTCTCCATGTGTATCTTGACCTTTACAAAACGGTGCAGTTTTTTAAGCCATTTTTCCGCATTCAAGACGTGACGACCCGTGTATACAAGTAAACCCAGACAACCAAAAACATCTAGTTATGTCCCATGACCTCCTGTCGGCAAGTCTTAGACACTTCACTTGGGCTCAAAGTACACCTAGCCTGGCACAAGCGCCATGGTAACGTCACCACCACTTAGTGGCAAATGGTTGTTATACATATTTCGATCTAAATACCCATTTAACTGAGTTCGATTCCTGCTTACTCAATTTCCACGGCCAACACCTCGGCTTCCCATAGGTTGACTCGGCCTTAAATCAGTATCTGACGTGGTGTATAGGTGTATGTTCTCCCATCGTCAATTGAGGATGACATGTAATTATTGTGTGAGACAGAGTGTGGCAACTGTGAGATCAGGACAGTGGAAAACAGGTGCAGAGTCGAGGTGATGTAAAAACCCAAAGGACATTCACAGTTTTTAAAATAATGTTTTTCTATTTTAGCAGGTAAGGCTCACTGAGCTTTCCAGATCTTTTTAAGAGGGGACCTGAGCACAAATGATAGCCAAATGAAGTGGCTTTTGTGAAATTGATAGCAGCTAAATACTCTACACGCACGTTGATTCTAAATATGGAGGGAAAAACCAGAGGACCCGGAGAAAAATCCACGCGACCATGGGGAGAGAGACATGCTAACTCCAAATATACAGGCACCAGGGTCGGGATCGACACCAATGACCACCTGTATACCAGGCGAGATAGTTTACATCTCGCCACCGTGGCGCCCCTATACAGAGTTGCAAAGGTCGCTATGGAGAATGGGGAATGGAGCTCAGTGAAAGGGGGGACTTGAAGGGGTGAGTCAGGTTCCCTACAAATCTAGCAGATTGATAATTAAAATGTTGCAATGCTAATGATGCTTTCACGCAAGAGAAGGGGGAGGTTCAATTAAGTTTCTGGAAGGCAGGGTGAGGAGAAAGGTCTACAAATGACAGGAGACCCAGCTATGGCTGGCTCTCCTCTGAATCAGTGTTGAAGTCGGCCGGAAAGATGTTAGCCTTCAGCCGCCCAGCGTAAAGGGTTGCCTGCCAACTATATAGTAGAGAGGTCGAGGCGAGTAAAGTAGCAGAGCGTGGTGGTCAGTGGTCGTGCTGGGTGGCTGCTCAGTCCCCCCCCACTCCTGCAGTGCCCAAATTCTCGGGAAGGGCAAAGAAAAGAGCCAAAAAAAGTAATATTTAAAAAGATCTTTTTTTTTAACACGCTTTAATGAAATGTACCGTACGAGTAATGGCGGAGCTCCACGACTCCAGGAAGTGGCCCCGAAGCTTGCTATAACGTCAGGGACCGTGGTGATTTACAGCCAACGTGAGTTGAGCGTGGACAATTAGACCCAAGGCGAAACATAACATAAAAAAGATGGTTAAAAAATGTTTTAATGATAGAATATGGTATTGTCATCAGTGTTACATAAGTATACCAAGTTTGCAGTCGATACCATATTGGGAAGTGGGTTAAAATTGAGTTACAGGATTTGAGGATACGACAACAACAGACAGAGTGAGTTAATAGAAAGCGTGTAAAAAAAGATTGTTTCAAAATATTTTTTATGATAGTATAGTATTATCATCAGTAAGACGTAAGTATATGAAGTTTGCAGTCGATACCACATTGGGAAGTGGGTTAGAATTGAGTTACAAGATTTGAGGATACGACAACAACAGCAACAGACAGAGTGAGTTAAATAAAAGCGTGTAAAAAAAGGGGCAAGGCCTCACACTCCACACGAGATGTTAACTACCTGGCTTAGTATACATCTCACGGGTTTCGATCCCCACCCTGACGCCTGTTGTATAATTTGGAGTTTGCGTGTTCTCCCTGTGGTGGTCGCGTGGATTATTTCTCTGGGTCTTCCGGGTTTTCCCCTCCACATTTAGAACCAACGTACGTTTCGAGAATTTGGCTTCTCGAAATTTCCACATGGAAAGCCACTTCTCGTTGGACTATCATTTGTGGTCTGGTTGCTTCTGAAAAAGCGCTAAATAGCTCAGTGGAGCCTTACCTGGTAAAATACAAACTTTTAGTTTAAGGCAGGGAGTAGGAAGGAGTGAAGCGAGAATGATCGAGAACTGGGGCGGTGTTTTGGGTTTGGCAGCAGCAATCCACCCGGGGGGGGGGTTGCATGCAAGTGTTTAAAGTTAAAATACTTACCAGTGAGGCAGGTGCCTCTTACACAGCTGCATAAAAGTGCGGGGAGAGGGGAGGGCGATCCTTACCATCGACCAAGAAGAAGGCGGCTAGTGGGGGGGGGGGGGGGGGTTATAACCGAGCTTCCCAGGGCATCACTCACCGAGCCATAGCCCCAGCCTGACTACCCCACACTGGCGCAGTGAGGCTGGGGCCGTCGCACGGAAGGGGCATTTTCTAAGTGCCCACAGCTTAAACTGGACGGGTGAGCAGGCCCTCCCTCAAGGCCACCAAAGGATCCCCAAACTCGGTCGAACGGGCAGCAGCGGACGCAACCGGGATTGGCTCAAATACAGGCGGGCCTCGCTGAACGCTCAAGAAGAATGCGCCGTTGTTGTTCCTAGAATACGTGAGAGCATCGCTATTCGAATCATATACCCCATTGTATACATGGGGATGCGTTCCCGACAGCGTTGTTTCTTTCACGAGCAATATACGAAGGCTTCATTAGGGTTTTGGTAATAGCGCAAAAAATAATAGAGATGGTCAACGTTTCATAAGAAATATATATTTTATTATGACATCAGGGAGTATTATATAGAGTGCATTCTACTCTACTCCTACTACAAGGCAGTGGTGGGAGATGAGGTTGTGGGAACTGTCTATGCTCCCAATCCGGGTGATTCTCAGAGAGCTCCACGACCTCTGTGACCTTACTCTTAGGTTTTTTCGGTAAAGTCACGTAGGTAAAAATTGTAAAATAATAAAATAAAATAATAATAAATGAAAATAACTAAATTACATCACGACGTTATTTTACCTACGTGACTTTACCGAAAAAACATAAGAGTATGAATCTTTGCAGTCACGAAAGCTTCAAATTTAGAACTCTATTTCTGTGAGGTTTCTTTTAGACGGAGCCTGAGACTCTATCATAGCCTCGTGAGTTCTCACTAGGCTAAATGTACCGTACTAACATTGGATTTTTATACGTGTATTTATATAATCGTGACTATGAATCGTGATAATCGAATCGCGGGGTGGTGCCGATTGTCTCAGAGCGTGCGTCGCTTTTATTGGCTGAGCGAATTAATGGCCAGGGTACGTTTCCTCGGCCAGCGCTGCTGCGTGTTCTCACTCTTAAGCACTTTTTAGATTACAGTATTTGAGTTTATACATTTTTTCGTGAATAATTTCTCCAGGACTTATGAATTGATGTTTTACAGGGTCGCGCTATGCGAGGTCTGCCTGTAATTGATTGGCATCCACCCCGAGCCCCCTCTCCCACCTGGCTTTTAAACGCAGGTGGCCCAGCGCATTACCGTGTCGAGGTTTCCAGGGTGTGGGAAGAACACGTGAGCTGGGGTGGCAGAAAGGCCAGTGGGGGACTTGTACTGAATGAATGATGAAGCTGAAGCAAGGTTCATCTCCAAGTTCCTCGTGTGTCCGTTATTATCAAAATGGGGACGATGAATACTTTCACGTGGTCTTCCCTGTCACGTGGTAAAACACAACAAATGTCATTACTCTGGCGACCGAACATTGACAATGGCAACAATGTCATCATTAAAAGTAGAATATACACATTTTGCAGCCTCGGTAGAACAAAAATATTCCCCTCCATTTCATTCCCCAACGGAGACCAGGTTTTCACTTAATCCCCTTCATCATTGAGTTAATGATCAAGGTATGAGACATCAGCTCACACAATCCCAAGCCTGGACTCCCTATAAAAAATCAATTGGGTGCTCGACATTTTTTGGGCAGACGCACCTACGATGAGCATGGTTGGCTCCGTACGGTGCGAAAGAAGTTCTCAAAGACTAGGTGCAGAACCCTTTGGTGTGCTGTTCATCACCTGCCCGTACCCGTCCACGAGACACGGTTGAGGCTTGTGTGGCACGGGTATGGAATTGGCCTATTTACCGAAGCATATTGTCTGAACGAACCTCGCTCGAGACTATGAAGCATCGCTACTTCGTGTTTCACACAAAGTAATGGGAGTGTGGCGTCTTCACTGTGCTTTGAGCGTGGCCTGACAGTAAAGTAGAATGAGGCAGGGAGGCATTTTTTTGTGATTGTGGAGTGCTTTACAAAGAATTAACAATGGTACATATGAATGTAATGGGAGTGTGGCGTCTTCACTGTGCTTTGAGCGTGGCCTGACTGTAAAGTAGAATGAGGCAGGGAGGAATTTTTTGCGATTGTGGAGTGCTTTACAAAGAATTAACAATGGTACATATGAATGTAATGGTGGAGATTTAGTGAATGAAATAGATGAGAGGAAGCAATGGGCAAATCTGTGATGTGTGAATTCGGTGAAAGGAAAATTTATGACATTCAATGATGATGGATTGAATGGGTGAGAATATGAAGTGAGAAAAGTAACAGTGGGGGGAGATTAAGGGGTCGTGGGGTGAGCTCGGGGAAAATAAGTGAGTTTTGAGTGCAGAGCGAACGTGACTGTTTAATGTGGACGGGAAGTTTGTTCGAGTGAAGGGGGGCCAAGAATAGAAAAAGCGCGAGAAGGCACGTAGAAATATACAAGCGTGGCAAGGACATGAAGGGATGTGTAGACCAGCATGGGGAATTTGAACATAGTACACATGGAGCCAGTGCAGTTGCGTTAGGAGGGTCGAGGTATGGGAATTATAGGGAAGATTGAATGAATAGACTGTCCTCGCACAATCGGAACCTATGCGGACATGAATGAGGTGTCACCAGCATAGCAGTAATATGACAATGCCGGGTGTCATGGCGGCGTGTCCATAGGTGCCATATAGGTAATGAATAGAGGGCGGCCAAGTACTGATTCTTGTGGAACACCGCATTGAACCAGTAGCATAATGTACGCGATCCTGCATATAGCGAAATCATTGTAATGCAAGACCAGAAATCCGTACTGAGTGTTGGAGTCGTTCAAGAAGGACCGAATGGTCAATGATGTCAAACGAAGCACTGAGCTCTATCAGGACAAGAACACTTGCTTGCCCCCTGTCCGCTTGCAGCAATAAATCGTTGGTCACCCTCACGAGAGCCGTCTCAAATGTTGTGCACAGTACTGAAACCCCGATTGAAAGGGGTCGGATAAGTTGTACATAGCTAGACGCTGACGGAATCGAGAAACCACAGCACATTCCAAAATCTTAGACAAGGAAGTTCGGAGATTGGACATGTTTCTTTTTTTGTAATCTTTGGGTCAAGACCTTAGTCTTTAAAAAAAGTGGGGTGACTGCCGCCATTTTAAAAATGCTTGGAACTACACCAGTCTCAAAGGACATGCTGAAAAGGCTAAGAACAAGAACAAAGGATACACCAATGTGAAAAAGCTATCCCCCATAGCGGTCTGGAAGGGAATGGATCCAGTGGACAATAGGTTGGTCGACAACCATACTCTTTGGTTATTTCGGTAAAGTCACGTAGGTATAAAACTAAATAAATTAAATCACGACGTTTCGGGTGCAACACAAGCGTCCGTCATCAGGTGGGACAACCAACAATCAGAGGCGAGTTCGGCAGTTGTAATAGTGGGGAACTTGGTCGAGGAAATGCCATTAAACCAGGATGGGGGTCAATCTAATGGAAGGGCAATGAGGGGGAATATATATTAATTGGGAGCAGATAGTGGAAATTTTTAACCTCAAGCGACTGTTGAATAGAAGTACAGATGTCTGTGGAAGGAGAATTACAATTGTTGTCCTTATGCAGAAGATGATTGATGGTAGAGAATAAGGTTCGTGCATTATCCTTACTTGCTGGAATGCGACTAGCAATATAGGGTTGAAATGTTGAAGAAATAGGCGTGTAGCTGTCCTTTAAAAAATCTAGCGATGTATGGTGAGACCAGACTTCCTCCATGTACGTTCAGCACGACGAAAAATGGCTTTTTGTGCTCTCCAGATCAGTATTTTATTTTTTATTAAAATGATTCATGAAATTATCACAGCTAAAAAAAATAATTCAACACGGGAGGTGAAGATAGTTAAAGTTAAATTAGCGATATACTTCAATAAAATCGAGGATTATTGAGTCATTTATACAATTTGAATAGTAGGCTGATCTAGCCGAACGCAGAATGCTTCTGTATATCAAAACACTATCCTTCCAAAAAAAGTGCGTGGACCGGTAAAAATGAGTGGACCAGTAAATGTCTCTGCATCTATGTACCAATTATATTCTTGCTTATGGTAGTATACTCTTTGGTTCTTTCGGTAAAGTCACGTAGGTGAAAAAATAAAATTAAAAATACCAAATAAAAATAAATCACGACGTTTTGATTGGGGACTTATAAAAACCCCCTTAACTCCGGCATCTCTCCCACTTCAGTAAAAAAAAATATTGCTGTGGTTGCCACACCTGATGATGATTGCTTGTGTTGCAATCGAAACGTCGTGATTTATTTCTATTTTATATTTTTTCACCTACGTGACTCTACCGAAAGAACCAAAGAGTATGGATCCTTGCAGTCACGAAAACTTCAACTCTAGTATGATAGTATATTCAGAAGCTGCATGACAAATGCCACGTGAGGGCTTCAGCAGAGAGTTTGCGTAGTTTTGCTGTTTCTCCATTAAAGAAGCCCAGACTACAGTGGTTTACTAGTTTGGGTTGGTCTCAATTACACGGTGGCTTGTCTTAATTTTCTCATTCACATTACCCACGTACATGGTAGGACAATAGCATTGCATAAACAATATTATTCACCGTTGCTTTCAAAAAGGGACAATACTCAGATTTGAGTTTTCACTCCACATCGTGTGTTCTAGTGTGTTTCTCTAAATTGTAACGATGGGAAAACCCCTTCCCGCACTCCTTGCACACATGGGGCTTCTCACCCGTGTGCGTTCTCGCGTGTGCCTCCAAATTTGAACGCTGCGCAAAGCTCTTCCCGCATTGCTGGCACGAGTGCGGCTTCTCGCCGGTGTGCGTTCTTGTGTGTTTCTCCAAATCGGAACGCTGCGTAAATCCCTTTCCGCACTCCGTGCACTTGTGCGGCCACTCGCCCGTGTGCGATATGGCGTGCGTGGTTAAAGTATACAACTTTGCAAAACCCTTTCCGCACTCGTTGCAAACATACGGCTTCTCATCGGTGTGTGTCCTTGCGTGGTTCTCTAAATCGGAACGTTGTGAAAACCCCTTCCCGCACTCGTTACATACGTGCGGCTTCTCGCCGGTGTGCGTTCTTGTGTGTTTCTCTAAATCGGAACGTTGTACAAATCCCTTTCCGCACTCAGTGCACACGTGCGGCCACTCGCCCGTGTGCGATATGGAGTGCGTGTTTAACGTGTAGTACGTTGCGAACCCCTTCCCGCACTCGTTGCACATGTGCGGCTTCTCGCCCGTGTGTGTTCTCGCGTGTTTCTCTAAATCGGAGAGTTGTGCAAAGCCCTTTTTACACTCCTTGCACACGTGCGGCCACTTGCCCGTGTGAGATATAGAGTGCGTCGTTAAGGTGCAGCGCTTTGAAAACCCCTTCCCACACTCCTTGCACACGTGCAGCTTCTCCCCCGTGTGTGTTCTAACGTGCTCCTTTAACGTAGAACTTCGCGCAAAGCCCTTCCCGCACTCGTTGCAGACGTGCGGCTTCTCGCCCGTGTGCGTTCTTGAGTGCTTCTCTAAATCGGAACACTGTACGAATCCCTTTCCACACTCCGTGCACACGTGCGGCCACTCCCCCGTGTGTGAGATAGAGTGTGTCGTTAAGGTAGAGCGCTTTGAAAACCCCTTTCCACACTGGTTGCACACGTGCAGCTTTTCACCGGTGTGTGTTCTAGTGTGTGCCTTTAACGTAGAACGCCGTGAAAACCCCTTCCCACACTCGTGGCAGGCGTGCGGCTTCTCGCCCGTGTGCGTTTTGGTGTGCTCCTCTAAATCGGAACACTGTACGAATCCCTTTCCACACGCTGTGCACACATGCGGCCACTCGCCCGTGTGCGAGATAGCGTGCGTGGTTAAAGAATAACACGTTGAAAACCCCTTCCCACACTCATGGCACACGTGCGGCTTCTCGCCGGTGTGTGTTCTTGCATGTTTCTCTAAATCAGAACGTTGTGCAAAGCCCTTTCCACACTCCTTGCAAACGTGCGGCCACTCGCCCGTGTGTGAGATAGCGTGCGTGGTTAAGGTGGAACGCTTTGTAAACCTCTTCCCACACTCGTGGCACACGTGCGGCTTCTCACCGGTGTGTGTTCTCATGTGCGTCTCTAAACTAAAACGCGATGTAAACCCCTTCTCACACTCCTTGCACACGTGCTTCCTCCCATCGGTGGCCACTGCCGTGCACAATGCGATGCCTTCAAGTACCTTCCCGCACTGCTTGCAGGCTTGCGGGGTCTTGTTGCTTGTACATTCCGCTTTGTCTGTCTTTATTTCCAAGCAACTGCCCTTCCCGCAGTCCTCGCACAGAAGTTCTGTTTCTTTTTCTTCCTCTGCTGCACCTTTTGAAAATGCAAAAGCACATTTCAATCAGTCGATGCAAGAACGCTAAAAAAGATGCGTGCCAGAAACAGCACCAGTAATATTTTAGGTGATCTTCCTGCAGTAGCCTCGTTTCTACCTACCGCTGTCAACTGTCTTAGAAACGCTTATCTTAAGAACCCAGTGTCCAGTCTCAGTGGCTAAGACTACCAACAGCTACCGCAATCCAAGCCGACAAACATGCATAATTTTCATGCTCCAAATCCAACACATTCACCGTACCTGTACAGATAGTCCCCGACTTACGATATTTCGATCTTACGATGGCGATAGCGATACGACAAAATTGCCATCAACAACCTAACATCGTTCAAGTATGCAGACGAAGGACAGAATCTTAGGTAGGCTAAGAATTTACCTCGTTTTTTTTACTTTAAATTTTACTGTGCAATACAGTATTGTAATTAATAAAGACATACAGTATATAGTTTATACAGTACGGTACTGTAAATTCCTCTGTTTTGCTAAATTATCACCATTCTTTAAGACTCCTGGGTAGGCTAGGCCATCTTCGACTTACGATATTTTCGACTTACGACGGGGTCGTCATAACGCATCTCCATCGTAAGTAGAGGACTATCTGTATTTACTCCCGACTTTATTCCTGTGCTAACTCCATTCGTGGTGTTCGTAGATCATTGATGGTGTTCACACACCGTTCGCAAACTCCTCCAACGTGCTACGATTGCCCACAGCCCTTCTCTGATGTAATGCGGGATCGTACTTGACTGGATAGATGAGTTGCATCAGGACATTTGTTCACCCCCTGTCATGAGTCCAGCAGCAACACTACACTTTTTAAATTTTTACTATTTATGTTACCAGGTAAGACCCACTGAGCTATAGAGTTATTTTTCAGAAGCGACCTGGCCACACATGATCGCTGAACAAAGTGGCTTATTGCATGGACATTTTATTGCCGCCAAATTCTCTAAAAGCATGTTTCTAAATGTGGAGGAGGAAAACCGGAGTACCCGGTAGAAAAATCCACGCGACCATTGGGAGAACATGCAAACTCTAAATTTCCAGGCATCAAGGTCATCTCGCCACCGTAGAATAAGACTGGTGATAATGCGAGAAAACACTGCATTTTTCTCCATGATGTGACCAAAGGAAACTCACCTTGACAATTGTCCTCCTCCGATAACTCCACCTCGATGAAGTTCTGGTCTGAGGCGGCCAGACATTCATGGGAATCTTCCAGCTCCTCTGGCCTCTCACTGATCCCTTCAATCTTCAGATATGGACCTGTCATATAGAAAATCCATTATAGTCCTTGATGGATGGGAGATAGAATACATATAATGTTGCAGTAAAACTGGCCGGTTAGTCATTTATTCTTATAGTCCTGGAATTCTTAGTTTGGCTCTTAATTCTTGGTTTTGCTGTACCTAGCTGTATTCAGGGGATCTTACCATCATCGTCCACTTCAGTTTTCAGGGCAATATTCATCATATCAGTGCCCAGACTCCCACCATCTTCTTCCTTGACGGCCGGTCCTGCGCGCACACACACGCGTTCACACTCCACTGTGACGGACGGTAACTTCCAAAGCGGTGCCCCACGCAAACATGACTCAAGACTGGAACCCTGCTTAGCTTTGCGAGGCGTGACAAGATTGGGCGCATTCCACATTGTTCGTTCATAGGCAGGGGGTCGGCAACCTGCGGGCTCCAGAGCCGTATAGCGACTATTTTGGATGCCCCCTTGCGGGTAGCCGGTTTAAAAAAAAAAGTGAATCTTAAAGCGTAATTTAACGTAAAGATAATTGATTAAATATGGCAGGGAATGGGGTCATTGTGAAATGGCTTGGTGACAAAAGAATGTAAAACCTATTACTATATCTTGCTACTGGCAAAGGAGGTCTTATAATGTAAATGCTAACCCCGAGCTCTCAATACTCTGAGAGTGCGCTGTTTTAGAGTTGTACGCATTTTGGCGTCATCTGGTCCAACGCCAGTGGAGACTAGGCTCTAAGAAAAGCCATCTCGGGTGTGGACCAATCAATTTCAAGGACAGTGCATATCATTATCAGAGTTGTCTATTTTTATTTGCATTTTGACTGCTTGTGTTGTGGTTATTGCAAACATGATCCCTTGTATCTTAACTTTGGAGCTTTCGTGACTGCAGAATGATCCCTTGTATAAAGGTGTCAGTTTTGGTGCCAGATAAAAGGGTAAAAACCTATTACTATATTCTTGGTTCTTTTGGTAAAGTCACGTAGAAGGGAAATAATAAAATAAAGAACCAAGAATATGAATCCCTGCAGTCACGAAAGCTTTAAATCGAAATGTAGAAACTGTATTGTTAAATAATAACTAAGGGGGGGGAGGGGAAACAACTAGACACAATAGACCGTTTATTCCATCGCCTATTTTGTTTATTGAAGTCAGAACGTGTTTGTTATCTGCTGTATACCTTCTGCTGTGTTTGTGTACACGTAGCTCTGCGTGTGTGATGCGGTTCTCAAACTATATTTTAATCAAAGACGAATAAAATGGCTCCCCTTCTTTGAAAGGTTGCTGAAGACCTGGCCATAGGCAGTGTAATCTTACCAGCATCCAATTTCACCGTCACGTCAGGATACATCCGAGGGCTTGGAGTTTCATCGTGTTCTTGTTTGATGAATGGCAACTCCACGTGTGACACCATCTGATAGGAAACAGGCACCCAGACACCTCGTCAGGTGTGCATTTCACAAGGCAAACCATCACTAGCCCCGGCCACTTTTTTATAACCCTTGAGCTACACCCATTTCAAACCTTTTAAAACAGTCTGCCTCAGCAGCAGACCATGCTTTTTCCCACCTGATGATGGACGCTTGTGTTGCGCCCGAAACGTCGTGATTTATTTAATTTTATACCCACGTGACTTTACCGAAAGAACCAAAGAGTATGGATTCCTGCAGTCACGAAAGCTTCAAATCAAGATTATCCCCACACAGCCACGAAATGATGCTAGTTCGCACCTTTGTCTCCCCAGTGGTGATGTTTACAAACTGCACCAAGTGCTCATTTTAGGAAATCTAATGGAGGCCCAGGATCGGTTCACAAATTCGTTACTGATATTGGCCGTGAGCGGGCATCGATCTTGGGTCTGTGTGGAATTCATAGCACAGCACACTAACTAATGCGCTATCACTCCCCACATACGCGCAAACACTAAGTGACGATGACTTTACCACGGCGCTTGTGCCAGGCTAGCTGCCCCTCGAGGCCAGGTGAAGTGTCAAAGGCTCGCTGACAGGTCAGACTAATGAAGCACACACGAAAAATATACAAAGATCCCCCATATAGCTTCAACAGACTGTTGGGGCAAGTGCTGTTAGCGAGTAGCAACTATGATGGCCAGCCGGCACAGCACACGAGGGGGTTGTTTGGCCACCACCACGTCCGACCGCCTTTGTGTCCCCAGTCGTGATGTTTACACACCGCACCAGGTACTCATTTGAGGCTGAATCGACCTAGGGGAGACCCAGGACCGGTTCAGATAATCGTCACTGGTGGTGGCCGTGAGCGGGAATCGAACTTGGGTCGCCGGGTTCATAGCGCAGCGCGCGAACCGCTGCACTAACACTCCCCACTAATGAAGCACACACACGTACAGTAAAACCTTGTTAATTCAACACATGGGGATCTGGCCTTGCCGAATTATCCAAATATTCAAAAATTTTGTACATTGCCTTCTGCCCCAATAACAAACAAAAAATCCAAAGAGGCCTGTTTCATCAGCGTTGTATACCTGGGCCATGAGGAGTTGCGATTCTTCAATAATCTCGACCAGGCACTTCCTAAAGGGATCAACACTGGCCTGGTCAGCACTTGCAGACTCTCCAACAACTTGGCGGTTTCCCAAGCAGTGGCGACTTCGAAAGTTGAACAGCCAAGAAGCGCTTGCGTTGAAGTCTTGAATACGCAGGCACTGCGCCAGGTGTACTGCAGCATGTCGAATGTCCACGCCGCGAACGTTAACGCCAGCTGCACGCTCCTGTTTGTACCACTTGTACACTGCACTATCCAGGTCGACAAACTTTGTGGCCTTGATCCTCTTCTGTACCCGTTTGGAGCCGCTAGGATCCTCCAAGGTTAAGGCGTGCTTCCTAATCTTCTCCCGGCCTTTCTTGATGTCGTAAAAGGTGCTCGATTTTATGTCAAACTCTTCGCACACCATACGCATTGGCACACCCGCATCAATTCTGTCCAAAACTTTGGATTTGTCCCGCAGACTAAGGGACTTATACTTCAGTCCCTTTCTACTATTTCTTGATGTGGGCGCAGAGGACATTTCTGAGAGGGTTGCACAGGTTGCGTAAACAAGGTGAAGTCCAAAGCAACTGGTCTGCACGAATGCTCACTAAGCGCGCCGTCACCAGACCAAGGCATTGTATTGGTCGTGGCTATGCCGAAATTTGAACATTCTGTACGGCACTATGAGACCTCTTTTACCAGTGGCAAAATATAGTAGTAGGTTTTTACCCTTTTAAACTGGTACAAAACTGACACCTTTATACAAGGCATCATGCTTGCAATACGCCTTCTGGTGTCATCTGATCCAACACCAATGGGGACTAGGCTCTAAAGAAAGCCGTCTCGGGTGTGGACCAATCAACTTCAAGGACAGTGCATATTATTATCATGATCAGAGTTGCTTCTTTTTGTTTGCATTTTTGACTACTTGTGTTGTGGTTATTGCAAACATGATGCCTTGTATAAAGGTGTCAGTTTTGTACCAGTTTAAAAGGGTAAAAAACCTACTACTATTCTGTATGGCAATTCGGCTCATGGCGAATTGCTAATATGCCGTATGTATGCCGAGAGCGCGGCCGTGCCGAATTATCTCCAATTACGAATGATCAACTACCGCATTAACGAGGTTTCACTTATGTACGTGAAAACTACGACAATGACGCAACTACACACATATATACATGAACTAAGCTACACACCTATAATATACGTAAACATACATGCACATAGATAAACAAAGACAAAGATCCCCCGTGTGGCCTTAACAGGCTAGGGGCAAGTGCTGTTAGCGAGTAGCAGCACTTATGAAGGCCGGCACGGCACACGAGGGGGTGGGTGGCCAGCACCACGCCCGACCGCCTTTGTCTCCCCAGTGGCGATGTTTACACACCACACCAGGTACTCATTTCAGGCTGAGTCGACCTAGGGGAGACCCAGGACCGGTTCAGATAATCGTCACTGGTGTTGGCCGTGAGCGGGAATCGAACCCGGGTCGCCAGGTTCATATCGCAGCGAAGCGCTAACCACTACACTACCGCTCCCCACACACACACACAGTGCGCTAACCACTGCACCACCGCTCCCCCCACACACACACAGTGCGCTAACCACTACACCACCACTACACACACACAGTGTACTAACCACTACACTACCGCTCCACACACACACACAGTGCGCTAACCACTACACCACCGCTCCACACACACACACAGTGCGCTAACCACTGCACCACCGCTCCCCCCACACACACACAGTGCGCTAACCACTACACCACCACTACACACACACAGTGTACTAACCACTACACTACCGCTCCACACACACACACAGTGCGCTAACCACTACACCACCGCTCCCCACACACAACACACAGTGCGCTAACGACTACACTACCGCTCCCCACACACACACTGCGCTAACCACTGCACCACCGCTCCCCACACACACACCCAGTGCGCTAACCACTACACCACCGCTCCCCACAAACACACAGTGCGCTAACCACTGCACCACCGCTCCCCACACACAACACACACAGTGCGCTAACCACTACACCACCGCTCCCCACACACAACACACACAGTGCGCTGACCACTACACTACCGCTCCCCACACACACACTGCGCTAACCACTGCACCACCGCTCCCCACACACACACACACAGTGCGCTAACCACTACACCGCCGCTCCCCACACACACACAGTGCGCTAACCACTGCACCACCGCTCCCCACACACATAACAAGACACAAATATACACTTACCACCAATACACAGCGTCCGTGCCAGGCTAAGTGCACACACACACGTCTAGAAAGACACACACACACAACATACATTATTTACATACCTCACGTTAACTCACAAAACACTTTCATGAACTTAACTCTTAACAAAAACTACGTACGGTTGATGCAAAAAATTTTTTACTTGAATTATAAAGCAAATATATCAACGAGACAGTATTTATACAGCGAGTAAAAATAACAAAATATAATCACGAAATAACAACTGTTCGAATTTAAAATCGTTAAGTTATAATACGCAAAGCCTGAGGCCTCTCGGGACTTTAAAATAATAACAAAAAGAATAAGGGGACATTTAATTGTTATTATTACTATTAATTATTGTTATAATTACTCAAAAGGACAACACGAAATACATACAAGGACACAAATTATAAAGGTCCCCCGTGTAGCCTCTAGGAGGCTGTAGGGGCAAGTGCTGTGAGTAGCTTCACCTATGAAGGAGACAGACAAAGGTCCCCCGTGTAGCCTTTAGCAGGATGTAGGGGCAAGTGCTGTTAGTAGCTTCACCTATGAAGGAGATACAGACAAAGGTCCCCCGTGTAGCCTCTAGCAGGCTGTAGGGGCAAGTGCTGTGAGTAGCTTCACCTATGAAGGAGACACAGACAAAGGTCCCCCGTGTAGCCTTTAGCAGGATGTAGGGGCAAGTGCTGTTAGTAGCTTCACCTATGAAGGAGACACAGATAAAGGTACCCGTGTAGCCTTTAGCAGGATGTAGGGGCAAGTGCTGAGTAGCTTCACCTATGAAGGAGACACAGATAAAGGTCCCCCGTGTAGCCTCTAGCAGGCTGTAGGGGCAAGTGCTGTGAGTAGCTTCACCTATGAAGGAGACACAGACAAAGGTCCCCCGTGTAGCCTCTAGCAGGATGTAGGGGCAAGTGCTGTTAGTAGCTTCACCTATGAAGGAGATACAGACAAAGGTCCCCCGTGTAGCCTCTAGCAGGATGTAGGGGCAAGTGCTGAGTAGCCTCACCTATGAAGGAGACACAGACAAAGGTCCCCCGTGTAGCCTCTAGCAGGCTGTAGGGGCAAGTGCTGTGAGTAGCTTCACCTATGAAGGAGACACAGACAAAGGTCCCCCGTGTAGCCTCTAGCAGGATGTAGGTGCAAGTGCTGTTAGTAGCTTCACCTATGAAGGAGATACAGACAAAGGTCCCCCGTGTAGCCTCTAGCAGGCTGTAGGGGCAAGTGCTGTGAGTAGCTTCACCTATGAAGGAGACACAGATAAAGGTCCCCCGTGTAGCCTCTAGCAGGATGTAGGGGCAAGTGCTGTAAGTAGCTTCACCTATGAAGGAGACACAGATAAAGGTCCCCCGTGTAGCCTCTAGCAGGCTGTAGGGGCAAGTGCTGTGAGTAGCTTCACCTATGAAGGAGACAAAGACAAATGTCCCCGTGTAGCCTCTAGCAGGCTGTAGGGGCAAGTGCTGTTAGTAGCGAGAAGCTTCGCCTATGAAGGAGACTAAGACAAAGATCCCCCGTGTAGCCTCTAGCAGGATATTGGGGCAAGTGCTGTTAGTAGCGAGTAGCTTCACCTATGAAGGAGACACAGACAAAGGTCCCCCGTGTAGCCTCTAGCAGGCTGTAGGGGCAAGTGCTGTGAGTAGCTTCACCTATGAAGGAGACAAAGGTCCCCCGTGTAGCCTCTAGCAGGCTGTAGGGGCAAGTGCTGTGAGTAGCTTCACCTATGAAGGAGACACAGATAAAGGTCCCCCGTGTAGCCTCTAGCAGGATGTAGGGGCAAGTGCTGTTAGTAGCTTCACCTATGAAGGAGACACAGATAAAGGTCCCCCGTGTAGCCTCTAGCAGGCTGTAGGGGCAAGTGCTGTGAGTAGCTTCACCTATGAAGGAGACAAAGACAAATGTCCCCGTGTAGCCTCTAGCAGGATATTGGGGCAAGTGCTGTGAGTAGCGAGTAGCTTCACCTATGAAGGAGACACAGACAAAGGTCCCCCGTGTAGCCTCTAGCAGGCTGTAGGGGCAAGTGCTGTTAGTAGCGAGAAGCTTCGCCTATGAAGGAGACTAAGACAAAGATCCCCCGTGTAGCCTCTAGCAGGATATTGGGGCAAGTGCTGTTAGTAGCGAGTAGCTTCACCTATGAAGGAGACACAGACAAAGGTCCCCCGTGTAGACTCTAGCAGGCTGTAGGGGCAAGTGCTGTTAGTAGCGAGAAGCTTCACCTATGAAGGAGACAAAGACAAAGGTCCCCCAGGTAGCCTCTACCAGGCTGTAGGGGCAAGTGCTGTTAGTAGCGAGTAGCTTCACCTATGAAGGAGACACAGACAAAGGTCCCCCGTGTAGCCTCTAGCAGGATGTAGGGGCAAGTGCTGTTAGTAGCGAGTAGCTTCACCTATGGAGACACAGACAAAGATCCCCCGTGTAGCCTCTAGCAGGCTGTAGGGGCAAGTGCTGTTAGTAGCGAGAAGCTTCACCTATGAAGGAGACACAGACAAAGGTCCCCCGTGTAGCCTCTAACAGGATGTAGGGACAAGTGCTGTTAGGTGACCTCTACCGTGCTGGGCGACGTTTCGGGGCACGGCTCCTTCTCCAAAGGGCCTCGAGGCGACGGTGGAAGAGGTGGAGTGGTGCAGGCGCCTAGGGTGGCGACAAGATGCAGGAATAAGACGCGAAGCGTCCGTTTCCGAAGGGGCCGTCCATAATTGACGTCACGCGAATTTGGATGATTTTGACCCCCCCCCTCGTCACACGGCGTCGCAAAAAGTCAGACCCCCCCCCCCTCAAATATGACGTCACAAAGCTCTGCCCCCCCCCCCCAAAAAAAATATATAAAACATGCTTCAAATCGCTTTAAACTATTGTCATTGTAGTGCGTATTTAATGTTGCGCTGCACTCTGATGTTGTAAGAGAACACAATTATTAAAAAGTCAATTTAATTAAGTAGAACGTGTTGTCTATATTTATTTAAAGTTGCGCATTTTGATGTGACGTCACATTTCTCACCCCCCCCCCCACCTCGTCACACATCGTCACAAATGTTTGACCCCCCCACCTAGATGCGTGACGTCATTTATGGACGGCCCCTAAACTAATTAAAATTATTCAACCCTCTTTTCCGTCTCGAGACATCAGAATATTTATTTATCCTGCATTAGGAATCAGGTTGAGCTCTAAAGCAATTTTTTTTGGGGTCCAGTAAGGGTCAGGGGGTAAGAACTTTACAAGCACAAGCACACAAACAAGGTATGGGTGCAAAGTAGTTTCAGTTTCATTTATTTGGTATGGCCATGTGAGCCATTCGGCTCTTGAATCGGGTGCAACCGCAACAAACAAAATACAAAAATATGAACAAGAAAACATCTTAATGTGACTAAGTGCAAACAGAAAATCCAGAAAAAGCAGCAACATATTCAGAAAAAGCACCGTACACCAACGCTGTGTGCAAAAATCCCAGTGGGATGCAAGTCAAACAACAACAACCACAAGACAACTTAGATTAAGGCCATCAGTCTAACTCCGTACTACAACAAACAAACATGGCTAAACCAAAAATAGTACAAGGTGGGTAACCAAACTAGGGCTGAATGATTTGGGGGAAATGTCTAATTGCGATTTTATTGACAGATAGTGCGATTTGATTTGCGATTAATTTTTTTTTTAAGTCAAGCTTCAGTTCAATATTCACTGTGTAATATATTTAAAACATGTGATGAAGCATTACCACATGATACCATCAAAATATTAACTGCTATATATATTCTAATGCAAGGATGAGAACTTAAAAGATATTAATTGCTTCCAACATGTATTTATTAAAGCGTTTTAATTGAAATAGAACAATCAAACATAGAACAATTGTTAAGTTAAATAAAGAAAGTTATAATAATAGTTATTAACAATTCCAATAGAAAAGTAATAGGACTTTTCAAATCGCAAAAAATCGCAGCCTTTGCGATTTGCTAATCGCATTGTTTCAAATTGCGATTAATATATTTAAAATCGATCTAAAATCGATTAATCGTTCAGCCCTAAACCAAATCATCCAAACACACAAATTCAACAACTAAACCCAAGGCCGTAGCCATGGAGTCAACATTGGTGGTGGACCAAATCTAGGGTGTCTGGGGGTCCCAACCCATAAAATTATCTAAATTTGAAAACTAATTTGCTGCCTAAAATATTGAAAAAATTCACAAACACGTGGGGTGGACTTTTTCTTTCTTTTTTACAATAATGTCTAATAGTGGATTGTATTACATTGCTCTGTTTTTTTATTTTCTTGTTTCATTGTATGAAATGGCAGAGATTAGGGATTAATAAAGTACAACCATAACCACAATCACTTAGACACAAATCTATTTTATAGCAATATATTGGGGGGGACATTTTGAGAATATTTGAATATTGGGGGGGGGGGGGGATGTGTCCACCCCCAATATTTATTATGTTGTATTTTTATTATTTTATTATTTCCCTTCTACGTGACTTTACCGAAAGAACCAAGAAGATGCCCCGTGAAATTAAAAATATTTTACAATTTTGTCATATCGATATCGCCATCGTAAGATCGAAATATCGTAAGTAGGACCGTTGCAACTCGGGGATTATCTGTAATCCAAAGCGGTCGTATACCGAGGTATAACAACGGAGGGATCTTTGGCGAGATGTAATGATTCAGCCTCTCGCTGGGAGTGAAGCGTGCCCATGTGCGTTCAGGGAGGGGAGCGGTGGTGCAGCGGTTAGCGCTATACGCTCCTGGTGTGGTGGTGGTGGTGTTCGTGATTGTGTGGTGATGTTAGTGGTTGTGATGGTGGTGTCACGGAGGAGTGGTAGTGTAGTGGTTTGTGCGATGCGTTACGAACCCAGCCCCGGTGACGATTATCTTAACCGGTCCTGGGGGCCTCCCCTAGGTCGACTCAGCCTCAAATAAGTCGCTGGTGCGGTGCGTAGTAAACATCGTCACTGGGGAGACAAAGGTGGCCGGGCGGGGTGCTGGCCACCCACCCACTCGTCTGCCGTGCCGGCCTTCATAGGTACTCGCTAACAGCACTTGCCTCTACAGTCTGTTCAGGCTACACGGGGGATCTTTGTCTTTGTGTGTTTAAGAAACAGACGGTGCCCGTCTTGTCCCTGCATCTTGCCGCCTTCGTGCGCCTCCTCCCCGTGGCCTCTGCGCCCTCTGAAGAAGGAGGTGTTCCCCGAAACGTCGGTCCAGCACGATACAGATCGGACACGGACACACACAGAGTGTTCGTACAGCACGGTTCAGCAGCAATAGCATCACCACCACCAATCACCAGGTATCTTCTTCATTTGCCCTGTGTGTGTGTGTGAAGTTAAACATCGCCACTGGGAAGACAAAGGCGGCCGGGTGGGCGGCCTTCATAACTCGCGAACAGCACTTGCCACAACGGTGTGATGAAGGCTATACGGGGTTTCTTTGTAATGTACTCTAACGTGGGGAGTGGTGGCGCAGTTGTTAGGCTACTTACTGCGTTATGCATGGCCTTAATTATAATATAATTATAATATATGCTCAAAATGTACCCCCCCCCCCCCCCACAATATATTGCGATAACTAAATAATTTTTTTCTTTTTGGTTCTTTCGGTAAAGTCATGTAGAAGGGAAGTAATAAAATAATAAAAATAAAACATAATAAAATAATTCTCACGACGTTTCGGCCACAACGCAAGCAGCCGTCCTCAGGTGAAGACCAGGTCTGTCGGGGAGACAGCGTCTGAACATTCAGACGCTAAATAATTGCTATGCTATCTAAATAAAAACAACAATTTGCTCAACCTTGGCCACAATATCTGGACTTGTCTTCATGTAAAACAATGCGTAGATTTCTGTGTATATGATTGTGGTTATGGTTGTACTTTATTAATCCATAATCTCTGCCATTACATACAATGAAACAAGAAATAGTAAAAAAGTAAAAACAGAGCAATGTAATACAATACACTCTTAGACATTATTGTACAAAATAAATACAAAGTCTATCCCATGTGTTAGTGAGTTTTTTAATATTTTCGGCAGGAAATGAGTTTTCAAATTTATATATTTTTTCTGGGTTGGGACCCCCAGACACCCTAGACGATTTGGTCCCCCCCAATGTTGGGCAGTGCCAGGCTAGGTGCGCTATGAACTACTGGGCAGTTGGAGGCAGTTGCCCTTCTGCCCCAACGGATGGCAGAGGAGCGACGCTCACAACAAAGATCGGAGCGCCGGGTGGATAAAACGCAGCAAGTTGTGACAGTCGGGGTACAGCTGGTGCATCTGCCAGTCATCTTGGTCAGTCAACCCATGGTACCTGGGTCTGTCCCGTGACCTCCTCCTACACTTAGCCTGGCACAGCAGTCAACCCATGGCACCTGCGTCTGCCCCGTGACCTCCTGCACAAGCCTGGCACAGTAGTCAACCCATGGCACCTGCGTCTGCCCCGTGACCTCCTGCACCTAGCCTGGCACAGTAGTCAACTCATGGCACCTGCTGGGTCTGTCCCGTGACCTCCTGCACTTAGCCTGGCACAGTCAACCCATGGCACCTGCGTCTGCCCCGTGACCTCCTGCACCTAGCCTGGCACAGCAGTCAACCCATAGCACCTGCGTCTGCCCCGTGACCTGAACCTAGCCTGGCATAGTAGTCAACCCATGGCACCTGCGTCTGCCCCGTGACCTCCTGCACCTAGCCTGGCACAGCAGTCAACCCATGGCACCTGCGTCTGCCCCGTGACCTCCTGTACCTAGCCTGGCACAGCAGCCAACCCATGGCACCTGCGTCTGCCCCGTGACCTGCCAGCAGCGAGCCTTCGACACTTCACGCGGCCTCAAGGTGCACCTGGCCTGGCGCAAGCGCCTCGTTGATGCAATCGCCACTGAGCGTTGTGCCTGTGTTTGGATCGATGATAGTGCTGGAGTTCGCGCACAGCGCTATGAACCTAGAGACCCGAGTTCGCTTCCCGTCACGGCTAACACCAGTGACGAATATCTGAACCGGTCCTGGGTCTCCGTTAAATCGCCGTAAATGACCGTGGTCATCCATGACAGACCGTACACAACGCTTGACAATGCAATGCCCCGATCCTCAAATACGAAGGAGACATCAAAGCGATGATGATGATGATACACTGCTCCGCTGCTGCTCCTAACGCGGTTGTCTGGGCTTGACCACCCGAATGTGAAATTGTCGTTGTTACTTTGCGCCTACGTCAGAGCACCGAATGCGATGTGTAAACATCGCCACTGGGGATGCAAAGGTGCCATATGCATCAGATGTATATGGCTCACCTGGCAATATGTGGCTGTGTGTCTTTCCTCTCAGATGGCTTCGCACGTTGAGTTGCCACTCATCAAACAAGAGAACGATGAGACTCCAAGCCCCAGGATGTATCCTCGTGTGACTATGGAACGTGGTTATGGTAAGATCGCAACGCCCGAGACCGTTATAACTACGGATTGGGCCAAATCTCGGCACATCGTGCAAACCCATGCAGGGTTTCAGTCCGAGTCATGCTTGGATGTGCAACCGCCACGCATGACGAGTTGTTATGGGGCTGTGTGTTCGAATGAATACCGTGAATTTTGCCTGTGTATAATTGCATCAATTGCTTACGTCTCGACTGGTTAATTTAGCATCGGTCGGTACACACAGTGTCACTACATCATCTACACCGGTGGTTCTCAAACTTTTTTTGCGGCTACTCTAACTACCCCTTGTTGAATTTTGTCTCAACCGAGCTACCGCATTGCCTGACCCATCATGGTTCTGAGAAATGGATGTCTGAGTAACGAACATCGATATTTTAACCAATCGTCCATGTTGTCGGGTATCCTAACTAGCTGCTGGTAACTGCAGCGTATAAAAAAAGACGCCCTAAATACGTGCCCGCAATTTTGTTTACACTCGCTGGTTACTCTTGGAAACCACACTGTTTACAATCAGTGCGTTTATAACGGTATTTTATATCATTCTAGGGTAGCATTTGGATTCACATTTTATCTTAGTTATTTCATATTGGCAGATTCATGCATGATTATTCACCAATGACTCTCACGTAAGATATAATTTCACACGTTAAAAAATCATCTCACGTTACCCCCTGGGACATTGCCACGTGTACCCCCCAGCGTTCCGCTTACCACCCCCGGTGAAGTGCCACCGATCAACATGAGCCATCACTGAGTTAACGGTGATGTCACCACAACTCTTGTGCCGGGCAAGGTGCACTTTTGAGGTCACGTGAAGTGTCGAAGGGTCACTGGCAGGAGGTTAGAGACGAGACCCCCGGATATCTTGGGTTAAATGCCTCAGGTGACTGACATACTGCCAGACCTATGCTCCCCACTGTGCCACCTTTCTGCGTTTTAGCCGCCCGGCGCTCCGTCCGTTGCGAGCGCCGTGCTTCTCAGCCCTACGTTGTTGGTGGAGGGAGCGACTGCCTCCCAACTCTCCAAATACCCAGTAGCGTAGAAACTTTGGAAGCCCCCATAATCTTCAAGGGACCTGACGTCACGTGTTTTGTGCGTGACATCGGTGGCGTAACTCAGTTCTCCTGAACCGCCTGGGGCTGGCATGGCACAGTTGCTCGGATGTGCTACTGGAATAGTGGTTTAAGTGACACGAGGCGTTGCGGCGATAGAACCCTGAACCACCCGGATATATCTGTGGCTCTGCCACCTTCTGGAAGTGATCGTCTGTAAACGTGGAATGTGAACGCGTGTGTATATGCAGAAGCGGGCGTCAAGGAAGAAGATGATGGGAGTTTGGACACTAAGATAATGAAGATTGCGGTGAAAACCGAAGTGAAGGAAGATGGTAAGGTCCCTGCATACAGCTCAGTAGAGCAAAACCAAATATTAGAGCCAAACAAAGGCGAGATATCAAGAATTATAAAAGTAAACAGATAAACGACTCTAGCTGACAAGCTTGATTGCATTGTTATGTGCATTTCGTCTCCCATCCATCAAAGACCTTTCATAAAATGTTCTATATCACAGCTCCAGATGTGAATATTGTTAAAGTTGAAGGAGCCGTTGAGAGGACAAAGCAGACTGGGGATTCCCACGGATGTCCGGCCACTCCAGACCAGAATTTCATCGAAGTGGAGTTATCAGAGGAGGACGTTGGTGAAGGTGAGTTTCCTTTGGTCACGTCACAAATAACAGACCTCATGGGAAAACTAGGGTTGCGTTCCTGGGTACGAAATGATCACCCCCTGCAGCAAGATCACTGAGCATGTAACTGGTCTTCTTCTTTCGTACGGCTGCTGTAGATGCAGATCAACAACTACAATTTCACATTCAGGTGGTCAAGCCAGATAACCACGTCAGGAGCAGCGGAGTGTATCGCTGCGATGTCTCCTTTGTATTTGTGGATCGGGGCATTGCGTCGTTATACATTGTATAAGGAGAGTACGGTCTGTTCTGGATGACCACAGTCGCACACTACTGGAGATTTTTTTAGTTTCCATTTGTGCATCAGATACCCGCATCTGACATGGTTTGTGCGGATGTGGTTTAGGGCGGACTATGAGCTACGTGTAAAAGTAAATCTAAGGGTATTCTGCGTTGTATCTTTCACAACAAGGTGGTGTTTGTTTTGTGAGTCACCTTTGAACTCAATTTAGCTTTCCAAGCTTCATCTCGCATTGTTAAATGTTAAACGCATCAATCCAGAAGGGCTTGCTTTACTTAATCGTAATTGGTGCTGTTCTGGCACTCGTTTTTTTTTTTTATCTTGCATCAGTTAATCGAAATGTTCTTTTTCATTTAAAAAAATGTTCAGCAGGGGAAGGAAAAGAAACGGACCTTCTGTGCAAAGAATGCGGGAAGGGCAGTTGCTTCAAAACAAATACGACGGACAAAGCAGAACGCACCGGCAACAAGAACCGGCGAGCCTGCAAGCATTGCAGGAAGGCACTTGAAGGCATCGCGTTGTGCACGGCAGTGGCTACCGATGGGAGGAAGCACGTGTGCAAGGAGTGTGACAAGGGGTTTACAACGCGTTTTAGTTTAGAGACGCACATGAGAACACACACCGGTGAGAGGCCGCACGTGTGCAACGAGTGTGGGAAGAGGTTTACAACGCGTTTTACCTTAAGCACGCACGCTATTTCACACACGGGCGAGTGGCCGCACGTGTGCAAGGAATGTCAAAAGGGCTTTGCACAACGTTCCGATTTAGAGAAACACGCACGAATACACACCGGCGAGAAGCCGCACGTGTGCTACGAGTGTGGGAAGGGCTTTTCCCAAAGTTCTACAATGGAGGCGCACATCAGAACACACACCGGCGAGAAACCGCACGTGTGCAAGGAGTGTGGGAAGAGGTTTACAAAGCGCTCTATCTTAGCCAGACACGCGATATCACACACGGGAGAGTGGCCGCATGTTTGCAACGAGTGTCAAAAGGGCTTTGCACAACGTTCCGATTTAGAGAAACACGCACGAACACACACGGGCGAGAAGCCGCACGTTTGCAACGTGTGCGGGAAGGGCTTTTCACAACGTTCAGATTTAGACAAACACGCACGAACACACAACAGCGAGAAGCCGCACGTTCGCATGGAGTGCGTGAAGGACTTTTCAAAACGATCTACATTAGAAGTGCTTGTTAGGACACACACCGGCGAGAAGGTGCATGTGTGTAAGGAGTGTGGGAAGGGGTTTACAAAGCGCTCTGCCTTAACCAAACACTGTATGTCACACGCGGGCGAGTGGCCACACGTGTGCAACGAGTGTGGGAAGGCGTTTCCAAAACGTTCCGATTTTGAGAAGCACGCGAGAACACACACTGGAGAAAAGCCGTACGTGTGCAACGAGTGCGGGAAAGAGTTTGCAACGTTTTATACTTTAACCACACACTCCATATCACACACGGGCAAGTGGCCGCACAAGTGCGCAGAGTGCGGAAAGGGATTTGCACAGCGTTCCGATTTAGAGACGCACACAAGAACACACACCGGCGAGAAGCCGCACGTGTGCAGGGAGTGCGGGAAAGGCTTTTCAAAGCGATCGACATTAGAGGCACACGCTAGAACACACACCGGTGAGAAGCCGCACGTTTGCAACGAGTGCGGGAAGGGGTTTATAAAGCGTTCCAACTTAGCCACACATTGTATATCACACACGGGCGAGTGGCCGCACGTATGCAAGGAGTGTAATAAGGGCTTTGCACAGCGTTCCGATTTTGAGAAGCACGCGAGAACACATACGGGCGAGAAGCCGTATGTGTGCAACGAGTGCGGGAAGGGCTTTGCAACGTGCTATACTTTAACCATGCACGCCATATCGCACACGGGCGAGTGGCCGCACATGTGCGTCGAATGTGGGAAGGGCTTTGCGCAGCGTTCCGATTTGGAGAAACACACACGAACACACACTGGCGAAAAGCCGCACGTGTGCAAGGAGTGTGGGAAGGGATATTCACAACGTTCCGATTTGGAGAAACACGCAAGGACACACACCGTTGAGAAGCCGCATGTTTGCAATGAGTGTGGAAAGGGGTTTGCAACGTTGTATACTTTAACCACACACTCCATGTCACACACTGGCGACTGGCCGCACGTGTGCACGGAGTGCGGGAAGGGATTTGCGCAGCGTTCTGATTTGGAGAAACACACAAGAACGCACACCGGCGAAAAGCCGCACTCGTGCCAGCAATGCGGGAAGAGCTTTGCGCAGCGTTCAAATTTGGAGGCACACGCGAGAACGCACACGGGTGAGAAGCCCCATGTGTGCAAAGAGTGCGGGAAGGGGTTTTCCCATCGTTATAATTTAGAGAAACACTCTAGAACACACAATGTGGAGTGATAATCTGAATCAGAATTTGCTTCATCTTGAAGGCAACGGTGAATATTTTTAATAGTTTTTTTTTGCAACTTGACAAGAGCTGCTGTACAAAGCACATACCGCAACAAGGATGGGGGGGGGGTGTACAGGAGGAACTCCGCGGACTAAATCGTTTGGTTTCAGGTCCCCCCCCCGCACCTGCAGGGTTTCAATTGAGGAGCTTAAGTGTTTTTTTTTATAGTCCAATTATGTCCGAGTAAATGTACTGGCGGGTTTTTCTTTTTTTAAAACCACGGGTGTTGGAGAGTATATATTCGCCTAGACCAGGGGTCGGCAACCAAAATAACAAGAAGAGCCATTTCTTTCCAATTCGGTACAAAATTCAGTATTTCAAGAGCCGCAATGTATCTGAGTACATACGTACTCATCGTCAAGAAGCAGCCCGTAAAGAGCCGCATGCGGCTCCGGAGCCGTAGGTTGCCGACCCCTGGCCTAGACTAACTACAGGTGCAGGCTTGGGTTTGGCAAAGAGGGCCTTAGGCTTCGATGGTACGATGAACCATCCAAAGAAGGGGGAACAGCTCGACTAAAAAGGAGGGGGGGAAAACACAAGCTCCCTCTGGGGTCTTGGGACTAAAAAGGAAATAAATTAATATTTAAAAAGAAAAAAGAGGTCGTTTACTGGGTTCTAATCTGAAGTAGGGGTTGGAGAGGCCCGTTCAGCTTTACTAACTCTGCCTTGTGTAATGCGATTGTCGTAAATGGACATTAAAGATACGAGCCACACTAGTGCGACTGTGGCTATCCAACCCAAACTGTGGATTCTATTGTCAATGCCAGTCTACACTCCTTCACTGGAGAAGGAATGGTGAAGCCACACGAACACTCCCCTGAAGCCATCTCATGGCCGGCAGATCTCGACATTGGCGTTTAGCTCCTGAACATTTATGTTTGCTATTTTTTTTATTTTACCAGGCATAACCAACTCGCCCTTTCCCTCTCCTCCCGTGATCGTTACGAGGGGACAGTCTGGTTAATAAGTAAAAAAAACAGCAACGATAATAGTCGATAATTGTTTTTTTACCCTTCTATCTGGCAACAAAATTGACACCTTTTTACAAGGAGTCATGTTTGCATAGACCGCAATACCTGCAGTCATAATACAAACAAAAGAACATAACTCTGATAATGTGCACTGTCCTTGAAGTTGTTTGTTGCCAGATAGAAGGGTAAAAAACCAATTATCATATTTTTACTGGCAAATGAGGTTCCCATAGTGATAATAGTCGAGTTTGGAGGCAATGAGTGGATACTCTTCGTTGTGTTCTGCCCTTCTAAGAATCGGATGACTCCACCGCCAAGGGATGCCAGAGGGTTGTGTGACTGCAACTCTTTATTTCAAAGTGTTCTTCTGAGGAGCATTCGTGCATCTGTAATTATGACCAGATGCACAGCAATCAACCCCAATTAACACCATCTCAGTGTTCAACCCCTGTATTGTACAATGTCCACCCTAATCTGAATAATGGTTACACCTGCTTATCATATACAATACACATTCAACTTCTTAAATATTTAACATTTAGCCAAACTATCTTCTAGAAACATCTAGATTATTTTCTAAATACTGTATTCTAGTCAGCCGCTGTGATAATACTGCACAAATTAAATACTAATATAATAAGCCTAGAATGTGTCCCATGCGTGACGTCACTCCACATGAGGCCCCCCCCTTCATTAATAAACGTAGTTTTTATTTTTTTATTTTTTTAACCTATCTACGTGACTTTACCTAAAGACCCAAAGAATATGAATTCCTGCAGTCACGAAAGCTTTCAGACAATATTTGCCTGTGCAATATCCACCCGAATCTGAATAGGTGCCCTGTACCCTGAATTTATTACTCTACTGGTCGGCGTGGCCTCGTGTGCATTCACGTGACTCTATGGGTCCAATCAATGGTCATTATTCCTTTCATTCACAATTATACCTGTGGTTCATTTACATTAAGCCAATACCGGCTACACAGGCAAGGCCCCACAGAGCTACTATAGGGCCGTCCATAAATGACGTCACGCGATTTTGGATGATTTTTGACCCCCCCCCCCCTTCGTCACACGGCGTTACAAAAAGTCAGACCCCCCCCTCAAATATGACGTCACAAAGCTCTGCCCCCCACCCCCCCAAAAAAAGAAAACATTCTTCAAATCGCTTTAAACTATTGTCATTGTAGTGCGTATTTAATGTGGCGCTGCACTCTGATGTTGTAGGAGAAAACATTTATTAAAATGTATATTTAATTAAGTAGAACGTGTTGTCTATATTTATTAAAAGTTGCGTATTCTGATGTGACGTCACATTTCTCACACATCGTCACAAATGTCTGACCCCCCCCCCCCCCGGTGCGTGACGTCATTTATGGACGGCCCCTTATGTGGACATTTATAGCAGCAGCCAAATACTACAAACGCACAGAGATACATAGAGACCTATGGAGATGCACTGAGACCAATAAAGACTCGCATCCATTCTTGATTTGAAGCTTTCGTGACTGCAGGAATCCATGCTCTTTGGTTCTTCCGGTAAAGTCACTTAGATAGAGAAATAAAATAAAAACAAATATTGAAAACTCGTACATAGAGACCCACAGAGATGCATAGAGACCCATACGCATCGATTGAAAACTAATTTCTTTATAACTCTTTTTGTGTTTCCTTTGTTTCCCTTGCCCTGCGCCTCCAATTAGCATGGTTGGCTCCGTACCATGCGAAAAAAGGTCAACGTACATCTCCATTTATATAAAAGGCAAAGCTGTGAATATGTGTGTCTGTATTCTTGGTTCTTTCGGTAAAGTCACATTTTCTTGCTGTGGATTTCACACCTGATGATGATTTCTTGTGTTGCAGTCGAAACGTAGTGAGAATTTTGATTGTTTTATATTTTTATAATTTTATTATTTCCCTTCTACGTGACTTTACCGAAAGAACCAATAATATGAATCCCTGCAGTCACGAAAGCTTTAAATAAAAATGTATGTGTGTCTGTTCAAAATGTTTAACGTACTTCCCGACATGCAACAAACTGGAAATTTGCCATGTGGGTACTTTCCAGACTGTAGACCATGCAAAAATTATAAAAATGCACTTTTTTGTGGGGATGGAGCTCAATAATGCATATCTTTTTTGCACGGCAAGTGAGCTGTGACGTCAAATCTGTCACGTGACCCGCGCACGTGGAAGCGTAAGGCATTGCAGTGTAGTGGTCAGCGCTACGAACCCGGCGGCCCGAGTTCGATTCCCGCTCACGGCCACCACCGGTAACGATTATTTCAACCGCTCCTGGGCCTCCCCTAGGTCGACTCAGCCTCAAACGAGTCACTGGTGTTTGTGTGTGAACATCGCGTGGTGGATCCATGTCCCGGGCGAAGCCGGGTCGTACAGCTAGTACCCGACATGACCTCGCTTCTCTCGTCTCTCACTACTCTGCCGCCAGTCCCATCTCTACCGCCCCTCTCTCTGTACCCTCTCACTCGCCCTGTGTCCACTCTCGTCCCTGCCCCATTCTCGCTCCCCTCAACTGGAACCAACTCAGAGCGACAATCTTCACTACAGCAGCAACGACGACTACAGCCTGAATCTTCCGTTCCAGCGTCATCCTGATACTGATCCTCCATAAACCCCACCGCCCAGCTACGACCAGGCCATCACAACCACTATCCCTATCACTACCCCAACCCCTATCACTATCCAAACCACTATCAATACGATTTAAAGCTTTCGTGACTGCAGGGATTCCTCTTCTTGGTTCTTTCGGTAAAGTCACGTAGAAGGGAAATAATAAATAATAATAATAAAATATAATAAAATAATTCTCACGACGTTTCGGCCACAACGCAAGCAGCCGTCCTCAGGTGAAGAACAGGTCAGACGCTGTCTTCCCGACATCTCATCTCAATCCTATAATGGAGCAAGTGTGAGTTTTTTTTACTCTGTCCGTAAATATTTTTTTAAAGCCCATTTATTTGGAGCCCGTAACATTTGTGAAACATAAAAAAAAACATTTGATACAAAGTTTGGAAAACATTGCATCCTGTTTGTCAGATTTTCATCAGAACAGGAAAGGGTTAACCCTTTCCACATACGTCATTCCAATGACGTGCACACGCGTACACGTCATCGGAACGGAATCGGAAGAAGAATTACAATAAAAAAATTTCATCGGTACGTCTTCCGGTCGGAAGTCGTCCCTCGGCTCTCCGAAGGCGGTGCGGGGAGGTCGTGTGGCACAGTTTGACGCCAGCTATTGTAGGGTGCGGCGGTCGTGTCGCGACGGTTCTTTGCGGTGAGTACAATGTCTTCGCAAACAACGGCGCTACGCTTCTCTAAATTAAATTAACGGTGTGAACTGCGCGAGCGCGTGAACGGGGCCCAACCCTGCAACTTGCAGTCGTCTCGGAACGGGAAAGGGTAATGCATAGTTTATTAAACAGACGGTTCGACTCTTATCCCTGCATCTTGTCGCCTTCGTGTGCCTCCACCCACCCCGCCCCGTGGGGCTCTGCGCCCTCTGAAGAAGGAGCCGTAGCCCGAAACGTCGCCCAGTACGGTACAGGTCCCCCCCCCCTCCCCCACACACGCGTGCGCAGAGTGTTAGTGACGAATGCGTGTTCGTTATTTGTGTTTGTGCAGCACTACCAACGCAGCAGCAGTAGCATCACCACCACTAGATATCATCTCTTCATTCGCCTTGTGTGTGCGCCTATGTAACTTATAGGTCAACTCGGTCTCAAATGAGTACACAGTGTGTAGTAAACTTCACCACTGGGGAGACAAAGGCGTCCGGGCGTGGTAATGACCACCCACCCTCTCGTGTGTCGTGCCAGCCTTTATAGTTAGTTACTCACGAACAGCACTTGCCCCAACAGTCTGTTCAGGTTGTACGGGGAGACCTTTGTCTTTGTGATGTGTAAACATTGCAACTGGGGAGACAAAGGTGACCAGGTGTGGTGTTTGTCACACCACCTCAATAAGTGCTCACCAACATCACTTGTCCCATTTGTTTTCATAACTATGTGGGTATAGTTCAAGGCCATAGCCATGGAGTCAACAATGGGGGTGGGGACCAAATCTTCCAGGGGTCTGGTGGTCCCAACCCAAAAAAAATATCTAAATTTGAAAACTCATTTCCTGCTTAAAAAAAAAAATCACTAACACATGGGATGGACTTTTTCTTTATTTTTTACAATAATGTCTAATAGTGTATTGTATTACATTGCTCTGTTTTTACTCTTTTTACCATTTCTTGTTTCATTGTATGTAATGGCAGAGATTAGGGATTAGAACAACCATCATATAAATATAAATCTATGCATTGATATATATGAAGACAAGTCCAGATATTGTGACCAAGGTTTAGTAAATTGTTGTTTTTATTTCCATAGCATAGCAATTTTTTATAGCAATCTATTGGGGGGGACATTTTCAGCATATTTGATGTGTGTCCCCCAATATATACTATAATTACGGCCTTGGTATAGTTTGTTTTGTATGTTGTTGATGCACATCTGACGAGGTGTCTCTGGGTGTCTATCTCCTCTCAGATGGCTTCACCCGTTGAGTTGGCATTCATCAAACAAGAAAACGATGAAACTCCAAGCCCCATTATGTATCCTGACGTGACGGGGAATCGTCTCTCTGGTAAGATCGCACTGCCTCTGACAAAATCGTAGTAGTAACAATAATAACACGGCATGCGCCCAATCTCACCGTTGTGGAAAGCTGAGCAGGGCTTCAATCTGGAAACCCTGGGTATGGGACCACCATGCATGACGCATCTATTAGCGACTTGGCATAACTCGGCCTCCTGAGCCACCCTGGGTTGGCTTTGAACAACTTTTAAACTATTAAACCACCTTCAAACGCCCTTTCGAGTGATACCAAAAGTGCATAAATTGCCCCAATTATTTACTACAGGAATAGTTCGTTTATCTCAGTATTAAATGAGAATATTTTTTTTAGAGGCACACATACACCCCAACATCAGGGAATCGCAAATGTCAGATTTTTAGTTTTCATCTCTGGTTCTAAAAGTACAAAGTTAACTTCATATATATAAACTACTTTTTATTTCAGCAGTTAAGGCCCCACTGAGCTATGTAGCTCTTTTTCAGAAGTGACTTGGCCACAAGATATAGCTGAACGAAGTGCCTTATCATCATGTGGAAATTATAGAGTATCCGAATACTCTAAATGCGTGTTTCTAAATGTGGAGGGAAAAAATGGAGGACCTGGAGAAAAATCCGCACGACCATAGGTAGAGAGACATGCAAACTCCAGATATAAAGGTGTCGGGGTCAGGATCGAACCCACGACCTGCTGCAATACCAGGCGAGGTAGTTCACATCTCGCCACCACGGTGCCATTGATCTTGGCGAGGCTCGGATGTGCTACTGGAAAAGTGGTGTAAGTGACACGAGGCATCGCGGCAATAGAACCTTGAACCACCCGAATATATCTGTGGCTCTGCCACCATCTGGAAGTTGTCGTCTGTGACAGTCCAGTGTGAACGCGCGTGTATACGCAGGACCCGGCGTCAAGGAAGAAGATGATGGGAGTCTGGGAACTGAGATAATGAACATTGTGGTTAAAAGCGAAGTGGAGGAAGATGGTAAGATCCCTGCATACAGCTTGGTAGAGCAAAACAAATCATTAAGAGCCAAACAAAGGCAAGATGCAGGCAGTCTACGGGTTACGGAAGGGTTCGGGTCCAGAGAACAATCCGTAACCCGAATTTTTCGTATGTCGGAAACTGAACAATTTTCCCCCAAATTTAAAGAGAAAATGCCATATTCGGGAATAGTTGTGCCTCCCCTGCCATTTTCTCTCAGTACTCACACTGTCGTCCGTTTTCTATCGCTACCTCTATCGTATCGCTGTACATACGCTCTGCACCCTATGATTCTTTCATTTCGTCGAATATCTACCCTAACACTACCCGTAATTAAACTAATGGAACACATACTGTATCCAATTGTTTATGAATACCACGAATCATTTTTATATTACTTGTTAACAGAAAGCAGCCACTTCTGAATGTTTGTTTACCGTGCATTAGGCTCGGCCTAGACTTCATACACGTGTAGTGTTGTACACCGAGGCACACACTCTGGAGTTGGAGGCAACACGTTTATTAACAACTTCCCTCACGGGGTAACACTAAACGTAACTCTGGTTCTGTAGTAGGTGATACGGTACTCTCTGGTTCTTTCGGTAAATTCACGTAGATCGAAAATAAAATAAAAGGACACGACGCGGACGCTTGTGTTGCGACTGAAACGTCGTGTTTTTAAATTATTTTTTCTATCTACGTGACTTTACCGAAATAACCAGAGAGTATTGATTCCTATGTGAGTAGCGCGTTAACTCTAACGAAGACCCGGAGAAGATGGATGAGACGTGGGACCCAGGCTTGATTCCACAGATGAGCCCCAATCCCTGCTTCCCCTTGATCTCCCTGGTCGTGGCTCCACCACGCCCTCAGCCCCGCCCCCTACCGTATGAAGGCGGGGCTCTTGGCCCCCGGTCACGTGTCCCTCCAGTACCCTGCGCTACAGCATAGTTACAGTATATGTCACTACACACGTGCACAAGGACAATATCAAGATCCCCCGTATAGCCTTTAACAGACTGTTGGGGCAAGTGCTGTTAGCGATCACCTATGAAGGCCAGCACGGCACACGAGGTGTTGGGTGGCCAACACCACGCCCAGCCACCTTTGTCTCCCTAGTGGCGATGTTTACACACCAGACCTGATACTCGTTTTGAGGCTAAGTCGACCTCGGTAAGGCCCATGACCGAATTCAGATAATCGTCACAGGTGTTGGCTGTGAGCAGGAATCGAAACTCGGGGACCATTTACCTCAATCCTCGTGAAGCTCGGGGAAGGTGGCATTTTTGTGGAGCTAGGCGTAAGGTGGGGGCCGCCTTACACCTCGCTCCGCGGTATTCATCCGCAACCTCACCGCGCTGCACTCTTTGCGCCTACGTAACTAACGCAAACATTTCCGCATACTGTGTTGATTTTTTTTTCCATGATATATGGGAGCATTTCCGTAAAGTCGGAATTGCCGTAAGTCGGGTCTTCCGGAACCCGGGGACTGCCTGTATTACGAATTATAAGGGTATACGGATAAACGATTGTAGCTGACCAGCTTGATAGCATTATCACGTGCATTGTTTTCCCCATCCATTAAGGAACCATTGTGAAATTTTATATATCGCAGCTCCAGATGTGAATATTGTTAAAGTTGAAGGAGACGGTGAGAGGCCAGAGGAGACTGGGGATTCCCACGGATGTCCGGCCACTCCAGACCAGAACTTCATCGAAGTGGAGTTATCAGAGGATGACGTTGGTGAAGGTGAGTTTCCTTTGGTCACGTCACAGAGACAATGCATTGTCTTCTTGCTTTGTCACCAGTCTTATTACAGTCGTGCTACGACTGGAGTCGTGGCTGCAGTAAAATAAATGTCTTCATTGAACTCATCCAGTCAGTACGATTCCACATCACATCAGAGAATGGCTCTTGAGGATGACAGAACGTAACTTCTCGAGTACATTGTCAAGGTCTCGCTTGATCAATAATTTTAACTTGCATCACCACATCTACTACCATCCTTAAGGGAAATAATGGTAATCTACGCTCCAACCTATTTGTGATTTGCTGAGCTTTTCTGTGAGACTCTTGAGGAAGGGCAAGTTATCTAAAACCACGAGAGGCCTCGTGAACAAAGGTACATATATCAAAATGGGTATTACAGTGCGAAACACATAATTAATAATAAATTGAGGAAAATATTTGAGAATATATGTAGCCATTCTAATTAACCTATTGGGCAATAAAGGAACACAATTTTAGGAATGGAAAATGAGAGATACAGCAATAAGTTATGCTCGATGATCGGTGTATTATGTGGTCAGAAGATGTTTAATAAAAATTGGGCTCGAACCGGTTAAGAATAGAAGAAGGGCAACATAGAGGGATGAAGTGCTGGAGGTATGTTGGGTATGGTTCACATGTGCTACATAGGGGGAAGGTACCGACAGACTGGGTAGACTCATTCAAGGACATCGGGCAGCAAAATGATAATTCTCTGCCGAAGTTGTGTTTGTCTTCCACGTTGTTTGATGTTGTACTTGGTTATGTATCCTCAAATACCACAGAATGGAGTTAGCATAGCAATAAAGCTGGGGAGTAAATGCAGTTACAGTGAATAAGTGCGATTTTGGAGTATGCAAACAATGTGGGTTAGTTAGTCTAGGAATGCCACTGAGGCTGGACACTGGGCTCCTTTACCCTTTTCCCATTCCGATGACGTACAAGTGTAACGTTAAGTTTTCCTTCCGATTCCATTCCGATGACGTGTGCGCACCAAGTAAAATATTAATTAACAAAAATCATAAACTATCTATGTCAGTACATCATCTGGTTGGAAGACGTATCGAGGCTCCTACAAGGCTATGTGAGAGGCCGTGTGGCTCAGTTTGGCGCCAGTTGTCATAGAGTGGCGGTCGTGCCGCTGTAGTTCTCTGCAGTGTGGTTGTATTCTTTACATAATTTCACCACTATTTTCGGTGCTATTTGATTTCTTTAATTTTTATTTTATCAGTGGTGCTGAGAACACTGGTGAACATGCCGAAAATGCATCCATCCCGAAAATCAGTGTCTAGTGCGCACGAAGATGTGGAGAAAACACCGATACCTTCTCGGAGCGTAGCTGGCTCCGCCATTACAGATGATGCTGTGCATGGCCCTCATGAGGCAGGCAAGGCCTTTGGGCCCGCTCGAGAATTTGTGCTTGAACACAATACCGACGAGAGTGTCAGCGACATTGAGGAGGCGTCCTGTACCTTTCAAGAAGATGTTGGTCGGAGGAGAGGAAGGAGGTCACGTGGCCATGGAAGAGGTGGACGGCCATTCCCGCCCTCCTCACCCTTGGGTGAGTGGGCCACCCCTACTCATGGCGATAGTGGAGATGAGGACCGAGCCAGTGATGGCGGACAGCAGCAACCACGTGCTGGAGAATGGACAGAAGACAATGCCGGAGTGCGCTTGCTCGATTTCACAGCAGTTCCAGGAATGCAGACACCGGTTCCCGCCACTCCTTTGGGTTTCATTCAGCTGTTTATCACGCGGGAGTTGCTCATGTTTTTCACGAATGAAACCAATTCGTATGCTAACTGTGCCTTGGCAAACAAATCGGCAGAGGAGAGTGCAGGGTGGGAAGGTGTCAATTTGATGGACATCGCAAACTATTTGGGACTAACCATGGCGATGGGCGTTGCATCTCTTCCCGAAATTCCAATGTACTGGTCAACAGGGAAACCCTATTCGATGCCAGCCTTCAGGGAGACAATGTCGTGCAAGCGTTTCAAAAGCATTGGGAGATTTTTTAATTGCCATAACAGCTGTGCAGTGCCTCGCGACAACACAGACCGGTTGCTGCAAGTGCGCACGGTCATGGAATATTTTCAAAGTAAATTCAAGGCGTTGTACGCCCCGAACAGGGAACTATCTTTAGATGAGGCCACGCTGGAATGGAAGGGGAGACTGCCTTTCAAAGTTTATAACCCGCAGAAACCTGAAAAGTATGGCATCAAATTTTACATTCTTGCCGAGGCTCAGACAGGATATGTATTTGATTTTGACATATACGTGGGGATTGAGAAGTCAATTCGCAACATTGTGTTTGGACTTATGGGACCTCTCCTCGATAAAGGCTACCAGTTGTATATGGACAACTACTACAACTCGGTGAAGCTAACAGAAGAACTCTATGAACATGGAGTCCATACCTGTGGCACTTTGAGGCTGTCAAGAGGAGCCCCAAAGGATCTGCAAGCCCTGGCAAAAATGAAGATTCCACGTGACAGCATTCATTTTAGGAGGAAGGGAAATACCTTTGTCATATGCTGGATGAACACGCACCTGGTCACACTTATAACCAATATTCACAATGCCGACACTCACAACTTCGTTCGGCAACAAAAGGTCAGGAAGAGGGATGGCACTGCACTCCTTAGTCGAATTGAGCTGCAGCGACCTAACGCCATAGCGGACTACATGGACCACATGAGGGGCGTGGTTCATTTTGATCAGATGATCCAATACTATCACTTCACGCGGAAGACTCATAAATGGACGAAGAAAATCGTGCTGTATTTCCTGCAAATGGCACTGCACAATGCCTACGTGTTGTACAAGAAATATAGCACAGACGAAAAGAAGATGACATTGCTCGCGTTCCATGAGGTGCTGTTCAACGCCCTCATTCATTTCGATCCTCAGGAGTGGGCCGTAAGCGGAGATGCCATCCCCCATGCAACCGACCTGCCTCCGGCACTCGTCAGCGCACCCGTTACCCCACGCATCACCGTCGCCCGAACCGCTGCCGCCACCGCCGCCACCAGCACCACCACCGCCGCCACCAGCACCACCACCGCCGCCACCGGAGACGAACAAGAAGCAGGGCCTTCAGATGTATCCACCACAAGAAGGCAGCGGCTTGCACCTGGCAGTGACGTGGACGACGAGGCACCAGATGACCCTTCTCCAAGCGCTCCTCCGAAGCACAAAAGGCCAAGGCTTGTTGACCCTTCGTGCAGGTTAACGCAAGTGACGGAGCATGCCATGACCTCCATAATGCCAAGTCAGCGACGATGCCGGGTGTGCTACAGGAACGGTCGGCGGCGTGACACCACCTGGGAATGCAACATATGCAAGATTCCTCTGTGTTTACGGGGAGATTGCTTCGTTCTGTACCATTCCCAGAAGCAGTATTGGACCCCACCGCCCCCGTCAACACGGAAGAAAGACACTGCTTCAAAGAGGACGGCCACGGGCTCCAAGAGGGAATTAACCTCTTTGGCTCTCCCCCTACCGATAAGAAATGAAGAGCCACAATATAAAAAATCTACAACCTGAGGTTGTAGTTTGGTAGGTGGGGTGGGGGGTGAATGAAAGAGCTCTTCAAGGAAGAAGGTGGTGAGTACAGCCATACTTTTGATTATATTATTACATCTATGTGTATATATGATTACATGTGTGTTTTGTCTTTATATTCATGCCAAAGAAATGGTATATCTTAGTAAATAACCTTAAGAAAGATAATATATATACTGACATTTACAGCTCGTTCTTTTTACCATTGAATATTTATTATTACGTGGCAAAGTTTTATATACCATTTTCTTGGCAATTTAATCATTTATATAATGATTAAAAACATGTATATATCTTCCAATCTTGATTTACAAGAACAATAATTTTTGTTTACACATAGTATACCAAAAAAAAATTCGAATTTTTTAAAATATAATTTTTATAGCAATTTCCTTTCAAAATGAGACCAAAATGAGTCCGATATCTTTAAAAACTGCGCTACTACGCCTCTCAAAATCAAATTATCGCTAACCACTTGCCAATTTTTCCTAGATTCAGCGGTGAACGAGATACACACCCTGTAACTTGCAGACGTCTCGGAACGGGGAAAGGGTTAAGATTAAGCGTTCCTTAAGACAGAGTTGACAGGGCGGGAGTTAGAGACGAGGCTACTTGCAGGAGGATCACATAAAATGTTACTGGTTCTGTTTCTGGTGGTCATCTTTTACCTTTCTTGAATCGGTTAATTTAAATGCACTTTTACATCTTTCAAAACATGCAACAGGTGAAGCACAGCAAAGCGAACTCCTGTGCAAAGAATGTGGGAAGGGCAATTGCTTCAAAACAAAGATGACGGACAAAGCGGAACGCACCGGCGACGTGACCCTGCAAGCCTGCAAGCATTGCGGGAAAGCACTTGAAGGCATCGCGTTGTGCACGGCAGTGGCTACCGATGGGAGGAAGCACGTGTGCAAGGAGTGTGACAAGGGGTTTACAACGCGTTTTAGTTTAGAGACGCACATGAGAACACACACCGGTGAGAGGCCGCACGTGTGCAACGAGTGTGGGAAGAGGTTTACAACGCGTTTTACCTTAAGCACGCACGCTATTTCACACACGGGAGAGTGGCCGCACGTGTGCAAGGAATGTCAAAAGGGCTTTGCACAACGTTCCGATTTAGAGAAACACGCACGAATACACACCGGCGAAAAGCCGCACGTGTGCTACGAGTGTGGGAAGGGCTTTTCCCAACGTTCTACAATGGAGGCGCACATCAGAACACACACCGGCGAGAAGCCGCACGTGTGCAAGGAGTGTGGGAAGGGGTTTACAAAGCGGTGTAATTTAACCACACATTCTATATCACATACGGGCAAGTGGCCGTACGTGTGCACGGAGTGCGGAAAGGGTTTTGCACAACGTTCTGATTTAGAGAAACACACACGAATACACACCGGCGAGAAGCCGCACGTGTGCATGGAGTGTGGGAAGGGCTTTTCGCAACGTTCTACATTGGAGGCGCACATCAGAACACACACCGGCGAAAAGCCACACGTGTGTAAGGAATGTGGGAAGGGGTTTTCCAATCGTTACAATTTAGAGAAGCACGCGAGAACACACAATAATATTGTTGATGCAAAAACTATTGTCCTGCCATGTCCGTGGGCGTTGTGAACGGAGAATTATAGACAAGCCACAGTAGTGCGATTTTGGTCATGCATCCAAAACTGTGGATGATATAGTAAACTGCTCTAGTCTGCGCTACTTCAATGGAGTAGGAAAAGCAAAACGACACGAATTCTCTCCTGAAGCCCTCTCGTGGCTAGCTGGCCTCGATGTTAGCATTTAGCTCGTGAACGTATTTCTGTTCGCATGAATAGAGTTGAAACACAGATGATCAGACGCAAATTTACTGGTCCAGTATATTGCTTTGACGCATATTATTTTTAGAATATGCAATCACTCTAGCCTTCTATTCAAATCCTGAAGACGACTTGAATTATCCTCGATTTGTATGTCATTCTAACCTCTGTTGAATGTGTTTTGATCTGTGACTCCAAGGAATCATTTTCAATAAAACAATGTTTGCATTCCTAATCAAGTGTTTAATAGTACTGTTACAACAGGATGTGCCACCAATAGCAATGAAATGCACCAAAACCTTTCCCATTGTGGGATTTCCAAACGCGGATTTGACCATTCGCGCTTTATTGAGGTACAGTTCAACCGATCGCGTGCCCTCTCCCCTGCCATGGCTCAACAATTTCGCGGTTGACTGCGAGATTCCTGCTGTACGCGTCGTAACTGCACTGCTCGTATTGACGCTGCCGCAGAAGAACAACACGCGGCGCCATCTTGTCTCCCACGCGGCGCCATCTTGTCTCCCACGCGGCCCATCGTGGGTCCCAGGCCACGTGGCGGTCTTCCCCACCTCCAATGAGGGAGGAGGCAGCGAGGTTCAGCTGCCCACCGCGATTTGTCTTCCTGTCGTGTACAATACTGGACACTACATTGTTTTTTTCATTCTATAGGCGACCTCCTACACCTTACGACCTAAGTGGTAACTGGACGACGGTCGCATATCGACTTTCGTAAGTCGAACCCCTTATTTCTCATAGGAACAACCATTCCATACTTTTTAAAAGTACCAAAATTTACCACTAAAATAAATTCAAATAACTCCAAAAAATATTTTTTGTAAATTAACACAACTTTTACAAACATTCATTTAGTGAAAACAAACATACTCCTTGGTTCTTTCGGTAAAGTCACGTAGGTATAAAATAAAATAAAAATCACGACGTTTCGGGTGCAACACAAGCGTCCGTCATCAGGTGGGTAAGCATGCCTTCCCACTTGTCCGGTCTGCGTGGAGAAATTGCAAATGTGTGTAATGAAATAATAAAATGTTATTGCCTCTAATGCGTACCCTTCGTTGCTTATTCACGCTCTTAGTTGGTATCAAGTCCCATATATTCGGCAGCCCCAAAGATTCTTCCTCACTGGCCCATTCGTTTTTTTGTACCAGCCAAAATGAGCCAATGGGATTGGAAAAATCACGCGAATAAGTCACATCGCAAATCTATCAACTAATATAAGTTACACATGTAGACTTTCGCTACCAATATCATCCATAAGAGGTTTTGTTGGGTTAGATCGCGTGAATCTATCAATGTTGTGTCGCTAAAACCCGCCACCACCCGACAAAGCCAACTGGGAAGGGTTGTCACGTTAACAGAACATGCCAATTCGTCACTAGTACAGCACTAGTTTATAGTGTATGGTGTAGTATATAGTATTGTAGTGTATAGTGTAGTACTGTATAGTACAGCACTAGTGTATAGTGTAGTATATGGTGTAATGTATGGTGTAGTGTATAGTTTAGTGTATAGTGTAGTATAGTACAGCACTAGCGTATAGTGTAGTGTATGGTGTAGTGAATAGTGTAGTGTATAGTGTAGTATACTAGTACAGCACTAGTGTATAGTGTAGTGTATAGTGTATACTAGTACAGCACTAGTGTATAGTGTAGTATATAGTGTAGTATACTAGTACAGCACTAGTTCCCCGCCAGCCAGCCCCGCCAACACTCAGCCCCACCAACACTCAGCCCCATGTCTTCTACCTTGTAAATGTTGGTCACAGGTAAGCGCCCAGACAGCGGGCCTCGCTCTGCTGATATAGCCTCTCGGGCCCGGCCCTTAATTGGACAATGCCCTCCACCCCTAACTGTGGTTGTTCCACCTGATTAAGATTGCTTGTGTTACGATCGAAACGTCGCGATTTGTTTTATTTGATTTCTACCTACGTGACTTTACCGAAAGAACCAAAGAGCATGGATTCCTGCAGTCAGGAAAGCTTCAAATCAAGATTGTGGCACGTGTCTTTAACTTGATCTTAACGTGAACATTTCAATATCCACCTCCACAAGACCCCACGGCCACCTGTTGCCAATCATCTCAATTTGTGTTTAATGAATTATCTACAAAGTACCCCACGGTCACCCGTTCTTAATTGTCTCAACGTGTACACTTTTACTATTTCTCTTTACAACCTACGACATATGTAACGTAGGCTAAACGAACAACGTGAAATTGATGGTAAATAAATGGCGAGAGCCTGTAGGGTTGAAGATACATTTATTTTATTTACAGCGCAGAAAATGAGAAACTTAAGTCGAGAGGCAAAGAACTCGACGACGAAGCCAGACTTTAAAGAATCTAAACAGATCTGATGCTAAAATTGAACCTCTATGCCAGGGCAGGATTAACCCCTTAGGCTAATGAGGCCTTACGTCCTCATATTTTGTAGGCCCTCCAATCAACGGTAGCGTGTCCATCAGAAATTTTTGCCTTTGAATTATGTTGACAATATTCGTGACCTTAAATTACGTCGATATCATTTGTGACTTTGAATCACGATGACATCATTCGTGACTTTGAATCATGGTGACATCATGCGTAACTTCGAATTAAGATGACATAATTCGTGACTTTGACTTGGAATTATGATACCATTCGTAACTTTGAATTACGACGATATAATTCGTGACTTTGAATCACGGTGACATCATTCGTGACTTTGAATTAAGATGACATCATTCGTAACTTTGAATCACGGTGACATCATTCGTGACTTTGAATCACGATGACATAATTCGTGACTTTGAATCACGATGACATAATTCGTGACTTTGAATCACGATGACATCATCCGTGACTTTGAATCACGGTGACATCATTCGTGACTTTGAATCACGATGACATAATTCATGACTTTGAATCACGGTGACATCATTCGTGACTTTGAATCACGGTGACATCATTCGTGACTTTGAATCACGATGACATAATTCATGACTTTGAATCACGATGACATAATTCATGACTTTGAATCACGATGACATCATTCGTGACTTTGAATCACGATGACATCATTCGTGACTTTGAATCACGGTGACATCGTTCGTGACTTTGAATCACGATGACATCATTCGTGACTTTGAATCACGATGACATCATTCGTGACTTTGAATCACGGTGACATCGTTCGTGACTTTGAATCACGATGACATCATTCGTGACTTTGAATCACGGTGACATCGTTCGTGACTTTGAATCACGATGACATAATTAGTTACTTTGAATCACGGTGACATCGTTCGTGACTTTGAATCACGATGACATCATTCGTGACTTTGAATCACGATGACATCATTCGTGACTTTGAATCACGATGACATCATTCGTGACTTTGAATCACGATGACATCGTTCGTGACTTTGAATCACGATGACATCGTTCGTGACTTTGAATCACGATGACATCGTTCGTGACTTTGAATCACGATGACATCATTCGTGACTTTGCCACAGGTAAAGCTAGGAGAGGAAAGAAAATAATGTTTTCTTGAAGAAATTAGTGTCGTGAGCGAATCATATTACATGAATTTACCGTGAGCCGAATGAATTTGTCAATTTTACAGTGGTGAATAAATACATGTGTTTGATGACTTCATACTTTTCTACACGCTTTTATTTAACTCTGTTGTTGTCGTTGTTGTATCCTCAAATCTTGTAACTAAATTTTAACCCACTTCCCAATGTGGTATCGACTGCAAACTTGGTATACTTATGTCATATTGATGACAATACCATATTCTATCATAAAAAATAAAATGTACGATCTTTTTACACGCTTTCTATGAACTCACTCTGTTGTTGTCGTATCCTCAAATCTTGTAACTCAATTTTAACCCACTTCCCAATGTGGTATCGACTGCAAACTTGGGAAACTTATGTCATACTGATGACAATACTATATTTTATCAAAAAAAGTATTTTTAAACATTCATTGTTATGTTATGTTTCGGCTTGGGTCTAATTGTCCACGCTCAACTCACGTTGGCTGTAAATCACCACGGCCCCTTACGTTATGCGGCCACTTCCTGGAGTCGCGGAGTTCTGCCATTACTTGTACGGTCCATTTCATTAAAGCGTGTTTAAAAAAAATCTTTTTAAATATTACTTATTTTCGTTTACAATATATAGTACGTTTACATAACTAGGCCCTTCCCTCCTATTAGCCTTAGGCCGCTCATAACCTTAACCCGGCCGTATACTCTATGCTAATGCCATAGAATGCTTAAACATGCGTTTAGACTATTTGGCTGATATACATTTCCACATGATAACAGGCGCTCGCGTCTGATTGGCTATTTACAATTCCCAGAATGCGCACGCAATTTGGCATCAAGAGGCATTTCACTTCGCTGCTGCCCCAAAGTGATTGGGAGCCACCTTGGCATCTCCCTCTGTTCTCTTTAAACCGACTCTGTTTTAAAAAAAAATCACAAAAATGTTAAGTGCGAATGTAATTTTACAACATAAATGCCATTATTAATAAGTATGTTTTTGTAAATCTGTACTGTAATTGTGAAATGCTGTTATGTTGTTGGGTGGGAAATCAACTTCTGATTGCAATGCAGGGGGTGGTCCAGATGTCCTGTGACCCTTCCCCCCCCCCATTTAATTCTCTAAAACGTATTATTTTAAAGTAAGGTTTGTTTAAAACTTAAATGAATATGCCAATAAATAAATACAATTCTAAGGGTCAATTAATTGGGGGTCACATGACATCTGAACCACCCTGTACACCGACTACCACTGCACTAAAAAAAATCTAAACAGGTAAAGCCCAATCTTGATTTGAAGCTTTCGTGACTGCAGGAATCCATACTCTTTGGTTCTTTCGGTAAAGTCACGTAATTAGAAATAAAATGCAACAAATCACGACGTTTCGATCGCAACACAAGCGGTCGTCAAAAACAGGTTGCCTAATTCTAGATTTGAAGCTTTCGTGACTGCAAGGATTCATATTCTTAGGTTATTTCGGTAAAGTCACGTAGGTAAAACATCAAAATTAATAAAAATAAATAAAACAAAAATCACGATGTTTCGGAGGCAACACAAGTCTCCGTCATCAGGTGGGACCGTCACAGCCGGATTTGCTGCAGCTAATCATATTCTTAATCCGGCTGTGACGGTCCCACCTGATGACGGAGACTTGTGTTGCCTCCGAAACGTCGTGATTTTGTTTTATTTATTTTTATTAATTTTGATGTTTTACCTACGTGACTTTACCGAAAAAACCTAAGAACAGGTTGCCTTTAGAGGCAGACTCCTTTGCCTGATGACGAACGTTTGTGTTGCTATCGAAACGTCGTGATTTGTTTTATTTTATTTCTAACTACGTGACTTTACTGAAAGAACCAAAGAGTAGCTAAAGCCCACTGAGGCTGCTCTTTTCCAGGATAGACGTGGCCATCACAAATGACAGCTCGACCAAGCGACTTTGCGTGGAAATTTTCAGCATGTTCATGAGTGTGGAGGGTCAAACTAAAATCCACACGAACACGGGGAGAACACGCAAGCTCCAAATATACTGCAGGTGTCAAGGGTCGGGATCGAACACCACGACCTCCTGTATACCAGGCGAGGTAGTTAACATCTCGCCACCAATCAACTCCCCGACGTACATCACAACAATACTGCACGCCTTGACTACATATACTCACTACACAGTAAGCCAATCAATCAAATCCCATCAAGATAGCCAGGCGAAATCACAACATAGCACATTCATGCATGTTATATATTTCATTACCATTATAGAATATGTGTACATTCACCATCATTGGACTATACTGTCCATGCGTCACTAGGGAAATAACAGATTTCCGATTAAAATTGCGATCCAAAATCATAATAATATGCACAGTCAAATCTCAATCATCCCTATACTTTGTCGTGTTGTGTGTAATATTATAACGTTCTGACCCCGTGCCTCTACTGGACATCAGATTCCTCCCGCAGTATAAATATTCTGATTCTGATCTCAGTCAACCCATGGCACCTGGGTCTGTTCCGTGACCTCCTGCCAGCGGGCCTTCGACACTTGCCGTGACGGCCTCGGAGTGCACCCAGCCTGGCACAGGCGCCGTGATGACGTCACTTAGTGGTGAACGGCGGCTGTTGTTTTGTTCTAACTGCTCCTTTAACGTAGAACTTCGTGCAAACCCCTTCCCACACTCCGTGCACATGTGCGGTCACTCGCCCATGTGTGTGACATCGCAACATAATCGCTGTTATTGTTGGTTTTTTAAAAATATGTAATTGTGGAATGCTTTGATGCCGACCGCCCAGCCGAGTCGCCCGCCCCCCCCCCTCCCCCCCCTTAATAAAGAGCTTCTTAGCTCTACGGCTTTACACGGCGGGAAATGAACTTCCGTTTCCGACTCTGAAGGAATGATTTCCGACGATTAAAAGAATAAGGGATATAATGCGTCTGCGATTACATCCGGCGAGGAGACGGAGGGATGAAATCGGAGCTGGGTTGATGATTTACATCGCCGGATCATTGGGGGATGGCGGCGGTGACTTCATCCAACAGTGGATTGACCACGGCTCTGATGATGATGATGGTGAAACAAATCCATTAACCCTTCTCCTGCTCCGAGACGTGGTATCCACGTTCACCGCCGAATCTGGGAACGCGCGAGTGGCTCAGCGTTAATTTTATTTAGAGAGCCGTAGCAGCAGCGTTGTTGTTGTTTTTACAAAGACGTCGTCGCTCACCGCAGAGAACCGTAGCGACACGACCGCCGCCACTCTACGATAGCCGGCGACAAAGCTGTGCGACATGACCCTCCCGCGTGGCTTTGTGATGGGAGCCTCGGTGCACCGATAAAGTTACTTTGTTTTAGTTTTTCCTCCGGATTCGTTTACGATGACGTACACACGTACGTCATCGGGAATGGGAGAGGGTTAACGGAGACACAAAAAACTAAAATGCAAATATGTTTAAGTCCAGAGTTTTTACGGAACATCTGTTTTTAGAGAGAGATCGGTGAAGCCCTTCCCGTACACGCCTGGTACACCTAAAGGGGCTTCTCACCGGTATCCCCTCGAAAGTTTTCTCCCAAAATATAAACTTCGGTTAAACTTCTTCCCCCGCACTCCTCGCGGGAGCGTACGGAACCTCGCCGGGTTGTGTTCCCGGAGCGTTCCGCTGAGCCGAGTTACCGTGTGCACACCTCGCCCCGCCGACGTGCGTTTTGGAGTGCGTCTCTAAGTTGTAACGGGTCGTAAACCTCTTCCCACACTCCTTGCACATGTATGGCTTCTCGCCGGTGTGCGTCCTGTAATGCATGTTCAAGGTGAAACGCTGCGAGAAGCCTTTCCCGCACTCCTTGCACACGTGCGGCCTCTCGCCCGTGTGCGTTAGGGAGTGCGCCTCCAGGCTGGAACGCTGCGCGTAGGCCTTGCCGCACTCCTTGCACACGTGCGGCTTCTCGCCCGTGTGCGTCCTCGCGTGCATGTTCAAGGTGAACCGCTGCGAAAACCGCTTCCCGCACTCGGCGCACGCGTGCGGCTTCTCGCCCGTGTGCGTGCGCGCGTGGTTCTTGAGCGTGGAGCAGTGGGAAAAACCCCGGCCGCACTCCTGGCACACGTACGGCCTCTCGCCCGTGTGTATCTTGGCGTGCACCTCCAGGTTGTATCGCTGTGCGAACGCCTTGCCGCACTCGGCACACGTGTGCGGCCTCTCGCCTGTGTGCGTCGCCGCGTGCGCCTCCAGGCTGGAGCGCTGCGCGAAGCCCCGGCCGCACTCGGCACAGGCGTGCGGCCACACGCCCGTGTGCGTCGCCGAGTGCGCCCGCAGGTTGGAGCGCTGGGCGAAACCCCGGCCGCACTCGTCGCACACGTGCGGCTTCTCGCCCGTGTGCGTGCGCGCGTGCCTCTCCAGGAAGGAGCGGTGGGCGAACCCTTTGCCGCACTCGGCGCAGGCGTGCGGCCACTCGCCCGTGTGCGTGCGCTCGTGCGTGAGCAGTTTGAAACGCGTCGCGAACGCCCTGCCGCACTCCTCGCACGTGTGCCTCCTCCGGTCGGCGTCGATGGCCGCGCCCCCCGGCGCTTTGCCGCGCCGCTTGGGAGCCGGCGGGGAGACCTCGTCTGTCCGCGCTCCCGAGCGGTCGTCCTCCCCGCACTCCTGGCACGCGAGTTCCGTCCCTTCCGCTCGATCTGCCGCGGAGATGGGCGACAGAGAGCGCACCGGTGGTGAACACCTCGGCCGCCTTTGCTGTTTCTTTGATCAGGATCTGCTGAGAGCAGTGGTTCTCAACATTTACAGCAGCCTTGCACCCCTTTGGTTCTCAATCGTAAAAACTAAATTTTACAATGTTAATAAACACATATGGTTTGATGACACAAAGTATATGTTACTTAGGTTCCCCGTGATTAATTTGTTTAGATTATTTACCCTCTAAAGCAAATCTGGCCATGTCTCGCACCCCCAGGGGGTGCGTGCAGTCCAGCTGAAGAACCACTGGCTTAGAATGACGCTGCCTTCGTAACTACGGCCTTTCCTAGGTGTTCGCGACAACGAGCGGTGACGCTCCGGAGGTTGCTCGCGAACAGCAAATTTCGCGCGCGTTCGTGGCCAACCAATAAAACCTGTCCTTTTGAATGAAGTGCCTTGAATACGTAAATATGCTGTTAATTAGGTAACGGCGGGAGTCCACATTTGCCACACTGCCTATTCCTGGCGATTTATGTTGTGCGGTCATCCACCAAACCCTCTCGCTGCCTCCACAGTGCTGGTTTACAGGCGTGCGCCAGAAGGAATTACCGTGGTGGCTCGATGTCAACTACCACGCCTGGTATGCAGGAGGTCGTGGGTTCGACCCTGACGCCTGCTGTATATTTTGAGTTTGTGGTTTCTCTCTGAGAGTTAATGTCACACATTTAGATTATGGGTCTCTGTGGGTCTCTATGGGTCTCTGCATATCTCTATGGGTCTCTATGTATCTCTTTGCGGTTAGAGTATTTGGCTGCTGCTATTCATTTCCATGCGATGATGATAAGCCACTTTGTTGAGCTGTCATTTGTGATGGCCAGGTCGCTTAAAAAAAAACTATGTAGTCGCTCAGCGGGGGGCCTTACACATGGTAAGATAACAAAAATATCATGGGACCTCCGTTGCAAATACCAAACTATGAGAATAGGTCTTCCCCTTTTTTACACGCTTTTATTTAACTCACTCTGTCTGTTGTTGTTGTTGTATCCTCAAATTTTGTAACTCAATTTTAACCCACTTCCCAATGTCGTATCGACTGCAAACTTGATATACTTATGTCATATTGATGCCAATACTATATTCTATCATAAAAAACAAAAAATAAATATTTTTAACAATCTTTTTTAAATGTTATGTTTCGGCTTGGGTCTAATTGTCCACGGTAAACTGACGTTGGCTGTAATTGACCACGGTCCCTTACGTCATGGCAAGCTTCGAGCCTACTTCCTGGAGTCGTGGAGTTCTTCCATTACTAGTACGGCACATTTCATTAAAGTGTGTTTTAAAAAAAGTTTTTTAAAATATTACTTATTCTGGCAACAAAACTGGTGTTAAGATGTTAAAACACCAAACTGAAACCTTTTACAAGTTTCAAAGACAATGCATATATTAGTATCTTTTTGGTTTGCATCCTGACCACGAGTATTGTGGTTAATGCAGATATGATTCCTTGTAAAAGGTTTCAGTTTGGTGTTTTAACATCTTAACACACCTGTTTTGTTGCCAGAAAAAAAGGGGAAAACCTATTCTCATAACAAAAATAGTTTTAAAATAGTTAGTGGTGTGATTTTCTCTGTGATGTCGTCAAAGTGGGGGGGGGGGGGGGGGGGGGGGGGGTGGGAGCGGGGAGGTGGCGGGGGATACTGACCTTCACATATATCCTCCTCTGATAACTTCACCTCGATGAAGTTCTGGTCCCCGGTGTCCAACAAACGTCCGTGGGGTCCCCCTCCGTCTCCTCGCCATGCACCGGCCTCTTCGTTGTCGACGGTCATCGGATAGAGCGCTGCAGTTTCATACAAAAGCAGGCAGATTTATTATATTTTTTGTATTTGTCTTTTGCATACTTGGGGAGGTTTTTATACGTCCAAGGCAGTTGCAAAAGGTTCAGGCCCTTGGCCGTTTCTCGTGGCACTTGAAATGATCGGCATCCGTGCAGTCGAGCTCATTTTTTTCGAGCCTTGCGCGATGGAACACGACGAATCAATAAATTATTATTCGCGCACAGCGGTGGCAGAAAAATCTAAAGCTACCACGGACGCCGTTTGATAGGCAAATTCATCGGCGCTGATGCGTTTTCAAGATATCTATTATCAATCGACGGGCTTGGTTTTTGCACACTTTGTCTTCAGTATAGATGTGTAGAGGCACTACGCCGACTAGTGGTCACGAGTGGTAATTACAGGTATAGAGACAGTATAGAGGGCGAGCGGTCACAAGCGATAATAACAGGCGAGGTAACAGAGAATGGGAACGATCTGGGATCTCCAGGAAGAACTTGCGAAAGAGTTCGAGAAGTAGGGGCGTGGCTAGGGGTAGAGGGATGGCCACGCCGGGGATAAAAAGGGGCTGGAGCCAGGTTCGGGGCTGCTGTGGGAGCCGGGGTCGTCGCTGTCCGGAGAACGTGTCTTCAATTTGTCGCTGTCTTCAAGTCGTCGCTGTGAAGTGATCGTGTCTTCGATAAAGAAAACCCTCACAATTCCGTGTCTCCGAGAGTCATTAGAGATGCACAATCACCTGTTGTATAATGACGGCTGACGTTGATGTAGGGCAGCGACCATCATTTTACATTGAGGTGGTTGAGCCACATGGCTGCATCATCGCTCGGAATTGTAACCGTGGTACCATAGTGCGGCCTAGACATCTGTGGCAAAAGAGCTTTAGAGCTCATCTGATTCCTCCAGTTAACGTACGTTGTGTTTGTAGGTGTGTGTATGCTGAACTTCTTTCGCACCACCGTACATAACTAAATAAGTGAATTTTCAATTTAGTATAGTGGTGTAGTGCATAGTAGTGTGTAGTGTATCATAGTGTAGTGCATAGTAGTGCATAGTGTAATGTGTAGCCGAGTGTATAGTGTAGTATGTAGTGTATAGTGGTGTGTATATTAGTGCAGTGTATAGTGTAGTGTATCGTAGTGTCGTGTATAGTAGGGCAGTGTATAGTGTGGGATGTAGTCCATAGTGGTGTAGTGTAGTATGTATTGTAGTGTATTGTGTGTGTGTTGAACTTCTTTCGCACCTCCGTACATAGCCAACCGCGTTAATCGGAGGTAGGTGGGGGGGGGGGAAGGACGACAAACTAAACACAACAAACAGTTCTAAAGAAATTAGATTTGGGACGTTACACATTTCATGGTCTCTGTTCTGAGCGACCACAGTATCTGCACACAGCCGGAGAGTTTTGAATGGAGGGGTTGTGCCCTGAAGCTTTTTGTTAGCGGGCGCCACGGTGGCTAGGAGATTTTTAACAGCCTCGCATGGTATGCAGGAGGTCGCGGGTTCGAATACAACCCTGACGCCTGTTGTATGTTTGGAGTTTGCGTGTCTCTCTTTCTCTCTCTCCCCGTTGGTCGCGTGGATATTTATCCGGGTTCTTCGGTTTTTCCATCCACATTTAGAATCGACATCACGCGTTTAGGGTATTTGGCTGCATTAACCACACGCACTTGTGGTGAACATGCAAACAAAAATAATGCTCTGATAATGATTCTGTTTGGTGTTTTAACATCTTCACACCTGTTTTATTGCCAGAAATGGTCAAACCTATTGTTATATTTTAATGCTGGCAAGATCCCCATTATCTGCATGCGGTTTATCCGATTTGGCGGATTAACAACGCACCAGAGATTTTGACATAAATTACTATCGCGTGGATTTTTACTTAAGCCCAAATTAATAATCTAAAAACAGCTATACATTGTTATTCTCAGAAATCTTAAATACAAGTCACGTGCTTAAACCGAACAAATATGTTGCTCTGGTTAATCCAAATTCCACGTGATCGCCTCTACAGTACAGTAGTTGCCATAGCTTTACAACAGTGGGCGGAGTTTTACTGATTTTGATTGGCGTGGCTCTGCTGCTGTCCACTTAGTGGGCGGAGTCTTCTGCGCAGGAGCAGGAAAGTGTTACTATCACCAAGCAGGAGCATCGGTCGATCGTCGTTAGTGTTCGTTCTGAATCGAAAGAGTAACAATCATCGAGTGATTTGTCAGATCATTCATTTTGTGAGTTTTAATTTTACGAAAACTGTGCGGCGGCAGAGATACATAAAACATCAATTATACCGACATTAGTGGGAAGTGCTTATATTTTTGGACCATCCGCAATGTTTTAATAATTATCCACGGCCGTCCTGCCCGTCATTAGCGTCAGATAATCGAGAGTCCTCACTTCAGTTGACGATGAGATCGAAGTGGCCTCACCTTCACCAATATCCTCCTCCGACAACTCCACCTTGATGAAGTTCTGGTCTGCGGTGGCCACATATCCGTAGGGACTCCCCGTCTCCTCTGAACCCTCATGGGCTTCAACTTTAACAATCTTCAGCTCTGGAGCTGTCAAGGAGAAGAAGAAGAAACATGGTCTTTGATGGACGGGAGGTCTAGTATGTAAAACTAAACTATTTTTGGTTCGACACGGAGGGCTTTCGCGGCCAATATTATCCGTAATAAAGGCTTTTTTTGTTTGTTTTGGGTTAGATCGCGTTAACGTAAATGTGTCGTAAACCCGCCCACCACCACCCGACACACAGCCAGCTCGTGAGGATTGTCACCTAAAGAAAACGTGCCGATTAGTTACGACGTCACCCCCACCGGTTGTGTTGGAGAGTACATCCATCACATTTACAATTTGAGTACCATCATGTTTCGCTGGTACAGTAGAGTCCCTCTTAACGACCACCCCTGTTAACGACTAATCGCTTAACGACGGGCCCCCATAGAGCCCAATGTGTAGTGTTTAGTAGTGCATAGTGTAGTGTATAGTAGTGTAGTGTATAGTAGTGTAATGTATAGTGTCGTGTATATTGTAGTGTATAGTAGTGTAATGTATAATAGTGAATAGTAGTGTAGTGTATAGTGTACTATATAGTAGTGTATAGTATAGTAATGTAGTGTATAGTAGTGTAGTGTATAGTAGTGTAATGTATAATAGTGTATAGTAGTGTAATGTATAGGAGTGTAGTGCCTCCATAAAGCCCAATGTGTTCGCTTACCGACCATTCTCCTGTTAACGATGGGCTGTTGTAGGTACAGTAAATATTAATGCATCGATTAACCACGTTTATTTTTATATTACGTGTTTATAATCTTGTTAGTATCTTTATGCATTAATATTCATTGTTTACATATTATGAAGTACGTTTTTTTGGGTGAAAAAGGGGTAATTTTTCATGCTATCGGAACGAATTAAGCCTTGAACCGTGTATGTCCGATACTCGCTTTACGACCAAATCACTTATCGACCGGTTTCGTGGAACCAATTACCGTCGGTAAGAGGAGGGGTTCTACGGTAATTGCATCCAGCATCAATTGACAATGTTGCCAGAAATTTTATTTTACCAGGCAAGGCTCCACGGAGCTACTGTGTGGCTTGTTTACAGAAGCGACGTGGAAATCGCAAATGATGGCTCAACACAGTGCCGGATTATCAGAGTAGCAAAAGTAGCTACATATTGCTACGGGCCGACGCACTTTCAAAGGCCCCGCGCTAAATTATTTCAAGCTATCAATTCCGGTTCAGTGATTCTGCACTTGCTCTATTACGATAGTACTATACCGTACTATCGCGATAGAGCAAGTGGCATCAACTTTTAAAGGTTAGCGATTTGTCGTATTATCTGGCTGTATAGCAAATGAAAAAATACAATTACTTTACTAAGCAACTACAAAAATTTGTGTTCAATTATTTACGTGTTTTTTTAATTTTATTTAGCGCTCCTTTATAACAAATGATACAGGTCCCGCACTAGCTTCATCCGGCACTGGCTCAACGAAGTGGCTCCTCATCATCGTCGTGTGGGAATTTAAAGCAGCAGCCAAATACTCTGAACGCGTAGTGACGTTGATTCTAAACGTGGGGAGAAAAACCGGAGGTCCCGGAGAAAAATCCACGCGACCACGGTGAGAGAGAGAGAAACATGCAGACTCCAAATATGCAGCAGGCGTCAGGGTCGGGATCGAACCCACGACCTTCTGCATACCAGGGAAGGTACGTAGCCTGGTATTCAGCTACCGAGGAGTGGCGGCGGTCGTGTCGCTAGGGTTCTCTGCGGTGAGTAACGATGTCTTTATAAAAACAACGGAGCTGTTGCCACCAAGCCCCTCTCTAAATAAAATTAACGCTTAGCCAATCGGGCACTGTTCCGAGATTCGGCGGTAAATGTGACACCACCCACCCACCACCCTGCAACTTGCCAGACGTCATCGGAACGAGGAAAGGCCTTCAAAGATACGTTCGAACCTCCATCACAAACTCCTCATGTCTCACTCTACCTGTCTGTAGAGCAATGGGTCTTACCGGATTCCTTCAATGCGGTTTGAGGCACGCTTCTCAGCGTTTCGTCATCCAGGCTCCCGTCATCTTCTCGCTTCACAGCTACTCCTACACAAGCGCGTAAAAAAATATAAACTACAGTGGAACCTCGGAGATCGAACGCACCAGAACTCGAAGAAATCGGTGTTCGAACAATATTTCCGAACATTTTTTGCCCCGGAAACCGAACGAAATTCTGAGGTCGAACGGGAAATCGCGACTTGAAAGAACCCATACGGCTGAGACGTGTATGCCAGCGTGCATGACGCTTGCCCAGACAAAGGTTTTACCACCTCCTCCTCACCACCTTCCACCAAGCCATCAACTCTCCTTACTACACAAGTAAAGTGAAGTTCAATGTTAATTTATTTCATTTATTCCATATATTTATTAATTTATTCCATTTATTTATTGCGTTTCTTGTTTTTTTGTATGATTTTATGCATGTAATTACTGTAAACTTCGTGTAAAAATGCTTTATAATGAGAGATTTCTTGTGTCTGGAACCAATTAATGTCATTTACATTACTTTTTATGGGGAAAATGAATTCGGTGTTCGAACAAATTGGTGTTCGAATGGCCTTCTGGAACGAATTAAGTTCGATCTCTGGGGTACCACTGTACTTTTTTATTTACTTTACCAGCTAAGGCCCCACTGAACTATGCAGCTGTTTTGTCAGAAGCGACCTGGCGGTGAGCACAATCGATAAGCTCAACGAAGTGGGCGTATCATCACCATGTGGAATTCTATAGCAATGCGTGACGTCAATTATAAATGTGAAGCGAAAAACTGGAGGATCCGGAGAAAAATCCACGCCACTTTGGGGAGAGAAAGAGACACGCAAACTCCAAATATACAGCAGGCATCAGGATAGGGCTCGAACCCACGACCTCCTCCATACCAGGCAAGGCGGATAACATCTCGCTACTTAATGAGCGATTACACGTGAGAGAAATCGCACGCGTGCGAGGGTGCAACACTCTATCCCCTAACAGACGGGACAGGTGGGGTTCACATTCATGTTGTACCGCCTTCTACCTGGCAGAGCCAGAGGTTATGGCTCCTCTTCGATGCCCACCCATGGGAAGGGAGTTCACAACCCGTCTGTGTGGTGATCCACCAGTGCTGGATTACAGGCCGCATCCGCCACTACCGCCTGGTTAAAGTTGACACCCCGCCTTAATGCTTTATTCACCCACGGATGCAGCTGTGTTCAAGGGACCTGACACGGTGTCTTTGATTATAAATATGTGACAGGTTCTTTTGCACCGTACGTAGCCAACCGCGCCAATCGGAGGTGCGGGGGGAAGGACAACAAACTAAACACAACAACAACAAGAACAAGCAGTTCTAAAGAAATGAATTAGTCAATGTAGAGGACGATTTTGAAGTGCATATCCCCGGTAGCTTCCTAATATCGGAAGGAAGAGCGTTCCAGACGGCCCACAGAAGCGCGATGCGGTGACCGTCTTTGTTCGACGGTTGGCCAAAAGCCGCTGCTGCGAGGATGATGACCGGAGTTCGCGTGATGATGGCTTACATCCCTTGACGAGATCGACGAGGTTCATATTCGCGGCGAGCATTTTGTGTCCGTGTGGAATTGGCGCGACTTTATAACGCGTTCGCTCGGCAACCGCAAGCCAATGCAGCTCAGCGAGCACCGGGCGGACACGGTCGGATCTTGCGGCACCCGTCACGCAGCTTGCTAATGCTCTTGCATGACTACATACGACATAATGTATTACAATAAGGAACATAATGTCCTCCTTAGACTAAACAAATATACATCACTGCTTGCACTGGTTTTCTTTTTCAGATCAGGCTGCGCCCAAGGGTTGAGTGGTTTGTTGTCGAGCGTCAAAGGATGCTCCAACATTCTAGATTTGAAGTTTTCGTGACTGCAAGGGTCCAAACTCTTTGTTTTTTTCGGTAAAGTCACCTAGATAAAAATAAATTAAATCACGACGTTTCGGAGGCAACACAAGCTTCCGTCTTCAGGTGGAACCGTCACAGCAAAATTTTGTGATTTAATTTATTTTTATTTAATTTTTTTACCTACGTGACTTTACCGAAAAAACCAAAGAGGACGCTCCAACAATGAATTGAACAGTTTAATGACAGCTGCCGCTGTAACTTACCAGCGTGAGAGTCTTCATCTTTCACCGTCAAGTCAGGACCCATCCCTGGGTACGGATTGTCTTCATTTTCTTGTTTGATGAACGGCAATTCAAAGTTTGAAGCCATCTGATGAGCAAATTGAATACAATGTCTCATTATTATTACCGTATTACTGTGGGCATACAAAGTCACTCCACGTAGGTTTTTGCCGAAGTTTGCACTACAATTTCTCATATGCGGTACGTAGTGTTTGCATCAGGGACGTGCGTTCAGGGGAGGCAGTGGAGGCAGAGCCTCACCTGGCATACTCCAATGAAAATAGCTGTTACGAAAAGTAAAAAAAAGTAATAAAATCAAAACCAAGATTTTTCCACTGATCTGTGTTATGTCATTTCTGTATGATTCCAATCATGTTAGCGAGTAGCAGCACCTATGAAGGCCGGCACGGCACACGAGATGATGTGTGGGGGTGGCCAGCACCACGCTCGGCCGCCTTTGTCTCCCCAGTGGCGATGTTTACTACGCACCGCACCAGCTACTTATTTGAGGCTGAGTTGACCTAGGGGAGGCCGAGGACCAGTTCAGATAATCGTCACTGATGTTGGCGGGCGTGAGCTGAAATGGAACCCTGGGTAGCCGGGTTCGTAGCGCAGCGCGCTAACCATTGCGCCACCACTCCCCGTGTATACACAACAAAGATAAAGATCCCCGTATAGCCTTTAACAGTCTGTTGGGGCAAGTGCTGTTGGCGAGTAGCAGCAGCGCCGTATGGCGTGGTGCTGGCCGACCCACCCCTTCGTGTGCCGTGCCGGGCTTCATAGGCGCTGAAATACACCAACACCAATTCACCGCCATTCGCCACGTCACCACGGCGCCTGTGCCAGGCTAGGTGCACTTAGAGGCTATCACGCGAAGTGTCGAAAGCTCCCGCTGCTAGCAAGGAGGGTAGGGAGCAGAACCAGCAGGTGCCATGGGTTGACTGCTGTGCCAGGCTAGGTACAGCAGGAGGTCACGGGACAGACCCAGCAGGTGCCATGGGTTGACTGCTATGCCAGGCTAGGTACAGCAGGAGGTCACGGGACAGACCCAGCAGGTGTCATGGGTTGACTGCTGTGCCAGGCTAGGTGCAGCAGGTCAGGGAACAGACCCAGCAGGTGCCATGGGTTGACTGCTGTGCCAGGCTAGGTACAGCAGGTCACTAGACAGACCCAGCAGGTGCCATGGGTTGACTGCTGTGCCAGGCTAGGTACAGCAGGTCACGGGACAGACCCAGCTGGTGCCATGGGTTGACTGCTGTGCCAGGCTAGGTACAGCAGGTCACTGGACAGACTCAGCAGGTGCCATGGGTTGACTGCTGTGCCAGGCTAGGTACAGCAGGAGGTCACAGGGCAGACCCAGCAGGTGCCATGGGTTGACTGCTGTGCCAGGCTAGGTACAGCAGGAGGTCACGGGACAGACCCAGCAGGTGCCATGGGTTGACTGCTGTGCCAGGCTAGGTACAGCAGGAAGTTCCCAGGGCAGACCTAGCAGGTACTATGGATTGACTGCTGTGCCAGGCTAGGTACAGCAGGTCACGGGGCAGACCCAGCAGGTGCCATGGGTTGACTGTGCCAGGCTAGGTGCAGGAGGAGGTCACGGGACAAACCCAGCAGGTGCCATGGGTTGACTGCTGTGCCAGGCTAGGTACAGCAGGAGGTCATGGGACAGACCCAGCAGGTGCCATGGGGTTGACTGCTGTACCAGGCTAGGTGCAGCAGAAGGTCACGGGACAGACCCAGCAGGTGCCATGGGTTGACTGCTGTGCCAGGCTAGGTACAGCAGGTCACGGGGCAGACCCAGCAGGTGCCATGGGTTGACTGCTGTGCCAGGCTAGGTACAGCAGGAGGTCACGGGACAGACCCAGCTGGTGCCATGGGTTGACTGCTGTGCCAGGCTAGGTACAGCAGGTCACTGGACAGACCCAGCAGGTGCCATGGGTTGACTGCTGTGCCAGGCTAGGTACAGCAGGTCACGGGACAGACCCAGCTGGTGCCATGGGTTGACTGCTGTGCCAGGCTAGGTACAGCAGGTCACTGGACAGACCCAGCAGGTGCCATGGGTTGACTGCTGTGCCAGGCTAGGTAAAGCAGGTCACGGGACAGACCCAGCAGGTGCCATGGGTTGACTGCTGTGCCAGGCTAGGTACAGCAGGTCACTAGACAGACCCAGCAGGTGCCATGGGTTGACTGCTGTGCCAGGCTAGGTACAGCAGGTCACGGGACAGACCCAGCTGGTGCCATGGGTTGACTGCTGTGCCAGGCTAGGTACAGCAGGTCACTGGACAGACTCAGCAGGTGCCATGGGCTGACTGCTGTGCCAGGCTAGGTACAGCAGGAGGTCACAGGGCAGACCCAGCAGGTGCCATGGGTTGACTGCTGTGCCAGGCTAGGTACAGCAGGAGGTCACGGGACAGACCCAGCAGGTGCCATGGGTTGACTGCTGTGCCAGGCTAGGTACAGCAGGAAGTTCCCAGGGCAGACCTAGCAGGTACTATGGATTGACTGCTGTGCCAGGCTAGGTACAGCAGGTCACGGGGCAGACCCAGCAGGTGCCATGGGTTGACTGTGCCAGGCTAGGTGCAGGAGGAGGTCACGGGACAAACCCAGCAGGTGCCATGGGTTGACTGCTGTGCCAGGCTAGGTACAGCAGGAGGTCATGGGACAGACCCAGCAGGTGCCATGGGGTTGACTGCTGTACCAGGCTAGGTGCAGCAGAAGGTCACGGGACAGACCCAGCAGGTGCCATGGGTTGACTGCTGTGCCAGGCTAGGTACAGCAGGTCACGGGGCAGACCCAGCAGGTGCCATGGGTTGACTGCTGTGCCAGGCTAGGTACAGCAGGAGGTCACGGGACAGACCCAGCTGGTGCCATGGGTTGACTGCTGTGCCAGGCTAGGTACAGCAGGTCACTGGACAGACTCAGCAGGTGCCATGGGTTGACTGCTGTGCCAGGCTAGGTACAGCAGGTCACGGGGCAGACCCAGCAGGTGCCATGGGTTGACTGCTGTGCCAGGCTAGGTAAAGCAGGTCACGGGACAGACCCAGCAGGTGCCATGGGTTGACTGCTGTGCCAGGCTAGGTACAGCAGGTCACGGGGCAGACCCAGCAGGTGCCATGGGTTGACTGCTGTGCCAGGCTAGGTACAGCAGTAAGTTCCCGGGGCAGACCCAGCAGGTGCCATGGGGTTGACTGCTGTGCCAGGCTAGGTACAGCAGGTCACTGGACAGACTCGGCAGGTGCCATGGGTTGACTGCTGTGCCAGGCTAGGTAAAGCAGGTCACGGGACAGACCCAGCAGGTGCCATGGGTTGACTGCTGTGCCAGGCTAGGTACAGCAGGAGGTCATGGGACAGACCCAGCAGGTGCCATGGGGTTGACTGCTGTGCCAGGCTAGGTGCAGCAGAAGGTCACGGGACAGACCCAGCAGGTGCCATGGGTTGACTGCTGTGCCAGGCTAGGTACAGCAGGAAGTTCCCAGGGCAGACCTAGCAGGTGCTATGGATTGACTGCTGTGCCAGGCTAGGTACAGCAGGTCACGGGGCAGACCCAGCAGGTGCCATGGGTTGACTGCTGTGCCAGGCTAGGTGCAGGAGGAGGTCACGGGACAAACCCAGCAGGTGCCATGGGTTGACTGCTGTGCCAGGCTAGGTACAGCAGGAGGTCACGGGGCAGACCCAGCTGGTGCCATGGGGTTGACCGACTAAATGGACCAGCCGTGCCATCTCGCAGCATGATTAGCCCCACCCAGCGGATTACTAACAAGCCCGTGACAGTCAGAACGAACAAAACAACAGCAACAACAACAACCGACCAGCAGTGGATAAATCATTCACCCCACCCCCCACCACCCCCCACTACCCCCCACACTGTTTACCGGTTGCATAAACGCCACCTACGTCAATGCGCCCTCTCGCCAGCCGGGATGTGATGGGGGCGGAGAGGTGCTGCGAAAAGCGACTCGATGCGGCACAAGACGACCCTGGGAACCGAGAGATATCTCAGTTTCATTGATTAGGTATAGCCCTGTGAGCCGTGAGGCTTTTGACTCGGGTGCAACCGCAACAAAACAAGAACGTGAACAAAGAAACATCTGAAAGTGACGACGCGCAACAGAAACGTCCAGGAAAAAAAGAGCAAAGTCTTCCGGAAATAAAGCACCGCGTTTCAACGCTGTGTGCAAAAATACCAGTGGGATGGAAGCGAAACAATAACAATCATAAGACAATTTAGATTACCCATACGCTTTCGAAATCACCAAAATAACGCTATGAAAACAATGTAACAACAGTAATCACAAGACGACCCTGGGAACCGAGAGATGTCTCAGTTTCATATCAGTTTCATTGATTAGGTGTAGCCCTGTGAGCCGTGAGGCTTTTGACTCGGGTGCAACCGCAACAAAACAAAAACATGAACAAGGAACATCTTAAAGTGACGACGCGCAACAGAAACATCCAGGAAAAAAAGAGCAAAGTATTCCGGAAAAAAAGCACCGCGTTTCAACGCTGTGTGCAAAAATACCAGTGGGATGCAAGTCGAACAATAACAACCATAAGACAAATTCTTGGTTCTTTCGGTAAAGTCACGTAGAAGGGAAATCCACACCTGATGATGATTGCTTGTGTTGCAGTGAAAACGTCGTTTATATTTTTATTATGTTATTATTTCCCTACGTGAAATAATAACTTTACCGAAAGAACCAAGAATATGAATCCCTGCAGTCACGAAAGCTTTAAATCAAAACCATAAAACAATTTGGATAAAGTTATCTGGCTAACTCCGTACTACAACAAACATGGCTCAACCGTACGTTTTCGAAATCACCAAAATAAAGCTATACAATGTAACGGTGATCATAGAAACTGTGATTCTAATTTAACAATAAACAATTTTCATAACGACCAAACTTTGCAGCCATAGCTGGGTGGGTGGAACGGTATTCGGAATCCTGATCGCTGCTGTGCGTGACTGTCAACGCCTAATCAGTTGCCCTACCTTATTACGGATCAATTCTGACATTATTGATCACTCCGTGACCTTATACATCTCAAAGTTCATCCTGCAAAGTCCCCATCACAAGGGAGAAAAACAATTGGATAATCACCAATAGTACAATCACCACTACAAACCTGTCAATCCCTTATCAGTGCCCTACCTTATTACGGATCAATTCAGACCTTATTGGTCATCCTGTGCCCTTATGAATCTCAAAGTTCATCCTGCAAAGTCCCCATCACAAGGGAGAAACGCAATTAGATAATCACCACTAGGACACTCACCACCACTACACTCACCACTACAAACCTGACAATCCCTTATCAGTGCCCTACCTTATTAGAGACCAATTGAGACCTTGTCATCCCGTGCTCTTCTAAATCTCAAAAGTCATCCTACAAAGTCCCCATCACAAGGGGTCAACACACAAACAAACAGACGAATGTTTTGTGTGCTCGTATTGAAACGGCTGGACGCCGTATGGACCTGAAAACTCAATTTCCCTGAACAAGAATACGGGCTAAACTGTACGTGTTGACACGGTATGCGGCCACCACAACAACCACCAACAACAACAAACGATAGCGGTGACGATTGTCTGAATCGGCCCTCTGTGCTTAGTTAAATCCCCCCTTTCCCTTGTAAGTCCAACTCAGCCTCAAACGAGATGCCGTGCCCATTACCGACTTACGAACGAGATGCCGTGCCTGTCGCCGACTTACGGACGAGATGCCGTGCCCGTCACCGACTTACGAACGAGATGCCGTGCCTGTCGCCGACTTACGGACGAGATGCCGTGCCCGTCACCGACTTACGGACGAGATGCCGTGCCCGTCACCGACTTACGAACGAGATACCGTGTCCATCACCGACTTACGAACGAGATGCCGTGCCTGTCACCGACTTAGGAACGAGATGCTCTGCCCGTCACCGACTTACGAACGAAATGCCGTGCCCGTCACCGACTTACGAACGAGATGCCCTGCCCGTCACTGACTTACGAACGAGATGCCGTGCCCATCACCGACTTACGAACGAGATGCCGTGCCTGTCACCGACTTAGGAACGAGATGCCGTGCCCATCACCGACTTACGAACGAGATGCCGTGCCCATTACCGACTTACGAACGAGATGCCCTGCCCGTCACCGACTTACGAACGAGATGCCGTGCCCATTACCGACTTACGAACGAGATGCCGTGCCCGTCACCGACTTACGAACGAGATGCCCTGCCCGTCACCGACTTACGAACGAGATGCTCTGCCCGTCACCGACTTACGAACGAAATGCCGTGCCCGTCACCGACTTACGAACGAGATGCCCTGCCCGTCACCGACTTACGAACGAGATGCCGTGCCCGTCACCGACTTACGAACGAGATGCCGTGCCCGTCACCGACTTACGAACGAGATGCCGTGCCCGTCACCGACTTACGAACGAGATGCCGTGCCCGTCACCGACTTACGAACGAGATGCCGTGCCCGTCACCGACTTACGAACGAGATACCGTGCCCGTCACCGACTTACGAACGAGATGCCGTGCCCGTCACCGACTTACGAACGAGATGCCGTGCCCGTCACCGACTTACGAACGAGATGCCCTGCCCATCACGACTTACGAACGAAATGCCGTGCCCATTACCGACTTACGAACGAGATACCGTGCCCGTCACCGACTTACCAATGAGATGCATACACGTCACCGACTTACGAACGAAATTCCGTGCCCGTCACCGACTTACGAACGAGATACCGTGCCCGTCACCGACTTACGAACGAAATGCCGTGCCCATCACCGACTTACGAACGAAATGCCGTGCCCGTCACCGACTTACGAACGAGATACCGTACCCGTCACCGACTTACGAACGAGATACCGTGCCTGTCACCGACTTACGAACGAGATGCCGTGCCCATCACCGACTTACGAACGAGATACCGTGCCCGTCACCGACTTACGAACGAAATGCCGTGCCCGTCACCGACTTACGAACGAGATACCGTACCCGTCACCGACTTACGAACGAGATACCGTGCGTGTCACCGACTTACGAACGAGATGCCGTGCCCATCACCGACTTACGAACGAGATGCCGTGCCCGTCACCGACTTACAAACGAGATGCCGTGCCCGTCCCGGACTTTACGAACGAGACGTCATGCTCGTCACTGACTTACGAACGAGATTCCGTGCCCGTCACCGACTTACGAACGAGATACCGTGCCCGTCACCGACTTACGAACGAGATGCCTGCCCGTCCCCGACTTACGAACGAGACGCATGCACGTCCCCGACTTACGAACGCGCTTCAACTTACGAACGCCCGCACTTACGAACCGCCGCCCTCTGCTGTTATTGTCGCGACAAATGATTTGACGACGCTTTTTAGACGACCTCTCTCTCGCGCGCGGCGCGCGCCGCGTGTATCCTTACGCGCGCGTGGCGCGTGCGCGCGCGTGACAAACGCAACCCGGCGGAGGAACTATTTCGTTCCGGCGGAGCGAGAGCGCGCGCGCCGCTTCTCTCTCTCTCCCAGAGCCCCATCACCGCCACCGCCATCGCCACCGCCGCGACGACGTCTGCCGCGCAGAGTGAAGAGAGGTGGAGGCGGTGGAGGCGGCGTTCACCGCTCTCCCTCACCACCTCTTCATCATCACCAACCTCTCATCCTCACCACCTTCTCACCAACCTCTCACCCCACCACCACATCACCCTCACCACTACCTCACCACCACCTCCCACCACCCTCTCACCCCCTCACCACCACCTCACCACCACCACACCACCCTCACCTCACCCTCACCACCACCCTCTCACACCTTCACCACATCACCACCTCACCACCACCCCCGCACCACCCCCTCACCTCACCACCCTCTCACCCTCACCACCTCACCATCACCACCTAACCTCACCACCCCCTCACCCTCACCACCCCCTCACCCCACCCTCACCCTCACCACCACCACCCCCTCACCTCACCACCACCTCACCACCACCCTCACCACCACCCTCACCACATCACCACCTAACCTCATCACCCCCTCACCCTCACCACCCCCTCACCACCCCCTCACCACCACCCTCTCGCCACCCTCTCACCACACCCTCACCGCCACCTCACCACCTCCTCACCCCACAACCACCTCACCACCTCACCCTTACCACCACCACCCTTTCACCCCCTCACCCTCACCATCCCCACACCCTTACCACCTCACCTCACCACCCTCTCACCTCACCACCCCCTCACCACCCCCTCACCCCCCTCTCACCACCACCTCACCCCACCCTCACCACCTCACCACCACCCCACCCTCACCCCCCCCTCACCACCACCACCTCACCCCACAACCCTCTCGCCATGTCGGCCAAACGGAAGCTTGACAACAACCCGGCAAACGATGACACCACCACCAACACCACCAACACCACCACCACCACCACCAACCCAGCAGACAACAACAACAATGACAACAACAACAACGACCCCACGCCGCCATCGAAGCGACGCCGCCGATCTCGCCACTTCCATCAGCATGAGGACGAAGATCGCCATCATCCGCTGGTGGGAAGGAGGCGGGACGGCTGCGGGCATCGGTAGGGCGCTGGGTCTGAACCGATCCACGATCTACACCATCATGAGGGACCGGGCGCGGATCGTCGAACACGTGAGAGCCTCGGCGCCCGTCGTGTCGACGATCATCACGAAGAGGCGGAGCGGCGCCGGCGGCGTCGAGGAGATGGAGAAGCGACTCGTGGCGTGGCTGGAGGAGCAGAGACTTGGTGGAGGTGATGGTGGTGGAGGTGGTGGTGGTGGTTGTGATGGAGGTGGTGATGGTGGTGGAGGTGGTTGTGGAGGTGGTGGTGGTGGTAGTGGTGGTTGTGATGGAGGTTGTGGTGGAGGTGGTGGTGGAGGTTGTGGATGTGGTGGTGGTTGTGGAGGTTGTAGAGGTGGTGGTGGAGATGGTGGTGGTGATGGTGGTGGAGGTGGTGGTGGTTGTGGAGGTTGTGGTGGAGGTGGAGGTGGTGGTGATGGAGGTGGTGGTGGTGTAGGTTATGGTGGTGGTGGAGGAGGTTGTGGATGTGGTGGTGATGGTGGTGAGGTTGTTGTGGAGGAGGTGGTGGAGGTGGTGGTGGTGGTTGTGGTGATGGTGATGGTGGAGGTTGTGGTGGAGGTTGTGGAGGTTGTGGAGGTGGTGGTGGTGATGGTGGTGGTGGTGGAGGTTGTGGTGGTGGTGGTGGTTGTGATGGAGGTTGTGGTGGAGGTGGTGGTGGTGATGGTGGAGGTGGTGGTGGAGGTGGTGGTGGTGGTTGTGGTCGAGGTGGTGATGGTGGAGATGGTGGTGCTGATGGAGATGGTGGTGGAGGTGGTGATGGCCGTGGTGGTGGTGGTTGTGGTCGAGGAGGTGGTGGTCGAGGTGATGGTGGAGATGGTGGTGGTGCTGATGGAGGTGGTGGTGCTGATGGCCGTGGTGGTGCTGATGGAGGAGTAGGAGGTGGAGGTGTCATGGTGCCCCTGAGCTTCAGGGCGATCCAGAGGAAGGCGAGAAGTCTCTTCGAGGAGTTGACTGCGGCTCGTCTCCTACACGACGACGTCGTCGACCGAGGAGGAGGAGGAGATGGATACGTGCCACCTCCTCCATTCGTGGCGAGCCGCGGGTGGTTCGATCGCTTCAAGTCTCGGGCGAACCTTCAAAGTGTGAGGATCTCATGCGATGGACGCTGTGGTGGTGGTGGTGATGGTGGTGGTGGTGATGAAGGCGGCTCGGGTGAATTCCCCGATCTGTTGGCTCACGTTGGTAGCATGCGAGGTGGTGGTGGAGGAGGTGGTCGATGTTGTTGTCAGCGCCTCACCCTCTACGCCATCGGCAAGCCACCGGCACCAGCGAGGCTCGAGGTAAGGAGATGGAGATTGAAACAAAAAGTCTTGGTGCTGCTTGACACCAACTTAGCAGGGCTTTCGCGACCAATATCATCCATGGATTGGAGGGTTAGATCGCGTAGATTTATATAAATGTGTCGTTAAAACCCTCCACCATACGACGCGGCCAACTAAGTGAGGGTTGTCACGTAAACAGAACGTGGACAATTCGTCACTAGTACAGCACAGGCTGTCTGTCGCCTGATGAAGCTGGTTGTGGTTACTCGGCGAAACGTCGTACTCGGTATTGTAAATGTTGTGGCTTTGCTCGCCAACGCACCAGGTGTGCTGTACTAGTATACTACACTATACACTAGTGCTGTACTATACTACACAATACACTACACTATACACTAGCCACTAGTGCTGTACTAGTATACTACACTATACACTACACTATACACTAGTGCTGTACTATACTACACTATACACTACACTATACACTACACTATACACTAGTGCTGTACTAGTATACTACACTATATACTACACTATATACTACACTATACACTACACTATACACTACACTATACTACACTATACACTACACTATACACTACACTATACACTACACTATACACTACACTATACACCACTATACACTAGTTCTGTACTATACTACACTATACACTACACTATACACTACACCATACACTACACCATACACTACACCATATACTACACTACACTATACACTAGTGGTGTACTACACAGTACTACACTATACACTACTATACTATACACTACTATACTATACACTACACCATACACTATACACTTGTGCTGTACTACACAGTACTACACTATACACTACTATACTATACACTACACCATACACTATACACTAGTGCTGTACTAGTGATGAATTTCCACGTTCTGTTTACGTGACAACCCTTACGAGTTGGCTGTGTCGGGTGGTGGCGGGTTTAACGACACATTTATATATTTACGCGATCTAACCCAAAACAAACTCTATCTTGGTGCTGTGTTTGTATTGTGGGGCGTACAATGAAGACAAAGATTCCGGACTAACCCCCACAGTGTAGCCTGGGAACAGACGCACCACCAAATAGGCACCTTCTTCCAGGAATCTGCTCACCGCAAGCTATGAATATCCCTAATACGTGCATTGCCCTTGTACTTCATCATGAGGCCTCCTTTGCCAGTACCAAAATATACTAATAGGGGTTTTCCCCTTTTTTCTGGCAACAAAACTGACTCCTTTTGCAAGGAATCATGCTTACATTAACCACAATACTTGCAGTCAAAATGCAAACAAAAAACAATACTCTGATAATGTATGCATTGTCCTTGAAACTCATTGGTCCACACCAGAGACAGCTTTTCTTAGAGCCTAGTCTCATATGGTGATCGATCAAATGACGCCAAAAGGCGCACAGTTCAAAGACAAAAAGGGGAAAACCCTATTAGTATATTTTGGTACTGGCAAGGGAGGCCTCATGATGTAGATGCTTACCCCGAGCTCTCATTACTCTGATAGTGCATTGCCCTTGTACTGTTCGCCTTTGGGCATTCTCTGGTCTGACACTGGTAGTGAGATTAGGCACTAAAGAAGGCTGCTGCAATCTGGTGGTGTAGGCCAATCAAGTTTCAAAAACAATGCCCATTAATATCAGAGCGTGTTTGTTTGCATTTTCACAAGTACCGTGTGTGGTTAATGCGAGACATGATTCTTTGCTTTCCGGAAGTGCTGAACATCTCTTGCCTCTTTGAAGATTTCATGGCTGTGTTTGTGTTGTGTATTGTGCCTGTGCGTGCATAGCACACTTGGCTAAGTATGGTGCGAAATAAAGGTTCAACGTACAGGTCTATTTCTCCAACAGTGCGTGGGAGTTTTCAAAACGTGAATTGGATGATGATATGACGCGATGATGAACGTATTAAGGGAACGCATTTTTTAAATGGCGCAGGATGCGAATTGGATGTAACTAACGCGATCGAGCGAACGGAACTGCGTCGCGCGAGTAGAAACAAGCGGCCGTAACGTCTGCCTCTGCGTAGCATAATTATCGTCGCACGAGGCATTGGGATGCTGCTGGATGATTCTAGACGCTACGCACACGCCCCCAGTCTTTGTTCAGCCTGTGTATGCATCATCTCACACGCTATTGCGGCCTGTGCTTTACCCCCTACATGATATATCATTTATTGTAAGCGTGATTTTTCCAGAACAGTGGAGTTATTCAGGAACGCAACTACTACCACCGCCTGTGTTATAGGAGCACACGCTGTACGTGCATACAAAAGTCTCTTTCTGTTCCCTCTCAGATGGATTCGGGCATTGGGTTGCCCTTCATCAAACAAGAATACGATGGAAATCCATTCGCCGCGATGTCTTCTGACTTGACGGTGAAACGTGAACATTCAGATGTTGGTGAGACACTTTAAAAAATGCACGTCTCCCACGTGGTCACATTTTAATCGTTGTTAACACCATGTCCTCTATTAGCACACAGTGAACAACAAAAGCGCGGAGGAAGCAGTGGCCTGCATTGGGTTAAGAAGAGATCGAGGCCATCATTCGTGATGGCCTCGTCGCTCCTGCAGGAAAAAATGCTACATCGCTCAATTGGGGGCCTTTCACCGGGTCAAATAAAAAAAAACCTTAGTTTAGGAGGCTGCTGTTGAAATCGTTCCGTGGTGTTTTAACCTTGGGGCCCTTCCCCGACAAGGTGAGGTTTTGCCGACTGGGAATAACTCGATAAAGCAAGTTGCTTCATTTCGTGATATAAACACAACTCCGCTATAAATTTCGTTTCCCCTCACATTTGTTCAGTTGTGCCGTCAATGTCAAAGGCCCCAGTGGGCTGCTATACGTAGCTTCTTTTAACAAGCTGACCTGGCTAACACAAATAATAGCTCAACAAAGTGGCTTTTCACGGGTGAAATGTATACCAGCAGCCAAATATTCTAAACCCATAGCGCTACATAGAGACCCATAGATATACATAGAGACCCACCTGAGACCCATTTTCAGAGAGAGTCATAGAGACCCACATATATCCAGAGACTCCTATAGAACCAGAGACCCAGATAGACCCATACTCACATGTTTCTAAATATATATTCCATTCACATTACCCGATCTCTTGGCAATTGAGACAACGCACGATGTTGGTAGAATGCCGACAAAAATTACTTCACAAGATGACTGTAGTCACTTAAAATCCTCCCTTTCATCTCCGGAGCAAGCGTGTTACGTGACTATAATACCTGTACTTCTCGTGTCAGTGAAATAAAACTTGTATCGCTCACTGATGGGTTAAGCTGCGTAGAGTCAGCCATATCTAATGTGAGAATTTCGTGTGTTAATTGGTCTTCTACTTTCGTACAGCTGCTGATGTAGATGGTAGGGAAAACAACTACAATTTCACATTCAGGTTGGTCATGCTCAGATAACCGCGTCAGGAGCAGCGGAGTAGTGTATCATCACCGCTGTGATGTCACCTTACTAGTTGGTAGATCGGGGCATTGCGTTTGTTCATAGGGCATTGCACGGTCTGTTCATTGGCAATTGGGACTGCACCCAATCGAATCGCTACATTTGGGAGGCGCAGTTTTAATAGCAGGCTTCCGAAATCCCAGATACAAACTGCGGGATGTCGACGGTGCTGGCTCAGGAGTATCTGACAATCATCGTCTCTCTCTAGCCCTTCAGACACCCCTGGCTCCGCCACCTCAGGCGACGATTTGTCCGTAACTGGTCGATTGAACGCACGGCGTGTGCAGGAGCAGTGGCGACGCAAGAAGATGAGGGGAGTCTGGGCACTGGGATTTTGAGGATTGTGGTGAAAACCGAAGTGGAGGAAGATGGTAAGACCCCCCTTCCTACAGGCAGGCAGAGCGGAAATAAATAAACAAAATAGCCAAACAACACCGTCGACAACAAGACGTCAAGAATTGTACAGTCCTTCTGTAGAAACACCCCTCGCCCAGTCTTTATCATTGTAATGCATTGTTTGGTGGTGTTCCTTTGGCAGTGGTGCACAAGCACAACCAACAGCAATCATTTGTCAACAACACTGCCCCGTAGAACGTAACTATACATATGCACAGGCATGTCCCCGGTTTGCGCCCAGGATGCGTTCCTGAAGAGCAGAACGTAAATGGAAAGAACTTGATTCGAAGAAAGGAGATGGGATAGTGGGATTGTGGATTGTAGCGTGGTACAGTAGCTACTCCGACTTAGTAGTAGCACCTACTACTGCTACTACGTAGTAGTAGGTGCTACTACTACGTAGTAGTAGGTGCTACTGCTACGTAGTAGTAGGTGCTACTGCTACGTAGTAGTAGGTGCTACTGCTACGTAGTAGTAGGTGCTACTGCTACGTAGTAGTAGGTGCTACTGCTACGTAGTAGTAGGTGCTACTGCTACGTAGTAGTAGGTGCTACTGCTACGTAGTAGTAGGTGCTACTGCTACGTAATAGTAGGTGCTACTAGGTACTATTAGAGATGGGACCGTGGATTGTAAAGTGGTACAGAAGCTACCAGTAGTAGGTACTACTACTAGTAGTCATAGGTAGTAGTCGTGGTCGTAGCTAGTAATAGCTACTACTACTAAAAATGGGACAGTGGATTGTTACGTGGTACAGTACCTAAACAGAGGATGCTCCAGTAACCCATTGCGCATATATACCACAGCACCGTCGGTGTGAAAAGTGTATATTACGAATATATTAACTTATCTATTATACTAAATGTATTACTTTTGGTTTTTTATAAATGAAAAAAATATTCGGTGGGGGAAAAAATAGAAAAAATATGGTACAGTGCAGACACGAGAGTTTCCAATCAGGGACACCAACGCTTGGGCGCCATGTGGCGCACGAATGTCGCATTGTAACGTCTAAATATTTGGGTCAAGAGGGTGGTAAACGATAATAATAATACAAGGACTCCTCTACTTACGAACATTCGACTTACGAACTTTCAGAGATATGAACAAACCCTGTTTGTACGTCCAGTTGCCTGTTTGGACTGAGAGTCGTAAGTGCAATATAGATGGCGGCGATGGCATCTTACATCTGCAGAACGTTAATAACCAGTGGCATATGCATCTACAGGAGATTATACAACGTTTAAAGCCATCCCCCGTGTTTAATGTACGTTCCGTACAACATGTTTGGAATCGACAGGAGTAAAGTTGGCCTTGCGAAGGTACCTCTGGAACCTAAATAATTTGTAAATAGAGGAGTCCCTGTAATCGTTTTACCCGTTCTGGCAATAACACAGGAGTTGTGTTCAAATGGGCACACACTTATAGCAAGGCATCATCAAGTCTGCATGAACCACAATACTTGTGGCGAAACATGCAAACAAACATGCTCTGATAATATTATACACGCATTGTCTTTGAAACTGATTGGTCTAAGCCTTGTCTCACCACCCGTGTGAGACCAGAGAATGCGAAAAGTTAAACAGCGCAAGGGCAATGGAAATAAAGTATTAGTGGCTCGGGTTGAGCAGTTATATCGAAACAATGAAAAAATAAGAATACGTTTTATACCCGTTCTGGCAATAAAACTTCAAGGACAGTGCACATTATCAGAGTTATGTTTTTTGTTTGCATTATGACTGCAGGTATCGTGGTCTATGCAAACATGACTCCTTGTAAAAAGGTGTCAGTTTTGTTGCCAGATAGAAGGGTAAAAAAACAATTATCATATTTTTACTGGCAAATGAGGTTCCCATAGTGTAGATGCTTACCCCGAGCTCTCCTACTCTGATGGTGCATTGTCTTTGAGTTGTGCGCCTTTTGGCGTCATCTGGTCCAACACCATGTGAGACTGGGGCTCTAAGGAAAGCTGTCTCGGGTGTGGACCAATCAACTTCAAGGACAGTGCACATATCAGAGTTATGTTTTTTGTTTGCATTATGACTGCAGGTATTGTGGTCTATGCAAACATGACTCCTTGTAAAAAGGTGTCAGTTTTGTTGCCAGATAGAAGGGTAAAAAAACAATTATCAAGTTGGTAAATGTCGAGTACGTTATGACAAGGTACCCACGATACATAAATCGGGACTGGGTCTCAATGGTAGATATATTTTGTTTCGGTAAAAATATTTAAGTCTGCTTTGAAAATCCACCTCTTTAAAGTGGCCTTCCCTCTTTAGTTTGGTCGGTTGCGCCCTGGTTCCTGTTTTTTCTTTCCTGCATTCCATGCATTGCGCATTGGGATCCTCAGATGGAACGCACAATATACATTTTAATTACAAATTTTCAATGAGTTGAGTACGTTGTCGTGAAAGTACGTAACAACGGGAGGGGCGTGAATCGGGGTGTTATTGTGAGAGGCAGCATTTGGTGTAAGGCCCCCTTCTCCAGAGCACACTGGGTCAGTGTTGTTGACAGATGCGTTGATTTTTTTGTTTGTTTTGTTTTTGCCTTTCGACACCCCTTAATTCATCCAAAGGCCACGGTGCATTTTATAAATTACAGCTGCAGATCTACAAATTTTGAAAGTCGAAGGATGCAGTGCGAGTGCATGGGAGAAGGGGAATTCCCTCGAAGGATGTCCGGACACTTCACGCGAGAACCTCATCAAGGTGGAGTTGCCGAATGAGGACGTCGGTGAAGAAGGTGAGTCCTCCTCTGGAGGGCCCACTTCAAATTTTGTTGAAGTGAAAAAAAAAACTGCAAATCTTGAGTTCGTAAATCGAGGAATGCCTGTCTTGCGTATTGGGGTGCCGCGGTAGCAAGATGTTAATTCTCTCGCCTGATATGCAGGAGGTTGTGGGTTTGATCCCGACCCTGATGCCTGCTGTATATTTCTAGTTTGCGTGTTCTCCCCATGATCACAATCGTAGATTAAGTGCAATGCTTTTTTACTTTTACTAACAATCATCCCAGTTGAATGAGAATCTTCACTTAAAACTATAAACTTAACATTTTTATTTTACCAGGTAATGCCCCACTGAGCCACCCTACGTAGCTAATCACAAATGATAGCTCAACGAAGTAAGTGGTTTACCATCATCACGTGGAAATTTATAGCGGAAAGCCACGAGGAGATATTAACTACCTCGTCTGGTATGTATGCAGGAGGTTGTGGGGTTTTTTTTGTTTGTAATTTCACTGAAGGAGGGGAGGCGTGGGGGGGGTGCGCGGGGATTCCGAGCAAAGAAGAAAAAAGAAACTTTTCTAACGTAACTCTAACCAGGAAGCAAATTATAATTTTTTTCTCCGCTCGCTCCGGAAAAAAACCAGGTGCAGTGCAGAAGAATTCGGCAAAGTTCCGGGGGGTGGCGTCGCGGCCGCTCGCCAAACGGGGACGCCGTCGCGTCGGAGACCCCAAGGGGCCACGCCGTCACTCGCACTCCGCCACGGGCCATTCGGCCACAGCGACGGGCCATTCGGCGCAAACTTACACGGACACTACGACGATGACCGCTGCGGCACCGGCGGCGGCGGCACTGACGGTACAGGCGGCGGCCGCCCCCCCTCGCTCGTCGAGGAGAAGGGCGAACTTCACGTCGGACGAGTTGGAGGCCCTCGTGCGCTGCGTCGGGGCCCACCTCAGCGACATCGACCTTGTGCCCGACGGCCAGAGCACGAGCCACGCGAGAAAGGAGCGCGCGTGGCTGGATGTGGCCTCCGGCGTGAGCGCCGTGGGTCTCTGTCGATCCGTGGCGGAGGTGAGCACCAACCGGTGGCGCGAGTCTTTAAATCTCTGTGGCCTCGCCCCACCTCGTCCCCCCCCACTTCTCTCATCCTCTTCGTTCCCAGTCTCTCTCTGCCCCAACTTCTCCCAGTGCCCAGTGCTGTGTTGGGTCCTTTCTCCCTCCTTGCACCCCTCCACTGGAATCAACTTCCCCCATATATTGAGCAGCACTGCACCGATAGACTCAACACTACCCAGAGACTCAACAGTGCCTATAGACTCAGTAGTGCATATAGACTCAGTAGTGGCCATAGACTCAGCACTGTCCATAACCTCAACACTGCCCATCGACTCGGCACTGCCCATAGACCCAGCAGTACCTATAGACTTAACACTGTTCATACACCCAACAGTACCCATAGACTCAAAAGTGGCCATAGACTCAACACTGCCCCTATACATGAAGCAGTCCCCCTCCTTAAGCTCCTTCCATTCCTCTCTCAAAGACTCACCTCTTCTTAATCATCACCCATCGCCTTCCTGTTCCCTTCCCTTTCCCCTCCACTCCTTCCTGTCCCTCCCCTGTAGCCCCTTTCGTGACCCTCATGTGCCCTCTGTTACCCCTGCCAACTGAACCGCTCGGTATTTGTTACCACTTTTAAACTCGTGTCAAGCGCTTTCTAAAGATATAAAAAAAACATAAGAAAGTCGATGATATGGTACAACTCGGTGACATTGTAAGGTTGATATAGCAGAATGCAATGTTAATGTGATAATGGTTTATTGTGTCGTGAGAAAATAACGTGAAGTTTGTTAGAAATGTGAATGCTTTCACGACCAATATCCATAATAGAGTTTTTACACACTTTTTATTAACTCACTCTGTCTGTTGTATCCTCAAATCTTGTAACTCAATTTTTACCCACTTCCCAATGTGGTATCGACTGCAAACTTGGTATACTTATGTCATATTGATGACAATACTATATTCATAAATTTTTATATGTTATGTTTCGGCTTCGGTCTAATTGTCCACGCTCAACTGACAGCTGTAAATCACCACAGTCCCTTATGTTATGGCACGCTTCAGGACCACTTTCCTGGGAAGTCGTGGAATTCCATTACTGATACGGTACATTTCATTAAAGCGTGTTTTTAAAGAAGTTTTTTTAAATATTACTTATTAAAATAATAATTATATATCTATATATTTTTTTAAAGACCGAAGCAGGAGGATTTCTCCACAAATCTATCTGTCGCCTGATGATGCTGGTTGTGGTAATTAATGGCAAAATGTCACAGCTACTGGAATTGTAAATGTCGCAGTGGGTTTTACTCTCCAACACAAAACCGGTTAGTGCTGTACTGGTAACGAATTGGTCACGTTTTGTTTACGTGACAAACCCTTTCCTAATTGGCCGTGTCGGGTGCCGACGCGGTTTTAATGACGCATTTACATTTACGCGATCTAACCCAACAAAAACATCTCATGTGATTGCTTTCGTCCGCTCGCTCCGGAACCCCACTAACCCGCTTTGCGCCGCTGCACAAGATTTGCGGTGGTGATGCGGTAGCTGACGACCCCTTTCGAATTAATTCACGAAGGCGTGGGTTGGCAGAGGAGACTTCGCGTTACCGGACATCCGCGAGTGAAAAATAAACTAGGGCTTCACGTCCCGTAGGATTTCTCCGCGGCAAAAAATCAATCCAACGTCCCGATTTCCGAACGTTCACTTTGCGCACGTCCCCGTCGTTCGTTCGTTCCAGGTCAAGAAGAAGTGGTTCGACCTTAGGAGTCAAACGAAGAGGAAGGCAGCAGCTCTGAGACGGGAGGCCGCGGGCGGCCTTCTGCTCGCCGCCCTCCAACTCAACCCCGTCGAGGAGAAGGTGGCCGCCATGCTGGAGACAACGGAGGCCATCCGGTGCCTTGCTCCTCGCATGCTTGGCAACGGTAGGTTTGGTTTTATTTTTGACTAAAACGACTATTAACTTTTTTTATTGTTATCAGGTGCAAGGCCCCCACCTGATAGCTCGACAAAGCGGCTTATCGTACATAATGTGGACATTTATAGCAGCGGCCAAATACTCTAAACGCATAGAGATAGACTCACATATACTCGTAGAAAACCCAGAGATCCAGAGACTCATGTCGATTCACAGAGCCATATTCAGAGAGCCATAGAGACCCATAGATTACCAGAGACTCGTAGAACCTTAGAGACCCACAGTGACCCATACGCATATAGAACCATAGAGACCCATATTCAGAGAGAGCCATAGAGACCTACAGAGACTCATAGGAACATAGGGCATCGAAATGCAATTCCTTCTTGTTTTACTAACAATCATATCCAAGTTGAATCAAAATCTTCACTTAAAACTATAATTAAACAGTTTTTCTTCATTTTACCAGATGTAAAACCCCCACTGAGCTACAACGTAGCTCTTTTTCAAAAGCGACGCTCGCCATCGCAAATGATAGTTCGACAAAGAGTCTCGTCATCGTCGTCGTCGTCATCATCGCGTGGAAATTTATAGCAGCAGTTAAATCATCTAGCCGAGGGGTCGGCAAACCTGCGGCTCCTGAACCCCACGCGGCTCTTCGAGGACTGCTTCTTCGTGGCAGTTAATTTCGATGTAAAGCTTTCGTGACTGCAGGGATTCATCTTCTTGGTTCTTTCGGTAAAGTCACGTAGAAGGAAAGTAATAAAATAATAAAAATAAAACGTAATAAAATTTCGATGTAAAGCTTTCGTGACTGCAGGGATTCATCTTCTTGGTTCTTTCGGTAAAGTCACGTAGAAGGGAAGTAATAAAATAATAAAAATAAAACATAATAAAATAAAATAATTCTCACGACGTTTCGGCTACAACGCAAGCAGCCGTCTTCAGGTGAAGAATTCTTCACCTGAGGACGGCTGCTTGCGTTCTTCACCTGCTTGCGTTGTAGCCGAAACGTCGTGAGAATTATTTTATTATGTTTTATTTTAATTATTTTATTACTTCCCTTCTGCGTGACTTTACCGAAAGAACCAAGAAGACAATTTATTTATTTATTAAGGGTCCACCACCGTCTCGAATGCGCGCTGCATTGCAGCTCTTGAAACAACAACTTTTCTTTACCGAATTCGAAAACGAATTAATCTTCTTCACTTGCGAAGAAGATTACGAACGGAACCCGTCCTTTACTGACGAATGGAACCCGTTGGTAAGTAGGCCCCGGGGGATTGGCCGTATTTGCTTTTTTGTGGTATGATCGTGTAAGCGTTATCGTATACACTTGAACCCTATGCCATTTCCATACGCATACCGACCAGGACCAGCCGCTTATGCGTACGTCACTTTGAAAAACTAAAATCAATAACTTTGGTGGAATACCGAGGCTCCCACCACAAGGCCACGCGGGGAGGGGCGTGTCGCACGGTTTTAGGCGCCGGCTATCGTAGAGTGGCGGCGGTCGTGTCGCTACAGTTCTCTGCGGTGAGCAACGACGTCTTTATAAAAACAACAGCTACTGCTGCTTCTACGCCTCTCTCTAAATCAAATTAACGCTGAGCTGCTCCGCGCGCGTTCCGAGATTCGGCGGTGAACGGTAACACCCACCCGCACACCACCCTGCGACCTGCCAGACGTCGTTGTTGAACGGGAGAAGGGTAAATAAAGTATCTCACCGGCATCTGAATGTTCACGTTTCACCGTCAAGTCAGAACACATCCCAGCCAGCGATTGGACTTTCTTCATTTTCTTGTTTGATGAACGGCAACTCGAAGCGTGACTCCATCTGAGAGCAAACTAAAATAGAGATCTAGACACCCTGTTGAATTAGCATATACGCAAACACACAGCAGTTTATTTCCTCGTTATTCACGAACTTGCAATTCTGGCTATCCACCATCCTGCAACTTTTTCCAGACGCCCAAAAGACGGAGGATAGAGGTGTGTGTAAATTCCCACGTCTCACGAGACATCTGACCCCACCAGAATGGAAGAGTTGGCCAACATTCCCTCTCAGTGAGGGGGTGGGAGGGGGTCGTTCTCTGGCACTACCTCCTCGCGTGAAGCCCTTCCAGTCGCAGTGGCGTGAGCAAGGAATTGCAGAGCTGCAGCTTTTTTAAAATCCTTTATATTAAGTTCGCTTGCTTGCTTACGACCGTGCAAATCTTTCGGTCGTTTTTTAACCCACTTCCCGTGATCCAATCGAGCTGACATTTTGCACACAGACTCGTTGTGCGAGACAATTGATGTTCGTAAAAAAAAATTCCAAAATTTTACACTGTTTAGGGAAAACAAATTAAATATTTAATTACCAATTGCTTAATACTGGCAGACAATCATCTGACCCATAGGTGGCAGCCATCTCAAGCCAGAGGACGAGAGGACTCTAGCCGCCACGCATATAAAGGATTTATAGTGAAAAACTTTGTTTTTACGGGTTTACTTGTTTTACCTTGTACCAGGTCGCACTCGTTACACACAGTGTATCTCTTTTCTCTCGCATACGCATGCATGCATACACACGCGCGTGCGTGCGTGTTCTACCCAGCAGAGCGTCCCCGTCTTACCAAGGCAGTCACCACCAAAGTTTCTCCCGCAAGCCACCCAACCTCCACCGCTGCCAGTGACTGGGACAGCCGTTTGGTCGCCGCGCCGTTGACATCCGCCCAACCGTTGCGTCCGTCGAGCACCACCTTGCTCGATGCTCTGGTCCCCGAAGAAGATCACGTTCCCGCCAATGACGACGCGCCTCCCGCGTGGACGGCCCGCCCCGGACGGCCCCCTCCCGGCGGCCCCGACGGCATCGCCGATTTCCCACCGAGTTCCCCGGAGCGCCAGGGTGACCCGCTCTCCGAAGGCCTCGCGGTTCCGTCGAAGCGGGCCTGCCGGGGTCGTCCACTCGGGGGCGGACGTGGCGAGCGTGGCGAGGGTGGCGGTGAACGTTGGGACCACAACGACGGCGGTGGAAACGCGCACCTCGTCCGGCTGATGGAAGAGCAGACGGCGCTGCTGCGAGCCGCCGCGGACAAGCTGAGCAGGGGGCTGAGGACCATCGAGGAAGACCTCAAGGGGTTGAGGAGCTTGGCCGAGTCCCAGGCGGCCCTGTGGAAGAACTGGCTGGAGGTGGGGCAGAGCGGTCGACCGTGACGCTGAGCAAGTCTCTCGCGCGCGCGGGCCAACTCGCTCGTCGGCGATTGCTCTCGCGTTTGACGTCGGTTGCGAGTTCTGTGCGTGCGGACAAGGACGCAGTTTAAAAAAAAAAAAAACGAGCGAAAATTGCACGGAGTGTTCTTTGACAGAAGGAGGAAGAGTAAAAAAAAAGGTTATCAAAGTCGACCTCGCGATTATCAAAACACCGAAATCTCACAAATTCAAACGCTCGTGACGATTATCTGAACCACCAGCCCTGGCCCTCCCCTCGGTTCCAACTACCAGACTCAAAATGAGTCACCCCCCCCCTTTGTGCCGTGTAAACATTGCCACGAGGTAGACCAAGGTGGCGGCAGCCTTGATCACTCCACTGTTAGATTTTAAAAAACGACCTCTTTACCTCGCTACCTCGCACGAGATTCATCTCGAGTTGCCAACCGTCGCGGCTCATCAAGGACTGCTTCTTCGTGACAGGCATTTATTATGGACCGACCAACGCATGGTTCGCTGAAATATTGACTTTTTTGTTTGTTTTCCAAATTAGCCACTGATAAAGGTGGTGGATGGGCGGTTGGGTTCACAGGTTATGACCAATATACAATGAACGCACAATTCACACGGGAGTTCATTCATTGTTACGAGAGAGATTTATATAACCGTGCGTGGATTTCTTTTGACGGCGTAACGACGCAGTGCGGATTATGTGGAGCGGAGGTACTGTCGAAGCTGACGCGAACGTCGCCTGTACGTCCCCTCGCAAACGTTGCCTGGATGTTTCCACCAAGGTGCATTCCCGGTCGAGCGATATACATTAAAACATTTTAAACGTATTTTGTTAGCTAACAGTTCAAAACAGAAACCCTGAACATCAATGACGGTAGTGAGCAGATGAGTGCTAATTATTGAGCTAACAATTGTTTTTCCATCATATAGCTTTTTTTTGGGTCTGATCGCGTAAATATAAATGTGTCGTTAACCCCGCCACCACAGACACAGCCAATTAGTAAGGTTTGTCACGTAAACAGAACGTGCCAATTCGTATTTTTGTGCAATATCTATTACACTGGTCAACACAAACAAATGTCTGGCCTGGACTTTTGCAGCTGTTTTAGACTAAGTTCAGGGTGCTGATTCCAAATCTTATCTCAGATTTGCTCTATCACATCTCATTTTTATGCTATCGGCATACCCCATTTTTTAATCCTTTATATTAAGTTCGCTTGCTTGCGTGCTTGCTTGCGTGCTTGCTTACGATCGTGCAAATCTTTCGGTCGTTTTTTAACCCACTTCCCGTGATCCAATCGAGCTGACATTTTGCACACAGACTCGTTGTGCGAGACAATTAATGTTCGTGAAAATTTTTTTCCAAAATTTTACACTGTTTAGGGAAAACAAATTAAATATTTAATTACCAATTGCTTAATACTGGCAGACAATCATCTGACCCATAGGTGGCAGCCATCTCAAGCCGGAGGACGAGAGGACTCTAGCCGCCACGCATATAAAGGATTTATAGTGAAAAACTTTGTTTTTACGGGTTATACTTATTATTGATTTTACCCGAAATTAACTCTGTCACTTATGATGGCAAGTTGTTGCGAGTCAGTGACTGCTTTAGTGTTAAAATATGGTGCTGCATTTTAGGATAGTGTGTTTATAATATCATTTTATGTAGATATCCACATTTATTTAATATTTTTCTTCTGCAGTTTTTATTGAAAATGCAATATTTAATATCTCAAAAACCTGATGTGAGAGACAAAAACTGATGCCAAATTTGGAATCGGCACCCCAAAATTACCTTAAACCCGTTGGAATACCTTATGCCAGAAAAAGTGTGTTGACCAGTGTTATCCGACATTCACAACGGTTATATCTTAATGATGCATAGCCCCAAATGTACACATTTGTTTTAATCAATGACACTCCAAAGTCAACAAAGCTCCCCCATGTGGCCTCTAACAGACTGTCGGGGCAAGTGGTTGTTAGTAGCGAGTAGCAGCACCTATGAAGGCCGGCAGCTGTGGCAACACGAGGGGGTGGGTGGCCATCACCACGCCCGGCCGCCTTTGTCTCCCCAGTGGCGATGTTTGCTGAACACAACCAGTTACTCATTTGAGGCCGAGTCGACCGAGGGGAGGCCCAGCACCGGTTCCAGATAATCGAACTCGGGTAGCTGGGTTCATAGCGCAGCGCGCAGCTAACCGCTACACCACTGGCTCCCCACATTGACACGCTCTTTAGACCACCACAATCAAATCTGAATATTTTTACTGCAGGAGAAATCCGATGAGTTGTTAAGCTATTTGTTCACAGATGTCCAGTTGGGACACGGGGTAAGAACGTTACAACGTTCTTACCCCGGTATGAGCACAAAGTATAGGAAAGGTAAATAAATCGCTGAACAAAAAACACTTTGACGGCTTGATATTGTGAACTAGGTTAAACATAAACAATTGTGTTATGTTGGGGGGGAAGAGGGAACATCCACAAACATTTCTCCGAATAGTTTCAAAATCAAGAGTTGGCAACCCTTTTTAAATCCTTTATATTAAGTTCGCATGCTTGCGTGCTTGCTTGCTTACGACCGTGCAAATCTTTCGGTAGTTTTTAACCCACTTCCCGTGATCCAATCGAGCTGACATTTTGCACACAGACTCGTTGTGCCAGACAATTATTGTTCGTGAAAAAAAATTCCCAAAATTTTACACTTTTTAGGCAAATTTTTTTTATTTTACATATATTCAAATAGAACTCATTCATGGCTTTGGCTGAACGTCAGAGTGTAAGAGCCCAGAGCGTAACCCCTCCACAGGCCGTGGCGGAGTAGCGCAGTTGGTAGCGCCCTCGCTTCCCATGCCAAAGGTCGCGGGATCGATCCCCGCATCCTCCACAGGCGAATATATTTTTAAATCCTTTATATTAAGTTCGCTGCCACGCATATAAAGGATTTAGAGTGAAAAACTTTGTTTTTACGGGTTATACTTGTTTACCTCGCGATGGCTAGGAAACGTTACCTCCCTCGCTTGGTATACAGGAGGTCGTGGGTTCGATCCCGACCCCGACGATGCCTGTTGTGTATATTTAAATATCTCTATAATAAAATAAATTTAAGTTTACTATTTGGAGTCCGCGTCTCTCTCTCTCTCCCCGTGGTGATCGCGAGGCTTTTTCTGCGGCCCCTTCGGTCCATTTCCCTCCACATTTAGGATCAACATAACGCGTTTAGATTGTTACGGGTTTCTGTGTATCTCTATGGTTTAACATGTTTACACTATGTAACACGATTTTTGTTCCTGGGTAGTAAGTGTTATTTCATGATTGCTTATGCCTTAAAAGGTATAGAAAATTTCGATTTAAAGCTTTCGTGACTGCAGGGATTCATCTTCTTGGTTCTTTCGGTAAAGTCACGTAGAAGGGAAGTAATAAAATAATAAAAATAAAACATAATAAAATAATTTTAATTATTTTATTACTTCCCTTCTACGTGACTTTATAGAAAATTGCTATTATTCCCCTCAAACTTTGCTTTTGTGACCAGGACTTTGTGAAGGAATGACACATGCACACCACGTTTTCTCATTGAAAATATGTAAATTTGAAAATATCAATGTCCTGGTTACAAAAGCAACGTTTGTGGGGAATGATAGCCATTTTCTGTACTTTTGAGGCATAAGTAATTAGAAAATAACACTACCCAGGAAAAAAAATTGTGTTACACTTTTCTGGGTCTCTGTGGGTCTCCGTGAGTGTGAGTCGGTCTCTGTAAGTCAGGGGTCGGGAACCTTTTTGACTGGGAGAGCCATAAAGCCAAATATTTCTAAATATATTTCATTGAGAGCCATATAGTATTTTTACGTATAATAAATTAAATATGTCTTACTTTTAATGCGACTTCTGGTCACGGGACCCGTGACCCGTGAAATTTATCTTCAAAACTAATTTCTGTTCACTTTAAAATGACACACTATTATTAAGCGATATCACAAGTATTTTAAAATCAGTTCCAAACTGATTTTTTATTATGATAATTTTTTCAACTCAAAATTGTCTGGGAGCCATATGCCGTCACCGGAAGAGCCATATATGGCTCGCGAGCCATAGGTTCCCGACCGCTCCTATAAGTCAATGGTTCTATATGCATCTATGAATCTGTGTGGTTCTCTGGCCGACTCTGAGTATGGGTCTCTGTGGGTCTCTTTCGTTCTATAAGAGTCGGGCTGCTAAAGCACAGCAAGTTGGCACAGTAGAGGGCACAGGTGGTGCATCGGCCACTCATCTCAGTCGACCCGTGGCACCTGGGTCTGCCCCGTGACCTCCTGTCAGTGGGCGTTCGACACTTCACGTGGCCTCAACGTGCACCTAGCCTGGCACAAGCAACGTGGTGACGTCACCGCCACTGAGTGCCGAATGGCGGTTGTTGCTATATGAGTCTTTGGATCTCTGAGGCTTTGGTTATCTCTATATGAGTCACCGTAACTCTGGGTGTCTGGAAGTATAGACGAGTATGGGTCTCTGTGGGGCTCTAAGGTTAAATACGAGTTCTACTCGTCTTGTTCCCCATCTCCTCGTCTTGTCCCCCATCTCGTCTTGTTCGCCATCTCCTCGCCTTGTCCCCCACCATCTCGTCTTGTCCCCGCATCTCGTCGCTCCGACTGTGATGCCCTTTGTAAGCAACGGCGGTGAAACAATTCACTCAAGACGAGAGGTGAATTCACACCGGGGTTTACTCTCTCGCACCTCGTTCACTGTTGTCACAAGCGGCGAATGAAACATTCACAATGAGATTCACTCTCTCGCACCGCGTTCACTGTTGTCACAAGAGGCGAATTAAACACATTCCTCCTGCGGAGGGAGCTGGTAGGAACGTTGGGTTGCTCGGTCAATGGCCTGCAGGGTCAACGGCGGTGTGGTGTATTCCGCAAATATGGCCGACTGTGAGGGCGGGCACAAGCCGGCGTGAGTAGGTTGAACGTTGAGTTTTATAAGGGCACCACGGGGTGACCAGCCCCTCCCCACCCAGCCCCACCCCTCCCCACCCAGCCCCACCCACCCAGCCCCTCCCACCCAGCCCCTCCCCACCCACCCAGCCCCTCCCCACCCTCCCCACCCAGCCCCACCCCTCCCCACCCTCCCCACCCACCCAGCCCCTCCCCACCCACCCAGCCCTACCCCTCCCCACCCTCCCCACCCAGCCCCTCCCCACCCTCCCCTCCCACCCAGCCCCTCCCCACCCTCCCCACCCACCCAGCCCCTCCCACCCACCCAGCTCCTCCCACCCACCCAGCCCCTCCCACCCAGCCCCTCCCCACCCACCCAGCCCCACCCCTCCCACCCAGCCCCTTCCCACCCTCCCCACCCAACCCCTCCCTGCACGACGGACGGACACAATAATCCCTGTGGGCTGGTGTAACCAGGAGGTTCCTACCAGAAACATTCACACCGAGATTCACTCTCTCGCACCGCGTTCACTGTTGTCACAAGAGGTGAATTCACATTCAGCGGTTAGTGCGCAGCGTTACGATCGCTCACGGCCAACACCGGTGATAGCTATTATCTGAACTGGATCTTTGGCCTCCCCTAGGTCGACTCAGCCTCAAATATGTAACTGGTTCTGTGCAGTAAACATCGCCACTGGGGGAGACAAAGGCGGTCGGGCGTGGTGCTGGCCACCCACCCCCTCGTGTGCCACAGTGCCGGTAGCCTTCATAGGTGCTGCTGCTACTCGCTGCTTACAGCACTTTCCCCCAAGTCTGTTACAGTATAAGAATAGGTGTTTAACCTTTCTGCCGATACAACAACAGTTGTGAAGATGTTAAAACATCAAACTGAAATCTTTTGCTGGGTTTCGTGTCTGCATTAGCCACATGTACTTGTTGGTGAACATGCAAACAAAACACGCTCTGGTAGTGTTTGCATGATCTTCCTTTCTTTAGAGAGCCTCGTCTCTGGTGTATACCAATTAGTTTCAAAGACAATGCAAATACCACCAGAGCATGTTGTTTTTGTTTGAATGTTCACCACAAGTATTGTGGTTAATGCAGACACGATTCCTTGCAAAAGGTTTCAGTTTGGTGTTTGAACATCTTAACACAGCTGTTTTATTGCCAGAAAGGGTCAACCCTATTTTTATATTTTGATGATACTGGTAAGAGATAAAAAGTGTCCCAGAAATAAAACATTTAATTGCCTCGGGCATTTTGTATTATTTGGTATCCCGGGGTACCGCCATAAGGATCATGTGCACATTTGGCACATGAGGGGGTAACAGCTGGTGCATCTACCAGTCATCTCAGTCAGCCAACCCATGGCACAGGCTGAGTCTGTCCCGAGACCTCGTGTCGGCGAGCCTTCGACACTTCACGTGGCCTCAAAGTGCACCTGGCCTGGCACAGGCGCCGTTGTGACGTCACCGTCACTTAGTGGCGAATGGCATTCAGTCGGGTGTCTGAGTCTCTACTTATTGTTTTCTCTCAGATGGAGTCACGCCTCGAGTTGCCGTTCATCAAACAAGAAAACGATGAAAGTCCAATCGTCGGGATGTGGTCTGACTTGACGGTGAAACGTGAACATTCAGATGCCGGTGAGACACTCTATTAACCTTTCTCCCGTTCAACAATGACGTCTGGCAAGTCGAAGGGTGGTGTGCTGGTGGGGTGTCCTGTTCACCGCCGAATTTCGCAACGCGCGTGAGCGGCTCGGCATTAATTTTATCTCGAAAGAGGCATAGCAGCAGCAGCAGTGCTGTTGTTTTTATAAAGACGTCGTTACTCACCGCACAGAACCCTCGCGACACGACCACCACGCTACTCTACAGTAGCTGGCTGTTGCACCTCCGATTTGCGTGGTTGGCTACGTATGGTGCGAAATAAGTTCACCATACACAGACACCAACATACACTCATACCTATAGCGACTCACAGAGACACCCATAGAGACCTTACAGAGACCCACAGATTAGCACGGTTGGCTACGTATGGTGCGAAATAAGTTCAGCGTACATGGCACCAAAACCGTGCCACATGCCCTCCCGCATGGCCTTGTGCGAGGCTCGGGGCACCGTCTTTTCCGGCCTGAAGAACGGTGACCGTCTTCGTTTGACGGCGAACCAAAAGCCGCGTCCGTCTGCGTTGAGGGTTGTTTGTCTCCTTAGCTTTAATGTTGCCGGGACTCTGTTGTAATGCGCCCTGAGGCCTTGTTGTAAAATGGCGCTATATATATACAGGGTGCTTCAAATATATATTTTAACACTTCTATGGGACTATCGTTTTTAATGGAAAAAGAACGGATAATAACACACTGCAACATGATAACAAATGTAACGTTAATAGCTTCAAAAAGTCAAAATAGTCTCCACTTGTTCACCATCATTGTCAACGCGTTGCCTGGAATCTTCTCCAGGTGGTCTCCAGAGCCCGGAGGCAGCACATTTCTTGTGGTATTGTTGCAAATTCTCAGAAGTGTTGAACATTGAAGCACCCTGCATACAACAGAAGTTTTACTTTCACTCACTCTTAATAGCCGAGTGACCGCACGGCACGTGTGTGCAGGGGAGGTCGTGACGCGAGAAGATGCGGGGAGTCCGGCCACTGAGACATTGAGGATTGTGGTGAAAACGGAAGTGGAGGAAGATGGTAAGAACTCCCCCCCACTTCCTAAGGTGCAAGGCAGAGCTGAAATCTTATCTCATATTTATATAGTGCCTGAAATCCAAGGCGCTTTACAAGAGCTATAAATGGTACAATCAGTTAGCTACAAGTGACATCGTGGCATGCGAGAGGAGGAGGGGAAAGAGGGGAGGGGGATGGGGATGGGGGTATGGGGAGGGAGGTACAGTGGGAACGGGAATTACGGTGGGTGACCTAGGGATGGGGCCAGGGAGAAGAGGTGTGAGGTCTTGAGGGAGGAGCCAAACGACGACGACAACGACGAGATATCAAGAATGATACGATCCTTCGGTAGAAACATCTCCCGCCAGCCGGTTTGACCGCCTTCCATCGTTGGGCAGATTGTTTGGCGATGCTGCGTTGGGCAGTGGTGCACAAGCACACACCAACAACGGCGTAAAGCAAGAAACCATCGGTAAACACGCACTACCCCGGAAGGAAAACTACAGAATGGGCAATATTTGGGGCAATGGCCTTCCTTCGTACGTACATGCGTCGTGTAAAGTATTGTATATTGTAGTGTACAGTAGCGTATTGTGTAGCATAGTGTATAGTGTAGTGTGTACTATAGTGTAGTGTTTAGTCTAGTGTGTAGTGTACAATTGTGTGTAGTGTGCAGCATATTGTATAGTGTCGTGTATAGTGTAGTGTGCAGCATAGTGTGTAGTATATTTTAGTTATAGTCTAGTGTGTAGTGTAGTGTATAGCGTAGTGTGTATTGTAGTGTATAGTGTAGTATGTCGTGTATAGTATAGTGTATCGTAGAGCACAGTAGTGTATAGTGTAGTGTATGTATGTTGAACATCTTTCGCACCATACGTAGCAACTGTGCTAATCAGAGGTGCGGGGGATTGACAACAAACTAAACACAAAAAATCAGTTCTAAAGAAATTAGTTCTCCATTTAGTATAGTGGTGTAGTGTATCATAGTGTAGTGTATAGTCTAGTATGTAGTGTATAGTGTAGTGTATGTATGTTGAACTTTTTTCGCACCGTACGTAACCGACCGTGCTAATTGGAGGTGCGGGGAAAGGACAACAAACTGAACACAACAACGAGCAGTTCTACATTGCACATTAATGTCGGCAGTGATTGTTGCGTCATTGCTGACGGATGTGAGTGGTGTTTTTTGCGTGGGGTTTTGCCCGTTTATCGGATGCATTTGACCTCGTTAATCAAAAGGCAACGGTGCATGTTTTTCAATCGCAGCTCCAGACGTGAAGATTGTTAAAGTCGAAGGATGCGGTGCGAGTCCAGAGGAGACGGCTGATTCCCTCGAAGAACGTTCGGCCGCTTCACACCGGGGCTTCATCGAATTGGAGTTGTCGGAGGGGGGCGTTGGTGAAGAGGGTGAGTCCCCCTCTAAGGGAGTGCCCAATTTCAAATTTCGTAAAAGGGAAAAAAGCGTACATGGAGGAATTCGTACAACGAGAAATGCCTGTGTCTTGCTTATTGGGACGCAGAGGTGGCTAGGAGATGTAAAATACCTCGCCTGGTATGCAACTCTCACTGTTATACTGTACCAGGGTCTACCGACACTGCAACATTGTACTGAGTTCGACTGACACTAACGCTGTCCCGGGGTCCACCGTCACTAACAGTAGCACTGTAATGACACGAACATTATCGGCATCGCATGACACTCTTATAAACACTGTAACTGTTGCAGCGTCTTCCTCATTGTCATCTGGCCCTGTTACTTTGCACTGGGATCTCCTCCCACCGTTTTAACGTAACAGACTTTCCATGCGCGAAAGACACATTATAAGCGGTACGGTTTTTGTTCTTGTTTTTATCGCCGTTCCAGGTGTGAAGATTGTTCAAGTTGGTGAGAGGCCAGAAGAGACGGCAGATTATTCCCTCGAAGGATGTTCGGCCAATTCAGACCGGAACTTCATCGAGGTGGAGTTGTCAGAGGAGGACATCGGTCAAGGCGAGTTACCGCTTTGATCACGGATTAAATAAAAAAAAACGTAATCAATTATTGTTGTATCACCAATTATAGTTCAGCAGTGCTGCAATACACCTCACAGTAATAAAGTCGACAACTACAGGGACTCATCTACTTACGAACATTCGATTTTCAGAGATTTACGAACAAACCTGGCCATTAAATTTCGATTTAAAGCTTTCGTGACTGCAGGGATTCATCTTCTTGGTTCTTTCGGTAAAGTCACGTAGAAGGGAAATAATAAAGTTTAGCTGGAGGCATATTATATTTTTTGCGACATAGAATTGTAATGTATGACTTACTGTTAGTAGCTCAGCTTATTGGAGAGTATAATTAGTATATTGATGATACTGATGTAGTTTATATTTTAGTTTTTTACGTGGTGGTTTAGCTGCTGCAGCTCCCTACTATTAACATTCCTTCCCTTTATTAATGCTAACCCTACTCCCTCCCTTTGATGCTGCTAATCCTGCATAATGCACGGGCATAATATGACTTTGAAACCCCCCGCCCACCTCCTACACATTCCACAAGTAGTGACTAATCCCATATCTGCATTTCCCATAAATATGCTAAATGCCTCTTGATATGCAAATTCCTTTGTCAAGGCACTCTTCCCCCTCCAACCCAGCTTAAATATACGCTGCCAAGCCTGGTGGTGTTCATTCCGACGCTGTCTTTCCGACAGACCTGTTCTTCACCTGAGGACGGCTGCTTGCGTTGTGGCCAAAACGTCGGGAGAATTATTTTATTATGTTTTATTTTTATTATTTTATTATTTCCCTTCTACGTGACTTTACCGAAAGAACCAAGAAGATGAAAACCTGGCCATATGTCCAGTTGCCTGTTCGGATCGAGAGTCGTAAGTTCAACCGCCGCGCAATAGATGGCGGTGATGGCATCTATATCTGAAGAACACGAAGAACCAGTGGCATCTACGTCTACAGGAGATTATACAATTTTTAAAGCAATTCCGCATGTTTAATGTACATGCCATACAACGAGTTTATAGTTTAACACGTATGCTTTCGCGACCAATATTATTCATAATAAACGTTTTTGGGTTAGATGCTGGATGCAATTACCAGCGAAACGTCATACTCAAAAATTGTAAATGTTGTGGTTTCACTCTTCAACACACCGGTGGTCTAAAGTAGTGAACTATTTGTCTTTTGTCAACGTGACACTTTTTTTTGCCGATTGGCCTTGTCGGGTGGTGGAGGGTTACGACACATTTATAAATAACGCGATCTAACCCAAAAACGTTTATTATGAACATGTTTATAATCAACAGGAGTAAATTTGGGCTTACGAACAATTGGACTTATGAACAGACCTCTGGAAACGAACTCATTCGCAAGTAGAGGAGTCCCTGTTTACAACATTTTTTTGATTTACCAGGCATGAGGCCCTACACTGAGTTATGTAACTTCTTTTTCAGAAGGGACCTGGCCATCGCAAATGATAGCTCAACGAAGTGGTGGCTTATCATCGTTGTCGTGGTCGTGTGGAAATTCATAGCGGTAACCGGCGAAGGTGGGCGAGTCCCACTTGTGATCACGTCGCAGAGAAATGTCGGACGTATTTATTCATTCATTCGTTCATTACAATCGCCAAATCGCATCCCGTTTTTACTGCATTCACGGGCACGAGGAGAAGGGAGCGCCGTCGGTATTATTTGGGTGTCTGTGGGGCACAGCAGGCGCAAACAAAGGGGTTCGGAGTGCTGTAGAGTTAAAAAAAACGAAAACATCTCTCGTTGTTTTTGGTTTCCTTTCTAAACCCTTTCCCATCACGGTGACGCACATACGTACGTCATCAGTTTTTTTCCCGGTTGGCGTACGTGTGCATGTGTACGTCATCGGAACTAAACCAAAGTAACTTTATTGGTAGACCCAGGCTCCCACCAGAAGGCCACGCAGGAGGGCATGTGGCAAAGTTTTGGCACAAGCTATCGTAGAGTGGCGTCGGTCGTGTCGCTACGGTTCTCTGCGGTGAGCAACAACGTCTTTGCAAAAACAACAGAGCTACTGCTGCTTCTACGCCTCTCTCTAAATAAAATTTATGCTGAGCTGCTCCGCGCGCGTTCCGAGATTCGGCGGTGAAAGGGACACCCGCCCGCACACCACCCTGCGACCTGCCAGACGTCCGACGCTCACACTTTTGCTCTACTTCTTCTTCCTTGCGTTAGACGACGGAACGGATGAACCAAACGAAACGGAGGCCCTGTGCGAGGAGTGCGGCGGCAAGGGCGGACGCCCCGGCATGGACACGGAGCGAGCAGCGTGGGTCGCTGGGCAAATCCCACGAGCAGCCTGCGGGCGATGCGGGAAGGCGCTCGGGGTCGCCCCGTCGCGCCCAGAGGTCTCCTCGACGTTCGGCAAGAACCACAAGTGCAAGGAGTGCGGGAGGGGCTTCACGTCGCGCTCCAGTTTGGAGACGCACCTGAGAATACACACGGGCGAGAAGCCGTTCGTGTGCAAAGACTGCGGGAAGGGCTTCACGCGGTGGTTCACTTTGAAGATCCACTGCAGGAAGCACACGGGCGAGAAGCCGCACGTGTGCGAAGTCTGTCGCAAGGGGTTCACGACGCCTTACCTGTTGCACGCGCACTCCATGTCGCACACGGGCGAGTGGACTCACGTGTGCAAGAAGTGCGGCAAGGGGTTTGCGTACAGCTACAAATTGAAGGCGCACGCGAATACGCACGCCAAGGGGAAGCGGCACGTGTGCGGGGAGTGCGGGGACAGCTTCGCGCGTCACCCCGACTTAGAGAGGCACGCGAAGATGCACGCCGGCGAGAAGGGGCACGCCTGCGCCGAGTGCGGGAAGAGCTTCGAGCTGCGTTCTGCTCTGGACGCGCACGCGAGGACGCACGCGGGCCAGGAGTGCGTGGCGGCGTTCGCGACGCGCCCCCTACTGGACGCGCACACGAGGACGCGCGCGGGCGGGGAGCCGGGCAGGAAGCCGCACGCGTGCGAGGAGTGCGGGAAGTCGTTCGCGGAGCGCTCCACCCTGGAGGCCCACGCGAGGACGCACGCGGGTGAGCGCGCGCATGTGTGTCACGAGTGCGGGAAGGGGTTCGCGACGCGCTCCAGCCTGCGGACGCACGCTCGGATACACGCGGGCGAGACGCCGCACGTGTGCCACGAGTGCGGGAGGGGGTTCGTGCGCCGCGCCACCCTGGATGAGCACGCCGCGTGGGCGCACGCGGGCGAGCGGCCGCACGCGTGCGAGCATTGCGGGGAGGGGTTTGCGCGCCGCTCTCACCTGGAGGAGCATGTCGCGAGGGCGCACGCCGGCGGGAAGCCGCACGCGTGCGCCGAGTGCGGCAGGGCCTTCGTGCGGCGCTCCAACTTGGAAGAGCACCTGAGGGCTCACACGGGGAAGTGGCCGCACGCGTGCCCGCAGTGCGGGAGGGGCTTCGCGCATCTTTCCAATCTGGAGAAGCACGTGCTGAAGCACGCTGCGGAGTGAGCGTCTTGATGAGTCGCGGTGAAACTAAACGGGACTATTAAAAAAAAAATGTTAAGTTTAAAGGAGGACGTTGGTGAAGAAGGTGAGTCCCTCTCTGGAACGATCAATTCAAATTTTGTAAAAGAGTTCGTAGTTCGAGGAATGCCCGTCTTGCTTATTGGCGTGCCGCGGGAGCTAGGGGATGTTAATTCCCTCGCCTGGTATGCAAGACGGCGTGGGTTCGATCCCGACCCTGACGCCGTATATTTGGAGTGTCCATGTTCTCCCCTTGATCACAATCGCAGATGAAATGCAATTATTGTATTACAACAATCATATCCCAGTTGAATCAGAATCTTCACTTTCAACTAAACGTTCTTTTCATTTTACCAGGTAAGGCCCCACTGAGCCCTTATGTATTAGCGCTTTTTCAGAAGTGACCTGGCCATCACAAAGGATAAGCTCAACGACGTGGGCTTATCACCGTGTGAAAATGTATAACAGCAGCCAAATAAGTAAACTATTAATTATTTGAAAAATAAACTATTTTTATTTTACCAAGTGTAAGGCCCACTGAGCTGTGTAGCTCTTGTTTCAGAAGCCACCTGGCCACAAATGATAGCTCAACGGAGGTGTCTTATGACGTGGAAATTTAGAGCAGCCAAATACTCTCTAAATGCTTGACGTTGATTCAAAACGTGGAGAGGGAAAACACCGGAGTGACCCGGAGAAAAATCCACGCGACCACGGGGAGAAAGACACGCAAACTCCAAATATACAGCAGCATGCGTTGGGATCGGGATCGAACCCGCAACCTCCTGCATACCAGGCGAGGGAGTTAACAACTCACCACCGTAGCAGTTCAGTTCATTGAAAGTGGAGTGTAATGGGGGTCGTCTCCAGCCCGAATCATAATACAGTGATACCTCGGTTCACGAACTTAATTCGTGAACTGACTCTGGTCGCGAACCGAATTGGTCGTGAACCGAGGCACATTTCCCCACAGGGTTCAATCTAAATCCGGTTAATCCGTTCTGACCTTTTTTTTTGGTTTTTGAAGCACAAAAATATGAAACAAATTACAATACACATTAGTACTGTGCAGTATAGTAATGTATAAAGAGAGAACACTAACCTTGCTTGAGATGACTTCAGTAAGCACTCAAACGGGTGAACTGTACAATACAGTAAGTACAGTATTGTACAGTACAGTAGTACAGTACTGTATGTGCTAAAAAGCACACCAAAAAGCAAAAAGTCACTGAAAGTGTCTTCACAGTACTCACAGTACTTCTTTCTGTGTCTCTTCTTCTCTCCACGATCTTCCTACAGGAAGTCACGACCACGTGACAGCCTGGAAATAGCATTAAAATGGCCGCGGCTCCTGTTCGTGAACCGAAGCGGAGTTCGTGAACCGAAGCATATTTTTATGAACTTTTCTGTTCGTGAACCGAGTTGTTCGTGAACAGAAGCGTTCGTGAACCGAGGTATCACTGTATTGGTATCAGAATTTAAATGTACGTCGAACTTGTTTCGCACTGCACGTAGCCGACCGTGATAATCGGAGGTGCGGCAGAAGGACAACGAGCTGAACACAAAAAGCAGCTCTCAAATAAATGAGTTTGATCATTGGTTTTTTTACCCTTTTATCTGGCAACAAAACTGACACTTTTTTTACAAGGAGTCATGTTTGCATTGACCACAACACCTGCGGTCGGAATGCAAACAAAAAACACAACTCTAATAATGTATGCACTGTCCTTAGAGCCTAGTCTCACATGGTGTTGGACCAGATTACGCCAACACCATGTGAGACTAGGCTCTAAGAAAAGCTGTCTCGGGTGTGGACCAATCAACTTCAAGGACAGTGCATACATTATCAGAGTTGTGTTTTTTATTTGCATTCCAACCGCAGGTATTGTGGTCAATGCAAACATGACTCCTTGTAAAAAAAGGTGTCAGTTTTGTTGCCAGATAAAAGGGTAAAGAACCAATTATCATATTTTGCTACTGGCAAAGGAGGTTCCAATAGTATAAATGAATTTGTCAATCTTGATGATGATTTAAAAGTGCATAGCTTCTTAATATCAGAAGGAAGAGCGTTCCAGACGGCTGCAGAAGCGCATCTGAAAGCACCGCGCGATGCGGCTAACCCTATTTGTTCGATTGCCAGCCAAAATCTGCGACTGCGAGGATGACCGGAGTTCACGCGGTGATGGCTTATGCTACTTGACGAGATTCAGCGAGGTAGTGTGGTTAATGTATGGCAAGAACTTCGTGTGTGCGTGTAATGATTGCGACCTCATAGCAGTGATATGCATGTGTACATCGAAGTAATAAACTGTTTACAAGTAGCCGTCGTCGCGTGGCAATTTACATATCCACATTGGCCATACTCAATTCTGTTTTGTCACACGTAGCTGGAGGATAACTTCACTCCCCTTAGGGGCGTCCATAAATGACGTCACGCGATTTTGGACGATTTTTGACTGACCCCCCCCCCCCCTTCAAATATGACGTCACAAAGCTCTGCCTCCCCAAAAAAATGCTTCAAATCGTTTTAAACTATTGTCATTGTAGTGCGTATTTAATGTGGCGCTGCACTCTGATGTTGTAGGAGAAAACATTAAAAAGTATCGATTTAAAGCTTTCGTGACTGCAGGGATCCATCTTCTTGGTTCTTAAAATAAAAAATAATATAATATTTTATTTTATTATGTTTTATTTTTATTATTTTATTACTTCCCTTCTACGTGACTTTACCGAAAGAACCAAGAAGATTAAAAAGTATATTTAATTAAGTAGAACGTGTTTATATTTATTTAAAGTTGCACATTTTTATGTGACGTCACATTTCTAAAACCTACCCCCTCGTCACAAATGTCTGACCCCCCCCCCCCTAGGTGCGTGACGTCATTTATGGACGGCCTCTTAGAGCCGCAATGCACGGAAAGGCAACCATATATACATAAAAAAAAACATATTCTTGGTTCTTTCGGTAAAGTCACGTAGAAGGGAAATAATAAAATAATATAAATATCAAACAAGAAAAATATTAATTTTATTTTATTATTTCCCTTCTACGTGACTTTACCGAAAGAACCCAGAATATGAATCCCTGCAGTCACGAAAGCTTTAAATCAAAATAAAAAAAACATGTTTACCAGGTAAAGCCGACTGGCCCTCACAAATGAGAGCTTCAACAAAGTGCCAACTTCTCATCACCATCATCCTGTGGAAAGGTTTATCAGCGGCCAAATAACTCGAAACGCCGTGACGTTGACTCTAAATGTGGGGGGGGGGGGGGTGTGCAGAGACAAGAGAGACGCACAAACTCCAGATCTACAGCAGCAGGCATCAGGGTCTGGATCGAACCCACGAAACTCCTGTAGACCAGGCGAGGTAGTCAACATCTCCTAGCCACCGTGATGATGATGAGAGAGACACAAACTCCAAATATACAGCAGCAGGCATCAGGGTCTGGATCGAACCCACGAAACTCCTGTAGACCAGGCGAGGTAGTCAACATCTCCTAGCCACCGTGATGATGATGATGAGAGACGCAGACTCCAAATATACAGCAGCAGGCATCAGGGTTGGGATCGCACCCACGACCTCCTGCACACCAGGCGAGGTAGTTAACATCTCCCGTCTCGACGTTCGTCTTGTCCCGCATCTCGCCGTCTTGTCCCACGTCTTGTGCCGCATCTTGTGCCGCATCTCGTCGTCTTGTCCCGTGTCTGTCCGTCTTGTCCAGTCGTCTTGTGCCGCATCTCGTCGCTCTGCTGCTGCGTTGGAGCGTCCTCGCAGTTTGGTGGTGAAATTCACTGAAGACGCGAGGTGAATTCACACTCACATCACCATTCACTCTCTCTGTCTGTGTGTCTGTGTGTCTCTCTCTCTCTGTGTGTGTCTGTGTGTCTCTCTCTGTGTGTGTCTGTGTGTCTCTCTCTGTGTGTGTCTGTGTGTCTCTCTCTGTGTGTGTCTGTGTGTCTCTCTCTCTGTGTGTCTGTGTGTCTCTCTCTGTGTGTGTCTGTGTGTCTCTCTCTGTGTGTCTGTGTGTCTCTCTCTGTGTGTGTCTGTGTGTCTCTCTCTGTGTGTGTCTGTGTGTCTCTCTCTCTCTGTGTGTGTCTGTGTGTCTCTCTCTCTCTGTGTGTCTGTGTGTCTCTCTCTGTGTGTGTCTGTGTGTGTCTCTCTCTCTCTGTGTGTCTCTCTCTCTCTCTGTGTGTCTGTGTGTGTCTCTCTCTCTGTGTGTGTCTGTGTGTCTCTCTGTGTGTCTGTGTGTCTCTCTGTGTGTCTCTCTCTCTGTGTGTCTCTCTCTCTGTGTGTCTGTGTGTCTCTCTCTCTCTCTGTGTGTCTCTTGCACCGTGTTCACTGTTGTTACAAGAGACGAATTCAAATTCACACAGTGATTCACTCTCGTGCCGTGTTCACTGTTGCTACAAGAGGCGAATTCACATTCGCACAGTGATTCACTCTCGTGCCGTGTTCACTGTTGTTACAAGAGATGAATTCACATTCGCACAGTGATTCACTCTCGTGCCGTGTTCACTGCTGTTACAAGAGGTTAATTCACATTCGCACAGTGATTCACTCTCGTGCCATGTTCACTGTTGTTACAAGAGATGAATTCACATTCGCACAGTGATTCACTCTCGTGCCGTATTCACTGTTGTTACAAGAGGCGGATTCACATTCACACAGTGATTCACTCTCGTGCCGTGTTCACTGTTGCTACAAGAGGCGAATTCACATTCGCACAGTGATTCACTCTCGTGCCGTGTTCACTGTTGTTACAAGAGATGAATTCACATTCGCACAGTGATTCACTCTCGTGCCGTGTTCACTGCTGTTACAAGAGGTTAATTCACATTCGCACAGTGATTCACTCTCGTGCCATGTTCACTGTTGTTACAAGAGATGAATTCACATTCGCACAGTGATTCACTCTCGTGCCGTATTCACTGTTGTTACAAGAGGCGGATTCACATTCACACAGTGATTCACTCTCGTGCCGTGTTCACTGTTGCTACAAGAGGCGAATTCACATTCGTACAGTGATTCACTCTAGTGCCGTATTCACTGTTGCTACAAGATGTTAATTCACATTCGCACAGTGATTCACTCTCGTGCCGTGTTCACTGTTAGCTACAAGAGGCGAATTCACATTCACACAGTGATTCACTCTCGTGCCGTGTTCACTGTTGTTATAAGAGGTGAATTCACATTCACACAGTGATTCACTGTCGTACCGTGTTCACTGTTGCTACAATAGGTGAATTCACATTCGCACAGTGATTCACTCTCGTACCATGTTCACTGTTGTTACAAGAGGCGAATTCACATTCACACAGTGATTCACTCTCGTGCCGTGTTCACTGTTGTTACAAGAGATGAATTCACATTCGCACAGTGATTCACTCTCGTGCCGTGTTCACTGTTGTTACAAGAGGCAAATTCACATTCACACAGTGATTCACTCTCGTGCCGTGTTCACTGCTGTTACAAGAGGTTAATTCACATTCGCACAGTGATTCACTCTCGTGCCGTGTTCACTGTTGCTACAAGAGATTAATTCACATTCGCACAGTGATTCACTCTCGCACCGTGTTCACTGTTGTTACAAGAGGTGGATTCACATTCGCACAGTGATTCACTCTCGTACCGTGTTCACTGTTGCTACGAGAGGTGAATTCACATTCGCACAGTGATTCACTCTCGTGCCGTATTCACTGTTGCTACGAGAGGTGAATTCACATTCACACAGTGATTCACTCTTGTACCGTGTTCACTGTTGCTACGAGAGGTGAATTCACATTCGCACAGTGATTCACTCTCGTACCATGTTCACTGTTGTTACAAGAGGCGAATTCACATTCACACAGTGATTCACTCTCGTGCCGTGTTCACTGTTGTTACAAGAGATGAATTCACATTCGCACAGTGATTCACTCTCGTGCCGTGTTCACTGTTGTTACAAGAGGCAAATTCACATTCACACAGTGATTCACTCTCGTGCCGTGTTCACTGCTGTTACAAGAGGTTAATTCACATTCGCACAGTGATTCACTCTCGTGCCGTGTTCACTGTTGCTACAAGAGATTAATTCACATTCGCACAGTGATTCACTCTCGCACCGTGTTCACTGTTGTTACAAGAGGTGGATTCACATTCGCACAGTGATTCACTCTCGTACCGTGTTCACTGTTGCTACGAGAGGTGAATTCACATTCGCACAGTGATTCACTCTCGTGCCGTATTCACTGTTGCTACGAGAGGTGAATTCACATTCACACAGTGATTCACTCTTGTACCGTGTTCACTGTTGCTACGAGAGGTAAATTCACATTCGCACAGTGATTCACTCTCGCACCGTGTTCACTGTTGCTATGAGAGGTGAATTCACATTCACACAGTGATTCACTCTTGTACCGTGGTCACTGTTGCTACAATAGGTTAATTCACATTCGCACAGTGATTCACTCTCGTGCCGTGTTCACTGTTGTTACAGGAGGCGGATTCACATTCGCACAGTGATTCACTCTCGTGCCGTGTTCACTGTTGCTACAAGAGGTTAATTCACATTCGCACAGTGATTCACTCTCGTACCGTGTTCACTGTTGTTACAAGAGGCGGATTCACATTCGCACAGTGATTCACTCTCGCACCGTGTTCACTGTTGTCACAAGAGGTTAATTCACATTCACACAGTGATTCACTCTCGTGCCGTGTTCACTGTTGCTACAAGAGGTTAATTCACATTCGCACAGTGATTCACTCTCGTGCCATGTTCACTGTTGTTACAAGAGGCGAATTCACATTCGCACAGTGATTCACTGTCGCACCGTGTTCACTGTTGTTACAAGAGGTTAATTCACATTCGCACAGTGATTCACTCTCGTACCGTGTTCACTGTTGTTACAAGAGGCGAATTCACATTCACAGTGATTCACTCTTGTGCCGTGTTCACTGTTGTTACAAGAAGCGAATTCACATTCACACATTGATTCACTCTCGTGCCGTGTTCACTGTTGCTACAAGAGTTGAATTCACATTCGCACAGTGATTCACTCTCGCACCGTGTTCACTGTAGCTACAAGAGTTTAATTCACATTCACACATTGATTCACTCTCGTGCCGTGTTCACTGTTGTTACAAGAGGCGAATTCACATTCACACAGTGATTCACTCTCGTGCCGTGTTCACTGTTGTTACAAGAGGCGAATTCACATTCACACAGTGATTCACTCTCGTGCCGTGTTCACTGTTGTTACAAGAGGTGGATTCACATTCGCACAGTGATTCACTCTCGTGCCGTGTTCACTGTTGTTCCAGGATGTGAATTCACATTCACACAGTGATTCACTCTCGTACCATGTTCACTGTTGCTACAAGAGGTTAATTCACATTCACACAGTGATTCACTCTCGTGCCGTGTTCACTGTTGTTACAAGAGGCGAATTCACATTCACACAGTGATTCACTCTCGTACGATGTTCACTGTTGCTACAAGAGGCTAATTCACATTTGCACAGTGATTCACTCTCGTGCCGTGTTCACTGTTGCTACAAGAGGCGAATTCACATTCGCACAGTGATTCACTCTCGTACCGTGTTCACAGTTGTTACAAGAGGTTAATTCACATTCGCACAGTGATTCACTCTCGTACCGTGTTCACAGTTGTTACAAGAGGTTAATTCACATTTGCACAGTGATTCACTCTCGTGCCGTGTTCACTGATGCTACAAGAGGTTAATTCACATTCGCACAGTGATTCACTCTCGTGCCATGTTCACTGTTGCTGCAAGAGGTTAATTCACATTCGCACAGTGATTCACTCTCGTGCCGTGTTCACTGTTGTTACGAGAGGCGAATGCACATTCACACAGTGATTCACTCTCGTGCCGTGTTCACTGTTGTTACAAGAGGCGAATTCACATTCACACAGTGATTCACTCTCGTGCCGTGTTCAATACAAAGACAAAGATCCCCCGTGTAGCCTGTAACAGAATGTTGGGCCAAGTGCTGTTAGCGAGCAGCACCTACGAAGGCCGGAATAGCGCACGAGGGGGTGGGTGGCCAGCACCACACCCGGCCGCCTTTGTCTCCCCAGTGGCGATGTTTAATACACACCGCACCAGGCACTCGTTTGAGGCTGAGCCGACCTAGGGGAGGCTCGGGACACGTTCAAATAATTGTTACCGGTGTTGGCCGTGAGCGGGAATCAAACTCGGATTGCCGGGCTCATAGCGCAACGCGCTAACCGCTACACCACCGCTCCCTGACAATACAACAACAACAGCCATTCACCACTAAGTGGCGGTGACGTGACACAACGACGCTTGTGCCAGGCTAGGTGCACGTTTAGGCTGCCACGTGAAGTGTCGAACGCCCGCCGGCAGGAGGTCAAGGGGCAGACCCAGCAGGTACCATGGGTCGACTGACTGAGATGACTGGCCGATGCACCACCTGTGCCCCCTACTGTGTCTGACACATACGCTTTAGATGCGTTACTGGCAGAACGCGCGTATCTCATAATCGCGTATGTCAAAGGCAATTTTCCCATCAGAAATAATGATAAAGGAGGGGGTTAGGGGATTCCACTCACACTCGCAGAAATAATCGCCTCTGTTATCCTCTTATATCAATACAATATATGTACACACAATATAATCCTTCAGCATTTTTAATAAATCATGTAAACTCTACTATACTTCCTGTAAAATACAGATAAAGAAATGTAGTATTACTTGATTGTAACCCACGCCGCACTGGCTGCTGGCAACGCCGTTGGGGTCGCGGTGCCAGGCGAGGGTGGTGGACGTCGCGCTGCGGCTGACGTCGTTCCGAAAACTTCCTCGCGCGTGTCAATAAAAGGGTCTAAATACAAAGCGCGCCTTATTCCAAAGTGCCTGAACAACACCCCCCACATCATCATCATCGTCATGCTTCTGTCAAACCCCCCAACAGTTTCAAATCATGTGTGGCGACACCCTGACTCACGCACCGCAGATGAGGATGCAGTCTTCTTATCGGAAACGGTGGCACACCACCACCACCTCCTCCTCTGAACAACTAGCGACGGACACCGCTCTCGATGTCCGTTGCCCCTCAGATGAATCCTCACCCCGACGTGGCGTTCATCAAGCAAGAACACGACGACAGCGCGTGTCCTGGGACGTGGCCCGACTTGACGGTAAAGCGCGAAGACTTCGTCGATGCTGCCGGTGAGATGGACGGAGCCGCCCCTGTGTGTCTCTGAACCCCGTCCCCAGTGAGATGGACGGAGCCGCCCCTGTGTGTCTCTGAACCCCGTCCCCAGTGAGATGGACGGGGCCGCCCCTGTGTGTCTCTGAACCCCGTCCCCAGTGAGATGAACAGAGCCGCCCCTGTGTGTCTCTGAACCCCGTCCCCAGTGAGATGGACGGAGCCGCCCCTGTGTGTCTCTGAACCCCGTCCCCAGTGAGATGGACAGAGCCGCCCCTGTGTGTCTCTGAACCCCGTCCCCAGTGAGATGGACGGAGCCGCCCCTGTGTGTCTCTGAACCCCGTCCCCAGTGAGATGGACAGAGCCGCCCCTGTGTGTCTCTGAACCCTGTCCCCGGTGAGATGGACGGAGCCGCCCCTGTGTGTCTCTGAACCCCGTCCCCGGTGAGATGGACGGAGCCGCCCCTGTGTGTCTCTGAACCCCGTCCCCAGTGAGATGGACGGAGCCGCCCCTGTGTGTCTCTGAACCCCGTCCCCAGTGAGATGGACGGAGCCGCCCCTGTGTGTCTCTGAACCCCGTCCCCAGTGAGATGGACGGGGCCGCCCCTGTGTGTCTCTGAACCCCGTCCCCAGTGAGATGAACAGAGCCGCCCCTGTGTGTCTCTGAACCCCGTCCCCAGTGAGATGGACGGAGCCGCCCCTGTGTGTCTCTGAACCCCGTCCCCAGTGAGATGGACAGAGCCGCCCCTGTGTGTCTCTGAACCCCGTCCCCAGTGAGATGGACGGAGCCGCCCCTGTGTGTCTCTGAACCCCGTCCCCAGTGAAATGGACAGAGCCGCCCCTGTGTGTCTCTGAACCCTGTCCCCGGTGAGATGGACGGAGCCGCCCCTGTGTGTCTCTGAACCCCGTCCCCGGTGAGATGGACGGAGCCGCCCCTGTGTGTCTCTGAACCCCGTCCCCAGTGAGATGGACGGAGCCGCCCCTGTGTGTCTCTGAACCCCGTCCCCAGTGAGATGGACGAAGCCGCCCCTGTGTGTCTCTGAACCCCGTCCCCAGTGAGATGGACAGAGCCGCCCCTGTGTGTCTCTGAACCCCGTCCCCAGTGAGATGGACGGAGCCGCCCCTGTGTGTCTCTGAACCCCGTCCCCAGTGAGATGGACGGAGCCGCCCCTGTGTGTCTCTGAACCCCGTCCCCAGTGAGATGGACAGAGCCGCCCCTGTGTGTCTCTGAACCCCGTCCCCAGTGAGATGGATGGAGCCGCCCCTGTGTGTCTCTGAACCCCGTCCCCAGTGAGATGGACGGGGCCGCCCCTGTGTGTCTCTGAACCCCGTCCCCAGTGAGATGGACGGAGCCGCCCCTGTGTGTCTCTGAACCCCGTCCCCAGTGAGATGGACGGAGCCGCCCCTGTGTGTCTCTGAACCCCGTCCCCAGTGAGATGGACGGAGCCGCCCCTGTGTGTCTCTGAACCCCGTCCCCAGTGAGATGGACGGAGCCGCCCCTGTGTGTCTCTGAACCCCGTCCCCAGTGAGATGGACGGAGCCGCCCCTGTGTGTCTCTGAACCCCGTCCCCAGTGAGATGGACAGAGCCGCCCCTGTGTGTCTCTGAACCCTGTCCCCGGTGAGATGGACGGAGCCGCCCCTGTGTGTCTCTGAACCCCGTCCCCGGTGAGATGGACGGAGCCGCCCCTGTGTGTCTCTGAACCCCGTCCCCAGTGAGATGGACGGAGCCGCCCCTGTGTGTCTCTGAACCCCGTCCCCAGTGAGATGGACGGAGCCGCCCCTGTGTGTCTCTGAACCCCGTCCCCAGTGAGATGGACGGGGCCGCCCCTGTGTGTCTCTGAACCCCGTCCCCAGTGAGATGAACAGAGCCGCCCCTGTGTGTCTCTGAACCCCGTCCCCAGTGAGATGGACGGAGCCGCCCCTGTGTGTCTCTGAACCCCGTCCCCAGTGAGATGGACAGAGCCGCCCCTGTGTGTCTCTGAACCCCGTCCCCAGTGAGATGGACGGAGCCGCCCCTGTGTGTCTCTGAACCCCGTCCCCAGTGAAATGGACAGAGCCGCCCCTGTGTGTCTCTGAACCCTGTCCCCGGTGAGATGGACGGAGCCGCCCCTGTGTGTCTCTGAACCCCGTCCCCGGTGAGATGGACGGAGCCGCCCCTGTGTGTCTCTGAACCCCGTCCCCAGTGAGATGGACGGAGCCGCCCCTGTGTGTCTCTGAACCCCGTCCCCAGTGAGATGGACGAAGCCGCCCCTGTGTGTCTCTGAACCCCGTCCCCAGTGAGATGGACAGAGCCGCCCCTGTGTGTCTCTGAACCCCGTCCCCAGTGAGATGGACGGAGCCGCCCCTGTGTGTCTCTGAACCCCGTCCCCAGTGAGATGGACGGAGCCGCCCCTGTGTGTCTCTGAACCCCGTCCCCAGTGAGATGGACAGAGCCGCCCCTGTGTGTCTCTGAACCCCGTCCCCAGTGAGATGGATGGAGCCGCCCCTGTGTGTCTCTGAACCCCGTCCCCAGTGAGATGGACGGGGCCGCCCCTGTGTGTCTCTGAACCCCGTCCCCAGTGAGATGGACGGAGCCGCCCCTGTGTGTCTCTGAACCCCGTCCCCAGTGAGATGGACGGAGCCGCCCCTGTGTGTCTCTGAACCCCGTCCCCAGTGAGATGGACGGAGCCGCCCCTGTGTGTCTCTGAACCCCGTCCCCAGTGAGATGGACGGAGCCGCCCCTGTGTGTCTCTGAACCCCGTCCCCAGTGAGATGAACAGAGCCGCCCCTGTGTGTCTCTGAACCCCGTCCCCAGTGAGATGGACGGAGCCGCCCCTGTGTGTCTCTGAACCCCGTCCCCGGTGAGATGGACAGAGCCGCCCCTGTGTGTCTCTGAACCCCGTCCCCGGTGAGATGGACAGAGCCGCCCCTGTGTGTCTCTGAACCCCGTCCCCAGTGAGATGGACAGAGCCGCCCCTGTGTGTCTCTGAACCCCGTCCCCGGTGAGATGGACAGAGCCGCCCCTGTGTGTCTCTGAACCCCGTCCCCAGTGAGATGGACGGAGCCGCCCCTGTGTGTCTCTGAACCCCGTCCCCAGTGAGATGGACAGAGCCGCCCCTGTGTGTCTCTGAACCCCGTCCCCAGTGAGATGGACGGGGCCGCCCCTGTGTGTCTCTGAACCCCGTCCCCAGTGAGATGGATGGAGCCGCCTTCTGTGCGTCCCTGAGAGTTGGTTAAGTAATCTACGTCACCTTGCGTCGCGTGCGATAAATACACGAACCCTTGTCTTGGCTTTCACGAAAACCTCACTGCAGTCTCAATGTTCGTACGTGTTTGCACGTTGATCTTCTGTCGTACCACCGTACGTAGCCGACCACACTAATCGAAGGTGCGGGGGGAAGGACAACAAACTAAAGCGGTTCTAAAGATTAGTTTTCAATGGAGATTTTTTTTTCATTTCCCAAATCACAGTTCAGGATGTTAAGATCGTCAAAGCTGAGGGACCCACTGTGATGATGCCAGAGGAGACGGGGAGCCCCCACGGAGGATGCCCGGCCACTGCAGATCGGAACTTCATCGAGGTGGAGTTGCTGGAGGAAGATGTTGGTCAAGGTGAGTTCCACTTGGGTTTCAGAGAAAAATGCAATGTTTTCCTGCTGAATCATTAATCAGCATCATGCTACGGTGAATTAGGTGGACGTTGAGAGTGAGGTGATAGAACAATTTGTGTTCTGGAGGTTCTGACGTATTGAGACGGGTGATATGATATTTTAATGGAAAAAGCAGCAGCAAATTAGTAAACTATTAATTATTTGAAAAAGCAGAAACTATTTTTATTTTAGCAAGTGTAAGGCCCACTGAGCTGTGTAGCTCTTGTTTCAGAAGCTACCTGGCCACAAATGATAGCTCAACGGAGGTGGCTTATAACGTGGAAATTTATAGCAGCCAAATGCTCTCTAAATGCTTGACGTTGATTCTAAATGAGGGAAAAACCGCAGGACCCGGAGAAAAATCCACGCGACCACGAGGAGAGAGAGACACGCAAACTCCAAATATACAGCAGGCGTCAGGGTCAGGATTGAACCCACGGCTTTCTATATACCAGGTGAGGTAGTTAACATCTCCTAGGCCACCGTGCCACCCTTTTTCTATCCCACAAGCTGAAGAAGACCACCTCCTTCGTTTAGTTGACAAACCCTGCCCTAGTGCATTAACTGAAGATGCAGCCCAAAAACAGACGGCTCTCGTCTAGTTAGATACCCAATGGAGGCTCCGTCTCTGCGCTGTCTGTTGCATGGTCGATTTTGTGCCTGCTAATCAAGCCTTCGTAGTGACATCCACCAGTACCGCCATCGTGCTCCCAGTGATATCACCGCAGTGATGTTGATTTTAAAAATACCTGAGTTGTGCCACACACACCACGGACTGTTTTGCCGCGTCACGCTTTTGCATTATTACAATTTTTTTCGTGTGCAGCAGATGAAGGAAGTTCAACCGGACTACTTTGCAGAGCGTGCCAGACGGATCGTGGCCGACGGTTAAGAAGGAAGCTGGATGAGGCACAAGGCATCGGCCAGGTCCTGCGAGGCTGCGTGCGGTGCGGGAACAAGCTCGGAGGCTCTGCGCCACGCACGAACAGGAGGAAACAGAGCGGAGAGAGGCCGCGCCCGAGTGTGCCACGCGGGAAGGATTCCGCATTGGCGGAGGAGTCAAGAGGGCTCGAAGCGACGGACGCTGTTGGCGATAAGCCGCACGTCTGCAAGGAATGCGGGAAGGGGTTTTCAAAACATTCCGCTTTAAACATGCACTCCAGAACGCACGCCAGCAAGAATCTGCACGTGTGCACAGAATGCGGGAAGAGGTTTTCAAAGAGTTCCAGTTTAGAGACTCACTCGAGAACGCACACGGGCGAGAAGCCGCACACGTGCAAGGAGTGCGGCAAGGGGTTTTCAAAGCGTTCCAATTTAGAGACGCATTCGAGGACGCACACGGGCGAGAAGCCGCACACGTGCCAAGAGTGCGGGAAGGGGTTTTCAAAGCGTTCCAATTTAGAGGCGCACTCTCGGACGCACACCGGTGATAAGCCATACGTTTGCAAGGAGTGCGGGAAGAGGTACATACAGCGTTCCAGTTTGGAGATGCATTCGAGGACACACACCGGCGAGAAGCTCTACCTGTGCAAGGAGTGCGGGAAGAGGTTCCCGCAGCGCTCTCATTTGGAAATGCACTCCAGAACGCACACCGGCGAGAAGCCGTACGTGTGCAGGGAGTGCGGGAAGGCGTTTTCGCAACGTTGCGCCTTAAACACTCACTCCAGGACGCACACGGGTGAGAGGCCGCACGTGTGCAGGGAGTGCGGCAAGGGGTTTGCGGCGCGCACCTACCTGAACAAGCATTCCAGAACGCACACGGGCGAGAAGCCGAACGTGTGCAAGGAGTGCGGGAAGGGCTTCGCGCAGCCCTCCGACCTGAAGACCCACTCGCGGATACACAGCGGGGAGAAGCCGCACGCGTGCAAGGAGTGCGGCAAGAGGTTCACCCAGCGCTCCAACCTGGAGACGCACGCCAGGACGCACACCGGCGAGAAACCGTACGCGTGCGACGAGTGCGGCAAGAGGTTTTCGCAGCGCTCCAATTTGGAGAAACACTCGAGGACGCACACGGGCGAGAAGCCGTACATGTGCGAGGAGTGCGGAAAGAAGTTCACGCAGCGCTCCAATTTGGAGAAGCACTCCAGGACGCACACGGGCGAGAAGCCGCACGTGTGCAAGGAGTGCGGGAAGGCGTTTTCGCAGAGTTACAATCTAGAGACCCATTCTAGGACGCACACCGGCGAGAAGCCGTACGCGTGCAGGGAGTGCGGGAAAAGGTTTACGGAGCGTTCAAATTTAGAGAAGCATTCCAGAACGCACGCCGGTGGGAAGCCGCACGTGTGCAAGCAGTGTGGGAAGGGGTTTGCAGCACTTAATGAGTTAAATAAGCATTGTAGAACACACGCGAGGGAGAATCCACATTTACTAAAGGAATGTGAGAACTGAATTAAAGGCATTTTAGAACGCACCCTAAGGGAGAAGCAAAACGTGTCCAAGGATTGCGGAGAGGGTTTTGCATAGTGTTCGCATTTAGACTTATTAAGCAGTCCCCCTCCTTAACCCCCTTCCATTCCTCTCTCAAAGCCTCACCTATTCTCCATCGTTCATTCCCTTCTTTCCCGCCTCTCCCCTGTAGCCCCTTTCGTGATCCCCCTTAAGGACCCCTCCATCGCTGCTGTTACTCACTCCTAAATACCCTCATAGCACTTCCCCCGAGTGCCAACAACATCCATTCTGCGTCGCCATTTCGTTAGGCTATGTCAAAGAGAGCGCCTTGATTGAAGGCGCTGCCTCTATGAAGATACAATTAGATTAGAATTGGCGAGGTGCCACACAGTCGTACAAGGAGAGTTGGAAAGAGTATTTTGTGTGTCAATGCCGGTTAAAAGACAAAAACCACAACACACATTGTGCAAAGGATTGTGGGACGCGGTTTTCATTGAACGATATTGTGAACAGTCATTCTATAGAACACACTGTTGAAGCGTTTTCTTTTTTAATGTAAAGCGACGTTGATTGTTTTTGAATGCTCTTTTATTTCTGACTGCGGACACGACAGTGCTGTAACGTTTTTTTTCACAGGATATAACAAACAAAAAACTATAAACATCAATTTGAAGATCATTCCAAAGCGCATGGTCTGATGCATGTATGCTTAGCGTAAAAAAATGTATTTCACACCTGAATTGTTACATTCCGAATTAATATTATTGTTAATGGCTGCCTATCATTAAATCATATACTTGTGAAAAAGTCTACAAAACATGCATAAATGTCTTCTCCATAATCTAACGTTTTCTCTGTGATATGCCTTACATATGTAATGACGCACTCAGAGACACTGGGAGTAGGAGGCACTTCACAGCTCACAAGAGGTAACTACAACTCTCAGTCAGGACAGCTGGCAGACTGCCTGACTGACAATGCCGAGAAGGTGAAGACATCGACGGCGACGAAGACCCTAGCAGCACAACGGGATCCCACTCCAAGCAACAGCCCCGAGCCTTCGCCCGGGGTCCCCTTTTATCCTCCTAGCGTCACCTCGCTCCGCCCTGGCCACGTCCCCTTTATCGAACCTACTCGCGGGCTCCCGGGCTTACTACCTCACTTGCCCCCTCTACATCCCTCTCTCTGACTTATCACATGACCTGCCGACAGACGGGGCTGCTGCAACTGCAGATCCCCTTCTCTGCCAGCAACCCGCGGTATACTACGTAGTGACCCATTCCATGTCACTACACATATTTGACCATTGCATTTCCCTCCCGATCTGAAACCACGTTGATTTTCCGCAGTTTATTTTCTTTCATGCCAACCGCGGCCTGGCAAATTTGAGTATCCACGGGTAAAGCATGGTTTTAATGAAGTCACGTGATGAAGAAAACGCGTCCTATGCATTTCAGCTTGACGTCATTGTATCGCGTGATGTTGTTGCAAATTTCACCGGTGTGTTGGAGAGCCAAGCCACAACATTTACAATCTGAGTACGACGTTTCGCCAGTAATTACAACTAGCTTCATCGGCCGACAGCCAGATTTGTGGAGAAGTCCACCTGTTTCGTTCCTTATATAGAAGCGTAGATGTGGTGACCACACTTCTGCGCTCTTTTAATTTGTATACATGTCTTTTCTTTTCCATAATAGAAGTTTTTTTGGGTTAGATCGCATAAATATATAACTGTGTCGTTAGAACCCGCCACCACCCGACGCAGCCAACGAGTCAGGGTTGTCGCGTCAACAGAAAGTGGCCATTTTGTGCGCTCCCACTGCTGAACTTGGCACCCCCACGTGACCCGCTCCAGGTCACACCCACGTGACCCGCTCCAGGTCACGCCCCACGTGACCCGCTCCAGGTCACGTCCACGTGACCCGCTCCAGGTCACGCCCCACGTGACCCGCTCCAGGTCACGCCCCACGTGACCCGCTCCAGGTCACGTCCACATTGCGGCCGGCACCGCCCCCTCGTTGGATCAAGGACTTGGTGGACTATTATTATTTGGTTCTTTCGGTTAAGTCACGTCTAAAGATAAAATAATAAATTAAATAATAGCATACGACGTTTCGATTGCAACACAAGCAATCGTCGTCAGGTATAATGAAATAGCGACATAAAATCTAACCAGAAAACTATAGACAGACATTAGCAGACAGATATCACCAAGATACACAGAGAGAGAGCAACACAGGTAACAGAGAGGGGTGATCATCTCTGTGGGGTGGCCAATCGGATTCCTTGAGAAGGTCGGGGCCAGGGATGGGCTCGTTTCGTTTTGTTGCGTCTCGCGCTGCATCTTGTCGTTTGCTGGACGGTGAATTGGGGGGCAGGGACTACAAGAAACACGAGGACAGAGAGACATCGACTTGGAGAGAGAGACACAAACACAGATACGTGGAGAGACAGAGACAAACACAGAGACGTGGAGAGACACAACACGGGGTGGTGAGTCATTCAACTCGCCCTTGACAGGGCGTGGGGAAGTATGGTCAAATAACTTGCACACTACCTCAGCAAGGCGTGGTTTGGGTGGGTTGGGGGTGGACAATCCATCCAGCAGTGGATTGACACCCAGGCGGCTTGTAGAGCCGCACAGGCTGAGTATTACAACTAACAAGAACACGTTTAAGAATCACAATGTCAGTTGTCCTTTTCCCACGTCTCTAGCGCGGTTTGGCTACGTACGGTGTGAAAGAAGTTCAATATACTACACTATACACTTAAGATGTACACTACATACTACACTACAGTCTGCACTATGCTACACACTACACTCTACAGTACTATACACTATACTATACACTACATTATACACTATAATACACACCACTACTATACATTCTACACTATACACTACATACTACACTACAATACACACTACACGATTATACACTACATTCTACACTATACATACTACACTATACGCTACATACTACACTATACACTGCAATACACACTACATTATACACTACATAAACTATACGCTACACGCTATACAATACATTATACTACACTATTATACTCTACACTACAATACTATACACTATACTATACACTACATTATACACTATAATACATACCACTACTATACACCACATTTTACACTATACACTACATACTACACTACAATACACACTACACTATTATACACTACATTCTACACTATACATACTACACTATACACTGCAAAACACATTACAATACACACTACATTATACACTATATAAACTATACGCTACACACTATACAATACATTATTCTACACTATTATACTCTACACTACAATACTATACACTACACCATTTTCTAAATTGAATTTATTTAGAACTGATATTTGTGTTTAATTTGTTGTCCTTCCCCCGTGCCTCCGATTGGCATGGTTGGCTACGTACGGCCCAAAAGAAATGCAACATACACTACACTATACACTACACTATACACTACACTATACACTCTACAGTACTATACACAGTTTTTCTCCTGCTTTTCATCACTGTTGGGTCACTTCCTCCTCACAGCCACCACTAACACCGATGTGACGATTATCTGCACCGGTCCTGGGCCTCCACCCCTAGGTCGACTCAGCCTCAAATGAATACCTGGTGCGGTGTGCAGTAAACATCGCCACTGAGGGAGACAAAGGCGGTCGGGCGTGGTGCTGGCCACCCACCCCGTCGTGTGCAGTGCCGGCCTTCATAGGTGCTCGCTAACTGCACTTGACCCAACAGTGCGTTGTAGGCTACTCGGGGGATCTTTGTCTTCGTGCTTGTCCCCATAATTTCCACGCACTTCAGTGGGTGACTGCTTATCCACGATCTATCCCATGGGAATTTAGAGTCTTCCACGGAGAGATTCCGGCACCGGGGTAATCAAACTCTTCTGCGCTTCTCCGCTCTTCCTCAGATGGATTCACACTTCGAATTGCCGTTCGTCAAGCAGGAAAAGCAAGAGCATCCAAACCCAGGAGTGGCTCCTGACTTGACGGTGGATCGTGAAATTGCTTACGCTGGTGAGATTTCGCCTTCAAAACATCGACTGTAAACCAATTATTATTATTTGTTTGAACGTAACTGTCACGGCGCTATTTGACAATGCAACGAAACGGGCATTTAACCCCGAATGCAACTCTCGAAATACTCGAACGCTGTTCCAGGGATCTGCTCTGCATGCCTCGTGCATTCAATTAATGTTTACGTGTTTGCACAAGAGGGCACTGATACATCTAATACACTGAGATGTATTGTATGGGCGCCACCATGGCGAGATGTTAACTGCCTGATATACAGGAGGTCATAGGTTCGTCTGTATATTTGGTGTTTGCGTGTGTCTGTCTCTCCATGGTCACGTGGATTTTTCTCTGGGTCCCTCCGGTTTTTCCCCTCCACATTTAGAATCAACGTTATGCGTTTAGAGTTTTTGTCGGACAGTAAACCCACGACAACATTTACAATTCCAGTACCGTGAGTAGTGGGCCCGAGTTGCTGAGGAGATGGAATCTGTCTTCTCGGCCACGGTCATGCCCTTCCTGTTCCATCCTGGGTTTAACCAGGCTGGATTGTCTGAGGAGCTCACAAATCCTTGAAAGATCTGGACACATTCCTATCAGTGAGTTCCTCTGGCAGGCAAGGCTGCGTTGACTGGGTCATGTAGCACACATGCCTAGCCACCGCATGCCCAAGCAGCTTCTGTTTGCCCACATAGAGGGGGGCAAATGGGCATGACACGGGCTGGAGAAGAGATGGACTGATGCAGTACAGGAGGATCTGGAGTTGAGTGGACTTGCCAAAAGATTGATACCAGCAGTGTTAAAATCTGCCACTATGGAGGAGGCTTGTGAAGGACATTACTGCGCAGTCGGAGGCAGTCACCCTCCAACAACAACTGAGGGCAGAGGAGCGAAGCTCACAACAATGAGTGGAGTGCCGGGCGGATAAAATACAGTAAGTTGACAAAGTCGGGGGTGCAGCTGATGCATCTATTAGTCATCTCAGTCAGCCAACCCATGGCACCTGATGGGTCTGTCGACACTTCACGTGGTCTCAACGTGCACCTGGCCTGGCACAGGCACAATAGTGAGGTTACCGTGACTCAGTGGCGAATGGCGAGTATTGGTATTGGTGTGTGTGCGTGCGTGTAAACGGTGTAGTGGTTAGCGTGCTGTACTACGAACCCGGCGACCCGAGTTCGTTTCCCACTCACTGCCAACACCGTTGACGATTATCTGAACCGGTACCTGGGCCTCCCCAAGGTCGAATCAGCCTCAGATGAGTACCTGGTACGGTGTGTAAACATTGCCAATAGGGAGACAAAGGCGGTCGGACGTGGTGTTGGCCACCCACCCCCTGGTCTGCTTTTTTTGGCTTCATCGGTGCTCGCTAACAGCGAGTTCAAGTTTCAAGTTCAAGTTAATTTACTAGGTATAGCCCTGTGAGCCATTCGGCTCTTGAATCGGGTGCAACCGCAAAAAACAAAATAACAAAACATGAACAAGAAAACATCTTAAAGTGACTATGTGACTAAGTGCAAACAGAAAATTCAAGAAAAGACAACAAAATATTGCAGAAAAAGCACCGTACACCACCAACGTCGTGTGCAAAAATCCCAATGGGATGCAAGTAAAACAACAACAACCACAAGACAACTTAGATTAAGGCCTTCAGTCTAACTCCGTACTACAACAAACAAACATGGCCAAACCAAAAAACTTTTCGAAATCACCAAAATAAAGCCATAAAAGCAATGAAGCAGTGATCATAGGAACTGTGACCGAATTTTCACAATAAACGACATAAATAACATGTACCACCAAACCCTGCAGCCATAGCTGGCTGCATGAGTCACTCCACAACAGCAGCAGCATCAGTCGGAGTATGAAACATTTTCAATGCACCATTAAGATCAGCACACTAAATCAAAACACAGGTCATACTTTGCAGCGATCATCCGGAGCGAAACATTTTATTTTAGGCCAATGAATAGCAGTGGCAGTTTGGGGTGTACAACTCCTCTAGAGCAGTTTTGTGTGAAGATCTCATAGGTAGTGATTCAAGTTGCAGTTTATTGGCGATAGCATTCCAGACCCACTTACCCATGAGTCTGTTAAGGCTACACATGGATCTTTGTACTCATGCACAGGAGTAGTCGTGAAGCAAGAGGATGAAAGGAGCCCGGGCGCTGAGACACTGAGGATGGAGGTGAAAACCGAAGCGGAGGAAGACGGTAAGACCCCTTCCTACAGGCAGGGAGATGCCAGAATCAGAGGCAAAACTCAGGCAAGTTTGTACGTACGTGTGTATGTATGTTGAATTTCTTTCGCAACGTTTGTAGCCAAACGTGCTAATTGGAGGTGCGGGGGCAGTGTTGAGTCAATGGGCAGTGTTGAGTCAATGGGCAGTGTTGAGTCTATTGGCAGTGTTGAGTCAATGGGCAGTGTTGGGTCTATTGGCAGTGTTGAGTCTATGGGCAGTGTTGGGTATATGGGCAGTGTTGAGGCTATGGGCAGTGTTGAGGCTATGGGCAGTGTTGGGTCTATGGGCAGTGTTGAATCAATGGGCAGTGTTGAGTCTATGGGCAGTGTTGGGTCTATGGGCAGTGTTGAGGCTATGGGCAGTGTTGAGTCTATGGGCAGTGTTGAGTCAATGGGCAGTGTTGAGTCAATGGGGAGTGTTGAGTCAATGGGCAGTGTTAGTCTATGGGCAGTGTTGAGTCTATGGGCAGCGTTGAGTCAATGGGCAGTGTTGAGTCAATGGGCAGTGTTGAGTCTATTGGCAGTGTTGAGTCAATGGGCAGTGTTGAGTCTATTGGCAGTGTTGAGTCTATGGGCAGTGTTGGGTCTATGGGCAGTGTTGAGGCTATGGGCAGTGTTGAGGCTATGGGCAGTGTTGGGTCTATGGGCAGTGTTGAGTCAATGGGCAGTGTTGAGGCTATGGGCAATGTTGGGTCTATGGGCAGTGTTGAGTCTATTGGCAGTGTTGAGTCTATTGGCAGTGTTGAGTCTATGGGCAGTGTTGAGTCAATGGGCAATGTTGAGTCAATGGGCAGTGTTGAGTCTATGGGCAGTGTTGAGTCTATTGGCAGTGTTGAGTCTATTGGCAGTGTTGAGTCTATGGGCAGTGTTGGGTCTATGGGCAGTGTTGAGGCTATGGGCAGTGTTGAGGCTATGGGCAGTGTTGGGTCTATGGGCAGTGTTGAGTCAATGGGCAGTGTTGAGGCTATGGGCAGTGTTGGGTCTATGGGCAGTGTTGAGTCTATTGGCAGTGTTGGGTCTATGGGCAGTGTTGAGTCTATGGGCAGTGTTGGGTCTATGGGCAGTGTTGAATCTATGGAGAGTGTTAGTTTTTGGACAGTGTTGAGTCTACAGGCACGCACTCTCCTACCTCTCCCCTTTCATCTCTACTCCCCTCCACGCACTCTCCTACCTCTCCCCCGTCACTTACTCCCCTCCACGCACTCTCCGACCTCTCCCCCACCTCATCTCACTCTACTCCCCACCATGCACTCCCATTTTCAAAATCACAGCTCCAGATGTGAAGTTTGTTAAAGTCGAAGGAGCTGGCGAGAGCCAGCCGGAGGAGACGGGCGATTGCTGTAGACTTGCGGATGCTTCGGACCAGAACTTCATCGAGGTGGAGTTATCGGTGGAGGACACGAGTGAAGGTGAGAGTCCCCATCACCGACCATACGTCGTAGTCGTGCTACTTCTGGAAATTGCGGCGTGAGCAGAAGAAAAAGAACCACAATCACTCGCTGATCTCATCAAGGAGCATTCACCATCATCACCACCACGCCAACTCCGGTCATCCTCGCAGCAGCAGGGGCTTTTGGTAGGCCATGGAACAAAGATGGTGGTCACCGCATCATCAAGCAGCGCTTTCAGATGCACTCCTGCGGCCATCTGGGATGGTCTTCCTTCCGATATTAGGAAGCCACTTGGAGCTATGATGCACTTTTAAATCATAATGTAGTTTGAAAACGAATTTCTTTAGAACTTCTTTTTAGTTTAGTATGTTGTCTTTCCCCCACGCCACCGATTAGTACACTTGGCTACATACGGTGCGAAAGAAGTTCAACGTACATGCACACTGGTGTCATCCCTTCTGGATATTGTACCTAAATGGTCGTCGAACCCGAACTCAAATGACATTGCCCGTGAAAGCCTACGCGTACAGTGAACAAACCATACAATCTTGATTTGAAGCTTTCGTGACTGCAGGAATTCGTACTCTTTGGTTCTTTCGGTAAAGTCACGTAGATAGAAAAATAACTAACAGATCACGACGTTTCGATAGCAACACAAGCCATCGTCTTCAGGTGAAACAATACAGCAGGCGGACTGCTGAGGCAGGAGGAAACATAGCGAGAGAGCTACTGCAACCAGACGTTATATACGTTTGTGGTGGGTACAACCCAAGGGTAAGTGGGCAGGGCTAGGGATAAAAATTTTAAGTAAATGTAAGATCGCAGAGCTAGCATACCTCGGCTAATCCGAGGAGGGGAGGGGGAGGGGCAGGGGCTGCTGTAACGGGCGAGAGGGTGGGGTGGGGGTGAAATTTTCAGAAGCAACAAGGTGAGAGAGAGAAAAAAGATATCAAACTTAGCAAACTTAGAAATGTAAAACTCAGAGAGACGGCCAACACAACAGTTAAAACTTGATCTGGTTGATCAACGTCCTTCCAAAGATTGCTACATTTTGCATCCATCTTCTCGGTTGAAGTCATGTCCCCTCGGATTAGCCGTGGTATACTAGCTCTGCGATCTTACATTTACTTGCAAATTCCACCCCTAACCCCGCCCACTTACCCTTGGGTTGTACCCACCACAAACGTATATAACTTATGGTTGCAGTAGCTCTCTCGCTATGTTTCCTCCTGCCTCAGCAGTCCGCCTGCTGTATTGTTTCCCCTGAAGACGACGGCTTGTGTTGCTATCGAAACGTCGTGATCTATTAGTTATTTTTCTATCTACGTGACTTTACAGAAAGAACCACAGAGTATGAACTCCTGCAGTCACGAAAGCTTTAAGCCATACAATGCTACCGGTGACCACATCTCACATTCATCGTAGGTTTTTTTTCCCGCACATCGGTTAAATCGAGCCGTTGCGTTTGCACCGTTTTGTTTAACACGCGCGCTACAGCGGACGAAGTGATGGCGACGACAGAACTGCTGTGCGAGGAGTGCGGCAAGGGCAGAGGCCGCAGAACAACGACGGACAAAGCGCAACACAGCGACGATGCCGATGACAGGAACGACGACGACGACGACAAGATCGCGCGAGCCTGTGCGCGTTGCGGGAAGGCGCTCGAAGGCGCCGCGACCGCCGCCGCCACCACCGATCGGAGGAAGCCACACGCTTGCCAGGAGTGCGGCAAGGAGTTCGCGACGCTCTCGAATTTGAGCACGCACGCGCGGACCCACACGGGCATGTGGCCGCACGCCTGCGCCGACTGCGGCAAGGGCTTCGCGCACCTCTCCAACCTGGAGAAGCACGCCAAGGCGCACGCGGGCGGGAGGCCGCACGCTTGCGCCGAGTGCGGCCGGGCGTTCGCCCACCGCTACAACCTCGAGCTGCACTCCGCGTCGCACGCGGCGGAGAGGAGGAGGCCGCACGCGTGTCCTGAGTGCGGCCGGGCGTTCGCTCGCCCCTCCGAATTGGAGGCGCACGCGAAGAGGCACGCAGCCGAGAGGCCGTACGCGTGCGAGGAGTGCGGCAAGGGGTTCGCGCAGAGCTACCACCTGGAGGAGCACCGCGCGTCGCACACGGGCGAGAAGCCGCACGCGTGCCTGGTGTGCGGCCGGGGATTCGTGCGGCGCTACCACCTGGACGAGCACGCGAGGACGCACACGGGCGAGTGGCCGCACGCGTGCGACCAGTGCGGCCGCGGTTTCGCCCACCGCTCTGGCCTGGAGAGGCACGTGAAGGCGCACGCGAGGGCGAGGGCGGGCGTGTGGCCGCACGCCTGCGGGGAGTGCGGGAAGGGGTTCGCGCAGCTGTCCGGCCTGGAGAGGCACGCGCGGACGCACACGGGCGAGAGGCCGCACGTGTGCGAGGAGTGCGGCGCGGGCTTCACGCAGCGCTCCAGCTTGAAGGCGCACTACGGGACGCACACGGGCGAGAAGGCCGCACGCGTGCCGGGAGTGCGGAAAGGCGTTCAGCAGGATGTCGGCTTTGAATAGGCATTCGGCGACGCACTCGAGGATGAAAACTTTGCTCTAGAGCAGGGTGGTCCTTCACCTTTACTGCAAGCCTTGCGCCCCTTTGGTTCTCAATCGTAAAAAATGTACAATGCTAATAAATACATAGGGTTTGATTAAACAAATTAGTTGTGCTTACGTGTGGCCGTGCTTAATTTGTGTTTTCGATTATTTACCTTCTGAAGAAAAATAACGGCCATGTCTCGCACCCCCAAAAAGGGCATCTCGCACCCCCAGGGTGTGCGTGCACCCCAGGTTAAGCACTTTTGCTCTAGAGTAAGAGTGGGTCGGCCAACTTTTCAAAGAAATAAGAGAAGGAGGAGAAACATTTTTTTTGTAATTTGACTTTGACCAAAATAGTTCCAAGAGCCGCATCACACACGCTGCAGAGCTACTTTTCACGCGTACGCAGCGGCGGGTATACAGCAGAAACAACATCCCATTCTGCGTTAATAAACAAATAAGTAATATTTAAAAATACTTTTTTAAAATACGCTTTAATGAAATGTACCGTACGAGTAATAGCAGAATTCCACGACTCCAGGAAGTGGCCCCGAAGCTTACCATAACGTAAGGGACCTTGGTCAATTACAGCCAATGTCAGTTGAGCGTGGACAATTAGACCCAATTCCGAAACATAAAAAAAATGTTTAAAAATATTTTTTTATGATATAATATAGTATTTTCATCAGTAACATAAGTATACCAAGTTTTCAGTCGCTACCACATTGGGAAGTGGGTTAAAATGGAGTTACAAGATTTGAGGATACAACAACAACAGAGTGAGTTCATAGAAAGCGTGTAATAAAAATAGGTTATGGAATTAACCTGCGTCATTTAGGGTTTTGTTCCACCCTTAGTTCTTCCTTAGTAATGCAGTTTGTGACCGTCGTACAATTCCTTGTAGTCACCAAGACATTTCACAGTAAAATAGAGGTTCACGTACATCCATGTACGTCATCATACCAGGGGGGAAGGGGTTAATTGTGAGGTACAGGAACTCTACTTAAGAACATTTGACTTACGAACTTTCAGAGATACAAACAAATCTGTCCGTTTTTCATGCAGATGTAACATGACGAACCAGTGGCATATACAGCTAAAGAACATGAAGAACCAGTAGCATCTACATCTGCAGCACATGAAAAACCAGTGGCATCTAAACGAGACTATACAACTTTTACAGGTAGGAACAACAGTTCCACACTGCCCACCAGGGATTATTTGTCGTGCATAGCCCCGCCCTCGATTTGTATTTCATAGAGCGCCTATAATACATTCATCGTGTTATATCCAATTTACGTTATGAAAACAACATGCATTATAGGGCACAGACTGTAACAAAGTGTCGTGTTTTGTCCTCTCAAACCTCAGTCGATTTCCCAAACCACGACCCGTCGAGTGCACTAACCTGTTTCCATCTGTACGGGGATATAACGTTGTGCCCTCATACACGTGAGTTTTCTCCTGGTAACCGCCAGAGAAAGAGTCCTGCAACTCAATGTGTTCATAAAAGGTTTTTGGGTTAGGTCGCTTTAAGTATAAATGTGTCGTAACCCTCCATCACACGATACAGGCGGTAATGGTCACGTAAATAACGCGCCAATTAGTTACTAGCATAGTGTAGTATACTACTGCAGCCCACAGTTTGTGTGTTGGAGAGTAAATCCACAACATTTACAATTTGAAGACGACGTTTCGCTGGTAATTGCATCCAGCATCATTGGGCGAATTGCCAGAATAGTGAAGCCATCCACCTGCTTCTGGCCTTAAATAGAGCAAGACGACGACTTGGTACCACCCTCCTTATCCCTCCTCTTCCCCCCATATCTCTCTGTCCTCCCTCTGCCACCACCATCAGGACATCGCTGGACCATGCGTCAAACTTTGCCGCACTTTCCCTGCAGCGCCGCACGGCAGCCTCCTCTTCATCTGCCTCCTGAGCTCCTGGTCTCTGAGGCCGTAGACGAGCGGAATGACCATTCGGGAGGTCACGAAGAGCACCGAGTAGAAGAGGACCCTGCAGAGAGTTATTATCTTCACGTTGCTCGTCACGAGGCTGAGGAGCAGCAGGAAGACCTCGTTGCCCAGCGCGCTGAGGTAGAGGACCAGCTGGAGACCATGGAGAGCCACCGTGTTGCGTGCCCTGCACGCGGAGTTCAAATCTCCTTCACCACCACCATCCTGTTTGGGATTCCGAGTGAGGTGCCGCTGGGTTAGACTCCAGCTCGTTCAGAATGCAGCTGCTAGAGTGCTTATGCACACCACATCACGTTTGTGGGCACACCATCATCATCATCACACGCCCACTCTCTTGTCTCTCTGCACTGACTACCAGTCAAGTATGGAGTGGCCGACTATAAGATTCATCTGCTGCTGACTACAAGGCTCTCCAATGGCTTAGCCCAACGAGGTCACTGAGGTCTTTGGATCGCCTTCTCAGTATTCCAAGGTCAGGGTTTTGGTCCTGGTGTGATTGGGATTTTGCCACTTTGCAACTCCCAGACTGCTAAGAAGACAATCAGAATCGTGAGCTGTACTCAAGTCTATCTTGAAAACTCACCTCTTGAAACTCGCCTTTATCCCCCTATAGTTCTGGCTGTTTTCCCTGCAGGTTTTGTTTATTTCCTGCTTCCCGCACCTCCGATTAGCACGGTTGGCTACGTATGGTGCGAAATAAGTCCAACCACACGTACATTTCCTTACACGGTGGTGCATTGGTGGGATCTACGGGCACACACGCGCCGCTTCACAAATTTAAATTGTTATTTAAAAATTAGTATTACCTCCGCCACCTCCTCCTCCCTCTGCCTCCAGACGCTGCACTCTTCCTGGCCGCCCTCACGATCTGCGTGTAAGTGAAGAGCATCACGGCGACGCTCATCACGAACACGACGCTATTCACCAGCTCCCGGAGCGTGATCAGCGCCGTCCCGTGGTGGAGCAGCATGTCGATCTGATTCGGCATGCATACCGACGTCTGGCTGAGGCTCGGCTCGTCGGAGCCTCCACCGGAGAAGGCCAGGATGACCTGCAACAGCGGGTACATGCTCACCACAGACCAGATGCAGGCGATGGCGCGGAGAGTGGCACGTGGACCGAACCAGCTGTGGTAGCGCAGCGGGTGGCAGACAGCCACATAGCGCTCGACGGACATGGCGGTGACGAAAATCGCGCCAGCGTGGTTGAGCACCGATGCGAGTATGATGTACATGTAGCAGGGCACGAAGGCAATGGTCGCCCGGCACCACACGAGGGTGGCCATCACGTTGGAGTGGAGGAGGAAGCAGCTGTCACACGCGAGGAGGTTGACGAAGAGGACGTAGCGCGAGCTCTCGCGGAGGGTGGCGCTGCTCAGGACGGTGACAAGGGTGACGATGAGGAAGGCAACGGACGGTAGCGTCATGAGAATGTCGAATATCTGGACGAATGTGACGACGACGACGTACGCGTAATTGGCAGTGATGGTGGCAGCGGCGGCGGCGTTGACGCCTGTGACGTTGCTCCACGTTGAATTGATTGGGTCGCTTGTGTTCATCAGACGCTGCTGCATCTCGGAGGTGGTTGGATTTGAGTGGCTCAGAGGTGGAGAGCTCCGGAGTTGGCACTGCTAAAAATCGTCAGGGAGTTTATTTTTTTTGTATCGCCCAACCACGGCGATGGCACCGATGTCACGGGTATGGTGAGCTGATGGCCTCAGCTCCGTCACCAATGACTGCGCAGCAGCGAAAACAGCAACAAACACCGCATTAATTGTTTTTTCTGTGCTGAGTTTTCTTTTTTCCCTCCTAAATTCGAGCTCTGGATTAAAATTAACCACATCAATTTCACCTCGATGACGGTTTTAGTGGTGGTCAGTGCGACGTTAAAAAATAAAACCCACTTAAATGGCCTGGCACTGACCTGGCTTCCTTTGCAGCCGCCTTCCCCCCCCCCCACTTTCCCTTCCCTTCTTCGGAATCAAAAGCTGCACAGGGGGGTGATGGGTCAACTTCCAGGATGCGAATTTGGAGAGAGCTTCGGGAACGTGACCAACCACCACTCCCTCACTTCGGGCCTCAGCTACATGGGACTGGAGTATGTGGGGGTGGGGGTAAGTACAACACCTTGCCTTGCTGCAGAGGGGACTAAAGCCAAAAAACTCCCCCCAAATCTTAAGACCCACAGCATGTGGAGCCATCCACCTACAACAACATTCAGAAAGCTGACTAACTGCAGCCCAGCTAGTGGGACACAACGTACAGGAGGAAGCGGGAGTTGGCTCTCCCCTCCTTAACATCATCAGACTCCACAATTAGTGTTACTCCACGACCACGGTTCTCAGTAATAGGCTCGGTTACAGTACAACACTTTTCGATTTAAAGCTTTCGTGACTGCAGGGATTCATCTTCTTGGTTCTTTCGGTAAAGTCACGTAGAAGGGAAGTAATAAAATAATAAAAATAAAACATAATAAAACAATTCTCACAATTGTTTTATTATGTTTTATTTTTATTATTTTATTACTTCCCTTCTACGTGACTTTACCGAAAGAACCAAGAAGATGAGTACAACACTTATTAGCTAGGCCTTCCAGACTCTGTAAAAACATTTGCCAACCATCCCCTCCATAGGGGACTGCGTGACTCTCCACCCACACATAGTGACACAGATGCATAGAAATACATGGAGTGGAAGATGGCAGCCTTCACGCAGCCCACTCTGTTAAGTAATAAATCACGACGAATGCCATCGATGCGGCGACCGAGTATATATCGATCATCGACTTCCCGGTCTCCTGAGCAACGACAACGTGCACAGATAAGCCCTGGGACAAGGATCCCCCAAATGAACATTGAGGGACTCTCCCGTGTGATGAGCAAGTATCTCGCGACCATAATGAAAACCCTTAACATTGATGTCATGGCGCTCCAAGAAACCCACGTCTTGGATGACCCCTGCATGCCGGTCGCTACCACATCCACGGATATAACCTCACGACGCGCCACTACCACACGAAATATGGCATGGCCATATGCGAAAAGAGCGCCATCGGAGAGCTCTACGCCTTCCCACCAACTGAAAAAGAAGCCACCTACACCACCAGCATCAAAATAGGGGAGCTGAACATCACCAAACGTGTACAAAGCCTTTAGTTAAAATAGCCAAAGCCAGCGCTCCCGAGTGCACCAATCCCAATTCTATACGTTGGTGACTTTAACAGCCACCATACTATGTGTGACTATGCAGTAGATGAGGCCAACGGAAAATACCTCGCTGATTGGATGTCCGCTGAAGATCTGCACCTGGTTTTAAATCCCAAGCAGCAATCAACTTTCCACTCTGCTCACTAGCAACGCAACTGCGACCCGAGGCGATGATTATTGCAATCCCAAAACTGGGCGAGCCAACCGACGACTCGGAAAGCTATAGGCCAATATCACTCCTATGCGTGACCTATACACCACTGGAATGCAGCATCCTCTGGAGAATCAGGCCTGTCGGTGAATTAGTGATCCCTTAATAACAAGCACAGAATTCCGGCCTAGTCGCAGCTGCTGAGGCCAAGTTTTGGCTCTGGCGACACACATTGAGGCCGGACTCCAGAAACAATCCAAGACCGGCGCAGACTTTGTGAACTTATCATCATTTTATAAGAGTCTGGATTAAGGGGCTTGATGTTGAAGCTGGCAAGGACCATTCCCTGCCTCGAAACAATCCACCTGATATGGACGATGGCTGAGCAATAAGCGACTGCGTGTCTATATGGGTGACAAAGTCAGCTCAACCCGATTCCTCAACAATGGATTGCCACAAGGTTCAGTAACTCGCGCCAATGCTCTTCAATGTCTACACTAGCGGCATGCCAGCAACCGGGCCATGCACATGTTTTATATTCCGCTTTCAGCGACATCGAATCTGTGGGACCCGACGTCCACCCCACCGTCCTCGCTGGGCAGGTGGGGCGTGAGTGACGGGGCCCCCCATGCTAACGTCCTCTCTGAGGGACATGCTCGTGCTGCTGGCATTGGAGCTACACAGGGTTAAAACACACGCCCGCATACACTCGCGCAAACGTGGTAGAGATCCCGCAAACAGCACCCTGCGTTCACTCTCGCAGCACGTTCCCCCACCGCTACACATAGAAATCGCAGACACCACACCGCCAATGCTCTGTGCTGACCTTTATTCTCGGCGCCAACCAGAATCCCTTAAAGTAAGGTGCCCAGTCGGCACTACCCGGTGGGAATATCTTGCGAGAAAAGCCTAGCCTACTGCTGCCTACATTCTCAGTCACTCTAACGTCCTACCATGTACCTCGTAGCTGTACTCACGGCGTCACACGGACGCCGTGAGAGGTGGAGGGAAGAGGACGAGAAAGCCTTGCCTATCACTGCCTCGTAGCGGGCACTCGCTGGCATCACATGAATGCTGCGAACGCCTGAAGAAGGCAGGACGGCAGCGGGATCTTGGCAGCCAAGATGTTGAAGATCAACTGTTTGAACGGCCCCCGGGCCCCCCTTTTATCCCCTTGACTTCAAAAGCCCGGGGTCACGTCGTACCGCGCGGCCTTTCTCCACTTTTTTGCCCTTACATGGATCGCCGTGTCCGGTGCTTCTGCGATCGTTTGTCAGCCCTTCCGTAACTCAAGAATGCATTACTCGCCCTCGTTAATCCGGAATAACACCCGACTGGCGAATACACACCCTGCGAGTGTGTCTTCGGTACGAGGGTCGGGGGGGTGGTCATGGCGCTGTGCTCTCCTGATCTCATCGTCTGCCTTTCTCGCTTTTTCCACCCCAGCTTCTCCCGATGTCGTGAATGACTCAGAGTGGCTGGCGCGGTAAACATTTTTACGCCCATACACTATTAAGCCAACTCAGGGGCACCGCGATGTGAATTGTCCTGCGAGGGTTGGCCAATCCCCTGGCACCGGGAAACCGTGGGACTTTCCTTATAGGGATCCTTCGGATTAAAACCCGTTGTGCCAAGCAAATCCCACGCCAGGACACTGCGTGTGTGCGCTGCGTGTGTGTACTCAGTGTGGGGGTCGGGGGTGGGGGTCGTGGCGCTTGTGGAGTGGCTTCGAAGCCATGGCATCACAAATCCATTCTGAGCCGAGATCTAAACACCATGGGGGAATATTTCTGGAAATGGAGACTCAAGCCAAATCCCCACGAAACAATTAACTCAATTTCATCTTGATAATAGGAGCACCAAGCACACTCTGAAAGTGACTTTCTGCGGCAACACTACTGTGCGATACGACTGCACTCCAACCTATCTCAGAGTGAAGTCGGACCGTATGCTAACCTTCCACGACCACCTGAAAAAGATAGCCGCCAAGACCAAAAAAGGGTCAACCTAGCCCAGCAACTGGTAAGCACAAGCTGAGGAGCATCATCACCCAGTGCTACGGACGTCAACGGTGGCCCTTGTGTAGTCTATAGCCGAGTACTATGCACCAATACGGACCAGAAATATTCACACCCGACTTGATGTCCAACTGAGCACTGCAATGCGGTGGTGTATCACTGACATCCTCAAGTTGACCCCAACACCCTGGGCTGCCCATGCTGTCACCACACCTCTACCCACCCATCTGCCGCAACGCTGCCGGAAGTCCTTCAAATCGAGGAAAACAGTCGCCATTTCCCATTCACCAGGACCTCCATAACATTCGTCATCATTGCTTGAGGTCATGCCAGGCCCCTTTTGCAACCATGTGCTTAACCTTCAACAATGCGTGTTCAATCATGATGAAGCTTGGAAAGCTGAATGGGGCTCCAAATAACTCACAAACACCTTGTTGCAAAAGACGCAACGCATACGATCCCTGGTTTTGATCTTCCGAGAAACTCATGGTCTACTCTAAATCGCATCTACTGCACAAACCATGGCAGCAGATACGGATACCTGATGCACAAATGGAAAAAAAAAAAAAACTCCAGGAGTAGTGGTGCGACTGTGGTCATCCAGAACAGAGCAAACAGCGTATAACGACGCAATGCCCCGATCCACAAATACGAAGGAGGCATCAGAGTGATGATACACTACTCTGCGGCACCTGACGCTGTTGTCTGGTTTGACCACCTAAACGTGAAATTGTAGTTACTGCTGAGTCTACATCAGCCATGCGGAAGGATAAGATAGAGATCCACAGAGACCCAAAGAGATACACAGAGACGCAAATATATACACAGAGACATGCAGATATTTCGATTTAAAGCTTTCGTGACTGCAGGGATTCATCTTCTTGGTTCTTTCGGTAAAGTCACGTAGAAGGGAAGTAATAAAATAATAAAAATAAAACATAATAAAACAATTCTCACGACGTTTCGGCCACAACGCAAGCAGCCGTCCTCATTCTTCACCTGAGGACGGCTGCTTGCGTTGTGGCCGAAACGTCGTGAGAATTGTTTTATTATGTTTTATTTTTATTATTTTATTTCTTCCCTTCTACGTGACTTTACCGAAAGAACCAAGAAGAACATGCAGATATGTTAAAGACACAAACCACAATTTTATGATTGTGGCCATGTAACCCAAACGATGAACTGTATGATAAACCCAG